CCCCACACCCTTGGTGGCTAGGAGATTAGGAAGACCACCGGTGGACACCGCTCCCGTGCACGCCCTCGAGGAGATGCGAAACAAGGGAAGAGGATGTCGCCTTTGGACAATTAGGACGTTGGCATTCGGGGGTCCGGTGTGGCTTGGAAGGAGACGGAAGGAGTTGTGGAAGAGGGAGAGGCGTGTCCAGTGTGTCTTTTGGGGGGAGGTTCTCTGTGCTGGAGGAGGGGGTGGAGGGGGAGTGGGAGTCGGTGGTCGAGGGCGGGGAGGGGTCGAGGGGAGTGAGGAGGGTCGACTTTGAGGGGTCGAGGGGGAGTGCGACGGGGGGAGAGGTGTAGAGGAGGGAGATGAGGGTGTCGCCGTCGTCGTCGAGGTCGTCGTCCCCGCCGTCGTCGTCGTCGTCGTCGCCATCGATGTCGCGAGGGTCAGGGAGGGGAGCAAACCTGATTCTGTGTGAGGAGGGGGGGGAGGTGGAGGAGGAGGCGTCGTCTGAGGAGGCGTTGTCGAGGAGAATGCTGGTTGGGGACATCGTTGACCTTTTCGTCTTCGTCTCGCTCGCTCACCAATAAGAGGAGAATCGGTGTATCACCTTATTATGTAACACCCTCTCCTCGGGGTCCCTCTCTTCACCCATCGTCAGATCCAGATCCCATCGGGCACTCCCACGCTGCCTTATCGATCACTCCTCCGCTCTTCGCTGCTATCACCTCGGCATATCCCGTTCAGGAACGTTTCACGTCGATCCTCACCACCGCGTCTACTCGCCAGCCTATCTAGCCCGTACCACACTCTCACATCCCTGGCACCATCTAACCGACTCCCGCCCTGACTCTCCTCTCGCGAGCTACAACTCCGCGACAGTTTGAAAAGGTGAATGAAATCATCCCATCCTTTCTCCCCCCAACTCGTTCGGTGATTTCTTTCTCATTTCGAAACACGACACTCCTCGCGCTATCGATCGTCTCCTCCCACTCCGTCACATCCAAAACCACCCACCGAAACCCATCCTTCAACTCTCAATTCTCAAGCTAAGTGAAGAACACTCAACATTCACATTGGCAGATGTGGCTTGCACGACGTGCGACAACCGACACACCAATCTGGCAACCCACTCGAACTCGAAATTAGAATCTGAGCTTGAAGCCTGAAGCTTTGACGGACGCATAGAGCGGGTGGGCTCTGTCGCTCAGCACCAAGATACGATCAGAGCACTGGCACTGGCTGAAAAGGAGTTGATGGGCTAGTTACAGGTACAGTCACAGCTGAAGCCACCTCAGGCCGGCCATGACTCGGAAGTCTCGAGTCCCTCCAACCCCAACTTCCATGTCTGCTGCAAGCCCCTCACCATCTCGGAAATGTCTGTGTCTGATCCACCCCGGGCTCATCCGCCATGATGAATGATGAATGATGGCCGATGTGGCTACGAGTACCTGGTTGTGTTATGGTTATGTTATGGTATACGGTAATGCGGGAGTAGTCACAGTCACTTTTAACGTTGATCTTGTTGTCGTCCCTATCAATCAGCGTGACTCAGTACTGACCCGCATCTCGCTCGCCGCATCTCTCTCAATGTCATCTCCGTCATCTCATCCCAATGATCGATAACGATTCACTGATCCTAGGCCTACAACCACCACAGCCCCAGCGCCCATCTGACTCATCCATGCAAAGTTCTGAATCGGGTGCTCATTCAATGACAGACCCTCAGGTCCACGTCCACGTCCACACTGACACTGTCGACATACCGCGTACAACCGGCAACACAAGTCACAACCGCCACTGCAGCTAAATCCAGCCTTTCATGATGGACATCGTCAGTGACAGCATACTCACTCACTGAATGACAGAGTGCATATGACTCAGTTACGCAGGTTCGACCCACTCACCTCGAAGCACTCGGTATCCCCAAGATCCACGGTTCTAGATCGCAAGTTCAAACCATCGCAGTTTCTCTATAGAACACCACCACCACCGTACCGCCCACACGCCATCGACAATTTCAAATACCCAAAACCTATTCGCACCAGAGCCTGAATCTCTCACGCCGTCAACCCGCTCTCTCTCTCCATCCTTCTCTACAAGTACGCGAGTGGCTGACCTTCCGTGTCGATAAGCAGCGATGCGATGGCGTATATGTATATATATAAAAGTATATGAGAAGCGCTGATAAGCAAACCTGAACTTGAATCTGCTTGATTGGTAAAAACCAAACTCGAAAAACCAACACCAAAAACCTTGTCGGTGAATCTCGCGATGGCATTTTCGGCGACGGCGTTTTCCCATGGGACCCACCCTGATCCACACACCGTATGGCATCGACTCGGGTCGGGACACGCACGTCCTCGCGTTCCCGTCCCTCCCTGCCACTACCAGCGGGGGTGTATACTCGTACCACAGCACCGTCACGGTACAGCGCTCCACACCTCAGTACTCAGCACTCAGGCTTCACTGACAATCAACGAACCCTCCAAGTCAAGTTCTCCCCAAGCCCATCCCGCAAACCGCGGGGGGTTCCTCCTTATCCCAGACCCTCATCACTCGGCTCTATCTACACTTTTTAAAAAACTCACTCAACCCGGGAGAGTAGTAGTACTCCAGAATCAAATCTGTAGTTTACTAAAGAGAGATGCATAAAGAGCTATCGGGTATGAGTAGGGTACGTACGAGTCGACTCCAATTTGAAACCATGCCTGCAGCTCCGTCGAATGCGTGCGGCTCCCTGGGCTCACCGGTACTCCATGTTGATACCAAGTTTAAACGTTTATCATCATCGCAATATCGCATTATCGCATCGTTTGATCACGGTCGGTCGGGTGCGCCACCGGAGGCTTTTCTCGATTCTTGATTATTGAGAATAGGCTGACTGATGAGTATCCACCATCATGCATTGCATCTGAATCCGCATGATACAGTACCCTCCCAAGCCAGAGAGAGAGGTCCGCCTCATTCTCACTTCCGTCGTGCTCTCCATGCTGCCGACTGAGCATGCAGAGCATGACGGGAATGACGAGAGGCTGCATGACCGCGTTGGCCGATACATACCGTAGGGTAGGCGTCAACCCTGATAACAACCTGATACCTGTCATTAATGTCTGAAAAACGAAGAGGGGAAGGCGGGAGTGGAAAAAGGAAGGAAAAGGGAAAAGGCGAAAGGCGAAAAAGAAAAGGCTGAATTAAACAACCTCGATAACGAAACGAAAACGAATAAATAGGATGTATAATCGATGGTTGGATTAGGTCAGCCAGGGAGAGTAGGAGAGTAGGATCGATAAGTAAAAACACAAAGACCGGACTCAGTGCAGAAAGATAAGCTGATTCAAACAAGCTGAATCATTCATTCATCCATTCAACCCATAAACTGAATACCCACCTGCCCGGTCAACCTGAGCCCGAACGAGCTGACGCGCTCATAGCATCGGCTTCGTCAAAGAGTCTCTCGGAGTCCCACTTCAACCTGAAAGTTCTCCTGTCATCACGATCAGCGTCATCCGATGTCGCTGGCTTGGTGGTGACAACACAGGTACGCGCGGACGTATACGTACGTTACACTCTCTATACAGCCATGATACGACGACGCGTACTTCTCAGCCGGGCCACGGTAAAACGCGAAAGAAAAAAAAACTTGGCGAGTTCTGGCGAAGTCGCGAAAATTATCTAGAGGCGGTTCCGTAAGTGTTAGAAGGTACGGGAACGTGTTTTTTTTTTTGTTTACCCGTTTTACCGCAAGGTTTTGGAGGATCGTGAACTTTAGTAGGGAGATCCAGGGTTGCGTCGGTCTGTTGCGGTTTGGCGGTTTATGAAGTTATCGTTCAAACGTTTACGTTAACGTTCAGCGGGACTCCAGGCTCTCCGAACTTGAAATTCGTACCTGACAGGCATGACCAAGCCTAAGCCTTTAGGAAGCCTCTGCTCATGAATTCAGAAAGGAATGGTGGCCCATCATGGCATGGACGTCAATGATGGAATGAAACGATGATGCGGCGGCGTCTTAGTGCTCCACGACAAATAGAGTTGGCCCGCCACGGCTATATGCAGCTGCAGCCAAGAGATCGCAGCGAGGTCACCGTCGTCGTTCGTGGTCATGAGATGCAGAGTAAGGTAAGGTTCGTAGCCCAGCCCAAGCTCAAGTCGCTCATGTCAATCCAACATCAACCGCCACTAGCACGACTGCCCGTCAATTGAAGCTCAAGCTTATTTCAAGATCCGAGTCCCCGTCCCTTCCTTGTTTGAGTATGTCCCTATGTTCTTCGTTCATTGTTACTTCACTCGGATGCCAATCCAGAATCATGTGAGCCGGCGTTGGACGACTGGCAGTGGCACCTGATCATGGCCGTCATGCATCCTTGATGAAATCAGTGTCCTGGCCTTCCGGATCCTTGCAATTCTTGCACTTGGCATGACTCAAGCTTGAGCCAACGACAAGCCATTCAATTCAATATTCAATGATCGTGCCGATCATCGACATCATGGGTCGGCCTTCCACACTCCGGCTCGCGCGGAATTCAAGAGGGAAAAGTGGCTCAAAGGGGATAGCACCCTCTATCGAAGGTATACTCCAGTGCTTGGTTGAAGGGGATACACAGACGGGAGGTACCGTGACACGGTCATGCACTGTCTACCATATCATGTGGTATCCGCAAGTGGACGTTGGGATGTTGCACTTGGTGATAGTACGATGGGCCCGGTGCACTATCCGGCTCTCTGTTTTCCGCAGTTATCAACGGGCTGAAGATCGCCGACATGGGTTGCCAGTAGGAACATGGAAAACTCTGAGCTTTCTCTCACCGACTATTCCCGCCCCCGTCTTTTTGGGACTCATTAAATAATTCACGTTCGTACCCCTCAGACCTCGCAGCACCCATCGATCCGTCGGACCACAGAGCACGGGAATCCCACTCTCGGAACGGATCTTATCTGCGTTCTGTCCCCCCCCAGGTAAAGCCTGACAAGCGCCGAATTTATAACTGAATCTGTACTTATGTTTTCGGTCTGAGAGCTGTCATGGCATCATCACAGCCTCGACAAGGCGCGCAGCATTTAAAAAAAAAGAAAAAAAAAAGACACTGACGCGTACTGATAATCAGTGTAGAACCGGCCATCATATGAACTGTCCCCAAGACGTGGCGTTTGTGCCTTTTCGAGTCGCTCCGTCGCTCGACTTGGCCGTTCCTGGCTACCTCTCGATCTCTCGATCTCTCCACTAGTCTCGAAAACTTGGAAGCTCGATGCTGCTGGGGTACACGAATGATCTATGTCATCATTTCCGCACTCCAGCATGACTTCGAACGGCGGTGGCGACTCGGAGTCCCTATCATGTACTATGGGTGTTGATAGTGGGATTCGTGGCAATGGTACGCTTGACACACCTCTACATAGCTTACTGCTTTGCCTCGCATATGCGACATACACTTCAAGGAGGAAAAGCTGCACGACGTTCGTGTTTGTGTTTCATGATCCAAGCCCAACGGGACCACGAGGACGACAGACTTTCTTACCTTCTGCAACTCTATCGCCAGTTGTTTTATTCATGGCAGCATAGCTAATACAAATACAAGTCGTCGTATGTCATTGCCCCCATTTACCCGGTACGAACGCAAATACAAATACAAATGCCATCATAGCCTCAGCATCCAACATTTACATCCTAGCATCAACTAGCTTAATCAGTCGCCTCAGTGCCATCTCGAGCTCCCCATGTTAGCCATACGCACAACAATGCGACTTCCTGACATACCCGCGCAGTATAATCGCTCACTCTCTTCCCCGTTGGTATTACCCGGAGACACCACCCACTCCAAGCCACCGCCGCCGCCGCTTGTCACGCATCGATCCAGGACTCCACGCTGTCGCACAGATTCTGTCGATATCTCATATTGGGAAATCCAAGACTCAGAAAACAAACTCTCAAAGGCGAACAGGATCCTCACTAGATCTTTTACGTCTCGCCCTCCACTCAGACAACTACAACTTCCCCCATCTCTGCGCGCTCCTAACGCCGTGTGGCACTTTTCGCAAACTATTGGTTTTCTGGTTTTACGTGCTCTATCACTGGGATGCGCGTGGTGTACGAGCTTCTTCAACATAAGCACGACCTCGTCACTGTCGTTTCGACCGAAAGTGGCATGAGGGTCGCTGCTACTCATAGAAACTCATAGAAAGACTACGCGATGAGTCTTTATCACCGTCATGCGCCGTGGTATCCGAGCTTCTTCAACATAAACACGACTCATTCCCGTCGTGCCGACGACATTTGCCGGAGGTCCATCGCCCCCGAGCCGTCACTCATCGAGAGGTCGGGGGGCTCACTTCAGGAGTGCCTATTCGCTTTTGGGAACGGAGCCTGCACAACCTGGGATCGTGCACACCTCGGATATCACATCCCTTTACGCATCTTGCTCGGAAAAAAGAAAAAGAAAAAAAAAGAGCTCGAGAGTTGGAGCACGGTCATAATAAAGTTGCTTGTGTTGATCATGCCATGATACCATGATTGCGCGAGTCGTTCACCGTGAGCGGCACTTTGTGAACTTTTGAACTTTGAAGCTTGAAGACGGGCGGGTCAGCTCCATTTTCATAAGAGGCAGTCTTGTTGCGTCATGGACGTCGTCGGAACATGCTATCGAAAATGAAAACCAAAAGTGAAGAAAAAAAAAAAAAAAAAAAAAAAAAAAAAAAAAAAAAAAGAGGCAAAATCAGAGCATTTTCCGTCCGCAGACTCAATTATGCAGAACTTGGGGACAAACGGATCTCGTCCCGAGAGTCTTGGATGTCAACCGCATCCAACACGGCACATGACACAACCAGAATCCCCATTCTCGGACGAATATCGTTTCGCCTCGATTGCGTGCAATGTCCCTCTATTCACACCCTGATCAAACGCGAACCTTCCAAACATTCTCCTCAACCTTGAGATCAACTACTGTTCTGGTTGTCGGTCGGTTTGCTACTGTTGTGAGATAGTGCTGAGATGCCATCGTCCAAATCCCATTTATTAGATACTTTTATAGTACAGCAATAAAGTCCAATTTCTACATTATTTAGTAAAAGACCTTGCCGACTTGACTCGGGGCGAAAGCAGCACCGTTGAAGATGTCATCCTTAGAAACGCCGTTCACCTCAAGGGCTAAACCGCCTCTACCTCATTCTGAGACCCCTCCCTAGCTGCCGTGCGGATGCCCGAGTCGAGCATGATCTCTGGGGTGTCGTCCTTCTCCGTGACCTGTTTCAAAAACATACCCACCCATTAAAATCTCCCTCTGCGTCCATAGAGCCCTGAAACACGGGGGAGGGGGGAGAACGTACCGTACTCGATGCACCGGCGGTGGACACGCTCGTATCTCCGTTGACGGTTATGTTGAAAACAGGCGTCTGGACCACGCTAGCGTGAAACTTGGAGGTTTCACCTTGAGTATTGTTGAGCCACGTTCGACCGCTTTCTCGAGAATTTAGCCTATCGACGCAATCATGACAGATCAGCGCCCCAGTTCGTCGTGATAGTCATCAAACTATGGTACTCACATGGCAACTAAAACAAACACAGATTAAGTAGAATTCTCGGTTAGAAGGCTGTGAGTAACTCGAGGGGAAAAACCGACGTACGCAAGGTGTTGGTATAAAGTTTACTCTTGCATAGATGAAACGGCATCCTAATTGGGTAGTTTTAGTACACAGCTGCAGCAGACGGAGAAACGAAGCTGAGGCTTTACCAGTAAAGATCGGTCGCTGCGCATAGATACGCAATGAGCATTCCGAGCTGCACAAATGTAACGAGGATACCGCGGTTCACCAGAAAGATGAACAGGGTTTTAATCCGAGAAGAGCCACTCCTACAGAGAGGGGTAGATGCATAAATAACTAGGGGCAGTCGCGATAAATAGATCGCTATACCTACCTCCTTACACCGGTACGAGCCGGAGAGAGTATGTGGCATAATGCGATTGTCGTAATCAAATCAGCTACCACCGCACAACCTTCCTCGGCACCAACAGCAACCTGCAGCACGTCAACAGACGAGTCCAAATAATTTTCACATCTGGCTCTCACCTGTACTGGTGTACTCGAAAAACGTTGCGTTGTCCATATCACTAACCAAACAGCCCTGACTTGATAGTGAAGGTCATAAGGATGTATACGGGGTGGGGGTATGATATAACTCACGAGTGCCGGAAGCTCAACGATACAAAAATACACCGTCACAACCGTGTCCCAGTCGTATAACTCTGAAAATGCGCACCTAAACCAAACACTGCAAAAAAGGCCTGGCAACAATCGGATATTCAGTATATCTTTTCCCGACGAATAAAAAGGGTGGGGTACGGACCACAACAGCAGGAACTAGCCAAACCGCACTATACCTCGGCAACACAAGCGATTGCTTGTATACTAGGCGTATTTGAGCTAAACAACGTGAAATTCAGTGAATTGAATACTTACTCTTATAGAGCCGAGTAGCAAAATATAATTGCGTCCTGGGAAAGGTGCCAGTGAGATGGCGAGGAGCGTTTCAGAAGTGGAAGACGTACACACAAGTGACAAATGCTGTCACAAACGTTTCAACACACCAGGACCTACAATACGCAAGGATTTTTCCGCACGTAAGTTTCTTGGCGTCCCATGCAGTATTGAATTATACTTGCGTTGGAATTCGGGCGAACGCCATTACATTTCCAAAATTCACGAGCTTGCGGAAGCGACCGTCTGATAAAGGCAAAGGAGCGAAAAAATAATAAAAACGCACGAAATAGAAATACATTGTTTCTCCGATTAGCACGCTGCCTGCTGGATCGAGAATTCTGGGATGAAAGGCAGTTAAGAATATAATCACGCAAATGCCCCAAGTCAAAGTACGACGAACAGGAGTAAAATCACCTGAGTTTCCAGAACAATATGTTTGGTTCAGTGTTAGCGTATTATGATCACGAAGGGAGAGCGCAACGCTTACTAGTGCCTTGATAGTCCAAGGATCACGGCTGTTATTCGTGAAATATATGTAGCCTTGCACGATAGAGATCCCAACGAGGCTAGATGTTAGGAGACGGTGAGCGGAGGCCTTCAGAATAACATTCCGATCAAAAAACGAACGCTGTCGAGAAGATAAAACCTGATGGACCCATCAGAATCAGATAAAATATCACGCCTCGAGAACGACCACTCACCCCAATACATGGCCCCAAAGAACAGTGGTACATTGAAGCCGTTCATCGTGATCTCAGTCCTCGCGCGTTCAACTTGGGTGTGCAAAGCAAGCAAAATGTCCGAGTCGACCGGCCAGAACTACTTCACTGGGTCGAGTATAATAGTTATCTGGAAGAAAGATTAAGTCGACCTCGCTATTAGAAGAAAGGAGATATAGGGTAATAGTTGACCCCAAGCTCAGCGGACCTACTAGTTTGGATTCTGCAATTTAATACAAATGCAGTATGTATATATTGTACTTGCTGCATCATAAGAAGGAGCATGGTTGACATGTCGTTGACAAGGAACAAATGCCACACTCAGGATTTCGACCCGAAGTCTAAGGTTTTCAAGTTTGGCAGGGTCGAAAACGCTAAGCGGCTCTTTGGAAAGCCGAAATGTCAGTTGGTGCCGTAGGGTTCAATAGTGTTCAAACGTAACATATAAGCTTCACGATTTACATGTAAGTACCAATCAAACATGGAAATTGTACTCTCCCGATCGGCAGCCATTGCACTGACAGTCTGCCCGTGAATCGGACATTTTTGTATACCTCCAGCCTCTGAGTCTAAATTCGTGATAGGTTACCAGTGGCTCGCTCTTGGATAATACCACAGCCTGCAGTCTGAGTACTAGGCTGTGTAAAATAGCACGATGCATGGCAGTTCAGCGGCGCGATAACAGTAGCCGAGTCTTGGAGAAATCTAGTCATGTCGTTGCATTGAATGGTTGTCAACCATGTCTTCGCAGTCTAATGGATTAACTTTATCTTGTGCCTATGCACCAAGCAAAAAAAATAGTCAGCTAATCGATATCGTCGTCCAGTAACGTCACATTTACCAATTCCAATGAAGATGCGCTTCTGACAACAGCGTGAGGGGAAGGAGGATAGTTGGGTGCGGTAATATCGAGAACAGGGATATCATCAAATCGTGAATCGTCAATTCGGGGGCGGGTATTGGCATTGTTCGCGCGACTATGGTGCCGAATTTCTCGTGAATTAAGCCTTCACCCCACGTGAGTATAAACATCAGTCAATGGCGATTGTGCTCACATGGCAACTAGGGATATTCATAGCGAGGTCAGATGAGCATCGGATAAGCCGATACGACAAACGCACGAAGAGTATTAGCGTATAGCTTGCTTTTGCATAAGTGGAAGGGCATCCTGTGAGATGCTCTGTGGTTTGCATGTTTTGTGTGGAAGTTAAGCGTTAGGCTCACCAATAAAGATAACTTCGCGCGCCCAGATACGCTACGAGAACGCCTACCTGAAAGATCGTGACAATGATGCCCCTATTCATGACAAAAAAGAAGAGGTTTCTCAAACGCGAGCTTCTCCTGTTAAAAAAATGGTCATGGGCCGCCCGATAAATACGCGCGATAAACTTACTGTACGACACCAGTACGACTTGGCGAGAGGATGTATGACAAAGTTGTGGTTACAAGAATATCTGACAGTACCGCAGAACCATCTTCTAAAATAACTATAACCTGGGGTGAATCGATTAATGAAAAGTGATGTATCTTGAGGCTTTCTTGCTTGCACACCTGCATGGTAGTACTCGCAAACTGAGACGTCGGCCAGACAGACATGAAGTAAGTCTCCGCTGCAAAGAAGAATGAGAATTTTGATCTGCACAGAGGGAACGCGTTTTTCTTACACAAACCACCCACTGACACACAACGTCTCTCATTAGCAAGCTCGCGAAAACAGTAATTGACGATGCATACTTAACCCGGCCACGGCAAAAAAACTCTGCACATATATGAGAAAATAGCAGACTAACCCGGTAGTTGAGAACATACCACAGCTACAGGTAAAAATCTGCCGTATCCTGGAAGTATTGCGCATGTCCTATTTACTGGGGTGGGGATCAGAAAATGAACCATACCATAGCAGCTAGAAAACAGGCACTTATGTAGATCCTGCTGGCAAAATAAAGCTGCGTCCTAAGAATAAAAGGCTCATTTCGGTAAGGAAGTCTATGTTCGAGCTAAAAACTTACATGCAGGTAATCAAAGTTGATAAGGCCTTCTCGGCCCACCACGATCTACGTTGATCGAAGGTTATACGATAGAGCATGAAACACCAAAAGGCTTACATCGGGACTTCGAAGAAAACATCAACGTTTGCAAAATTCACAACCTGCCATAGGATGCGTCATTTTTGCGAGTTAACGACATAGTTGGATGGGAACGAACAAAGTAGTGAAATATGGCCTGCCCCATCAAGACTGTCGATGCGACATCGAGTATACTGTTGACAGATATTCTCATAAAGGCATCCTATCAAAGAGTTCGCTACATACAGTAGGACAGTCACCTGACGTCAAACGCATGAGTTCATGGGCTGAAAAGTAGCCAACATTGCTTACCAACAACCTCAACGACCACCTATCTGAATTCCGCGAGAAATACATGTAGGCCTGTACAACAGTGGCCCCAACTAAACTGGATACCCCGGGTTTCAATAACAGTGCAATTGGTATAAGACCACACGTACCTTGTCGCCAAGACAAATCCTAACACAGAGAATCGCTCTAGCTACAACGTGATTGAAGAGTGGTGAACAGCTTACCCCAATAAAGAGGCCCATAGAAAACCTCCACACTCCAAGTAGCTGGCGACGGGGGTGGATATGAGGGAGTACTTAGAGAAGTATCACTTGAGTAGAATTCTGACATAGGGATTGAATCGACTTCCCCAGACTTTTGATACTGGACATGGGATCGAAAGACCTGGATGACTAAGGTAAGCCAATCATTCTATCCGGCATTGTTATTCGCGTACTGTTATAACATGCAATACTACCAAATACTGTGTGTTTGAAATTCGAATTACATGCCTAACCTGGAAATCAATGTAATAGGACTAAAAAAAGAACCCACATAATAACACACAAACGCCTGCATGTTCTCACAGAAGCGGCGCCATTCGTGAATTAATGGTCACGACCACTGCACGAATGTATACGACGGCGGAGGTAGGGCCATCATGTGTGAAGGATGTTCTGTCTAGGTTGATGACACAGTGAAGTCAGCATTCGTGACGAAGAGGGTGATATGCTACATACCAGGCTTATTTGGGCTAGGAAATTGGCGCCCACGATAAATACATGCGGCTCCGGAGTCCCGATAAAAAATATCTAAGTGATGTTGAGGTGATCTACTACATCTAACCTCACCATCATATAACTTAGGTAATTCCATATCCACGAATCTTCTTTGAATAGGCCTCGGGGTTAGTCCTCTATCCTGAAAGCGATGAAGATACAGGAACAATATAAATCCCGATGGATAGAACTCAGCATCAAATTTTAATCAGGCGGCCTACGAGTCCCCTGTCAGAAGGCAATTTTAATTTCAGCAAACACACTCACTCACTGTGAGTCCATCAAGATCCTGCTTTTATGAAGATATTTACTAGCTTACACACAATATCACCCGCTTCAAGGGTCAGGCAAGTACACTTGTCTCCGCAAGTTACTCTACTGATAGGGCATCTAACGTGTTAGATAATCCCTGCGTCGGTGTTGATAAAGGTTGAATCCAAGAATAGAATGACCACATAGAGCCTAAGTCAGCTGAGTAGGTGAGAAGATCATCTGTAAGTATATTCATGGGCTGGTCCCACTTGGTGTCGGATAATATTGGGTGTGAGATCATTGACACAAACCACGACAACTACATCTACCTTCAAGTTCATTCATGTGCTTCAGCTACATCTCCCCTGTCCCTTGCCCCACCAGCTCTCGAGGGAATGGAGCTTGGCATACCAACCTGTAGCGCATGCTTAAGGTCCCTCGCTGTCCCAACTGAAGATGTAGCCTCGACCATACCAGTAACGGTAGAATTACTGTCTATGGTAGCCCCATCATCTTGCTTTGCCTTTGTAAGCAGCTGCTTAACTGCCCAGTCAATGTAACCTGTCTTGTTTGTTTCCCATGGGCGCTTGCTGTGATCAGGAATGGGGAGCTTCGAAAGAATTGTTGACGATGGATCTAGCGTTGGCAATGATGAGACGGAGTTAAACATCATTTCTAAATGATCAGGAATGGCTGCCAGTTCTCGACATTGTGGTGATTGTAAGAAAGCTATGCGGTTGGTGTAAGTTTGAGATCGGCGCAGCTTAGAAGATGACCTTCGCACTGCTCGTTGATATAGACGATTGAGACGACGTTGCTATGGTGTCTCACGTCAGATGAGTGATCTTTAGTGGCATAAAACGGACACCTACAGTATCAATTTTCCTCCTCAAGTCTTCAAGTTCAGCCAATAACTCTGTTTCCCTCTCAGGTGGATACTCCAAGTTATTTCCCTTCTGGTGAGGAACGACGATAGGCAGGCTCGCTGGGATGGCAAATATATTTCGTAATGACCACAGTTCGAAGAAATCGAAGGCGATGTCGGCGTGAGATTCCAGGAGCGTCTGGAATGCAACTAGACCTTGTTCCACTTCCTGCGTGCTATCCCAGTCCTCTTCTACCGCAGCAGCGCGTTCGTCGGCCCAGCGTTGCAGGAATTCTTCCATGCCATTGACGGCGAGGGTAATCGCATCATTCGCGTGATTTATTATATCGTCCAAGAGGAGCTGCGGCGAGAAGTTCAAAATCTCAGGTAGTAGCACTGACGGAACGGTAGCGGCTTGCATGTTGATTGCCATGAAAGGCTGAGCGAAGTCACGGTCGCGACGCGACTCTTACGCTACAATATTTGTTTCACGTGACCCAATCCTACTAAGTCCTTAAGCAGAGTTTGAAACAACAAGTTCACCGGGCCCGATATCACAATTAATTGCCTACGTATTTAATCCTTGTCCTCTCAACCGAAGGAGAGCGAAATGTCATACAAGTCAATGACTCGCAGATTGCAATGATATATCAAACATATTCTTCCCATCGGTATCCCATCGCTGAAATAATCGTTCTAGCACTTTCAATGACCTTCGCCTTGGCATTGCGCTTGACTTCCGCCCCAGGTATCATACCATGGGCAATGTCAAAGGAGAAAGGCTGAATAGCCTTAACAATATGGCTGATAGCAGCAGGGGATAAAGGAATCTACGCTCGCCAGCGTAAGAGCATATCACCATGAAAAGCAGAAAGCAAGACTCACCATATTCGGATAACTCCATAAAAACCCAAACGACACTGTGCCTTCCTGACGGTCGACGTCGTATAAAGCAGACTGGGCAAAAGGTATCTTAGTATGTGTTTCATGAGGTCGGTTCAGTACCACGTACAGGGGCGACTTGGATGCTATCCGCCACAAATAAGCGGTTCTCCCAATGTAGAACCATGCTACCTGGGAAGTGCCCCCCGACCTTGATCGCCGTCACACCTGGCAGAACCTCCTTTACGGGAGTATCGACAAATCGACGTACACAGCGTGTGTCAGAGCGTGCGAGCCATTCTTCATCGTCAGACGCCAGGTAAACAGGGGCATCGTTGAATGCTCGAGACCATGTTAGATGAGTAGTATAAAAATGGGGATGGGAAATGACGATTGCATCAATTCCACCCAACTCGTTGATCTAGCAGACTTCATCGTTTGGGTTAGCGTCCCTAGTAAATCGAAAAGCCCCACCTTTTCGACAGTTTCATGGTCTATGTAAGCTACATCGTCCCAAAGGACATTACCATGCTGTGTCTTGATCAAAAACGCCCGCTGGCCAATGCCAAGCTTGGATACCGTATTAATTGTCCAAATGCGTGGCTCGTCAATGTAAGGCTGAGTTATCTCGTTCTTATGCTTCTGGCTTCTACGCGCATCGGAAAGACGCGTGAACGACTGCCCAGTAGGTGGAACATATTGTCGTGGGTCCTACAGCCAACAATTCGTCTGAATAAAAGCGATACATCTCTCGTGAGAATGAGTAAACTCACGTCACATATATGGCAGCTCTTTAGTCCAGCGGTAACATCGAACTGCGTGCCACAGGTAACACAAACGAGTAACTCGTCTTCGTAATCAAACGACATTGTAGTACGAGAAACTTGAAATCCAACTTGAAGAGTTGCTAGTGCGCCACACTGGCAGCATGGTGATGTTTCCCCTATTTAAAGATAGACCTTTATATTTAAGTCATGTGGTCAATTGTCCCATGTCAGTGGATTTGATACAGATCACGATGTGGTACTACTCTGGACGGTGTTATACCCCTTGACCTGTCAGATTTGATAACACTGGTTCTCAACCTCGTTGGCAGGTTTATCACGTTGGAAGGGATGACCTATTGCTTGTTTTGTTAGTACAAAAGATTAAACTTGAACCTAGCTAGTAGACCTCCTCTAAACATCAGATGTAGTATAGTCTATTCGCATTTTAAAACATACTGACTAGCTTGATGATTTTGCGATTTTTGTTATGGTCCCAAGGTTCGGCATTGATATTGACCGTGGTTTTGACAGTCCAAAATCAATGGGTGGGCTCATGAGGCTTGCACATGAGATGTCCGCATCATGTCGATGACCGATGACCCTGATAATAACTGGAATGGTTCAGTTTTCATGTCAATTTTCAAAACGTATGGCTGTAGGCTCAGTGCAGTTCAAGAGCAATCGGATGGGGCAATAATCAGAGTATACCTTCTGCTTACAAGTGAGGGTATATCAAACAAGGCGAGAAGCCCAGCTAATAAATGGAACAAGGGCATCGTAAAGATTGTTTGCAGACGATCGGTCAAATAAAACATTGAAGCTAGTAATCATCAAGGTCCACGGGCCTGACAGTTTGCATCCTCTCCACCACTTCACGGAACTCCGTCTCTGCAAAAGCAGCAGCTTCCTTTGCCACGTCGAGTTTCATATGAAGCTCGTCAGCGGTCATAGTCCTGGAAGCTCCATCGTCTTCAACCACTGCGATGTTATCAAAGCGCCGTAAAGTATTGCCCACACGAGGCATGAAACCGTGCCGGTCCCATCCATTGTCGTTGAAAGAGAGAACAGCCCGTACAGCTGCTGTGTTGATGTCACGGTGAAGTTCTTCCAGCTTGGACAATTGAACTTCCATCCACCTTGCCCGACGTTCCAAGGCTAAAGTTAATGCTGCTACTTCATCCTCTTTTCCAGAAGCATCATCGCCTCCGTCATCGAGAAAATCATCTCCTTTCAACATGTCACGCAGGACACCGTCAAACGATGAACTATCATCCCATGTCGTTCGAGGTAACAGGCGTAATAGATCCGAAATAGTCTGTGTCAAGGTTTCTAGGAGCTGCTGGAATGAAGAGACTGCATTATCTATGGATCCTGAGGGCATGTTGTTCGCAAAAGAGCCTCCACCGACCGACAGTGCAGATAAGGCATGAACCAAAGGCCCATATTCAAGAGGCATCTTGGCAGCAGGATTCACTTTGTGAAGATCAAAGAACGAATGATTGGGAAGGTCCATGCTAGGATTCTTGACATCAATTTCATCGAGTAAATCAGCGACAGAAGTCGGTTCGATGGGTGTGAGTGGATCAACAGATCGAGCCCTTGAATTGTTGGTGCTAGAACTTGCAGTATTGCCAATCTTCCCATGAGTGAATGGAGCATCTAACACTGACGCAGAGGGAACCGCGGGGGACTCCTCGGCTACAGCACCGTCTTCCTTGGGGATGCGGATGGGCCTGGTGACTGGTTTGTTCTTCTTGGGCATTTTGGAAAGAATAGGAGCTTGTATAATAGATTCTGGCGTTCGTGCAGTGGTGGAGGGTTGTTTGGATGGAGGCAGCTTCTGAAGTGTGGTAGTTCCACGCTCAGCCTGGATGCGAGGAGTTTTTGGATCACCGGACTGTTTAGCGGCCTTCGCTGCTTTCGCTTGATTATCCTTTTCCTTCTCTACTGCCTTTTCTCTCTCCACCTTCGCGAGCCTCTCTGTCTCCAACTTTTCCCGCATAATTCTTTGCTTCTCAGCGAGCTCTTTCTCAGCCCTCTCTTTATCCTGTCTTTCCTTCTGGGCCAAATCCTCAGCTGCTTTCAAGGCTGCAGCTTTCTCTTTTTCCACAGCTTTCTCTTGAGCGAGTCTGGCTTTCTCAGCTACTCTAGCAGCAGCTTTCTCCTGAGCAATTTTCTGCCTTTCTGCAGCTCGTTCGGCGGCTAGGGCCTTTTTTGCCGCTTTGCGTTCTGCCCGAGCCTGCGACGTAGGATCCTCGGTAGGTGATTGGCTTTCAGTTAAGGCAGACGGGCGTTGAGAGATAGCTTCTGCGCTTAGCGCAGGAAAGTCTGAGGAAGACAATGCGATAGATGGCGAAGGAGAAATAGAACATGGAGCTTCAAATAAAAAGGATTTGTGACCGAAGAGAAAAGGAGTATCGTCAGCAGACGATCAACTAGGCCTAGACATGAAAAAAGGAGGGATGAAGCGCATGCATGGCATTGGTCTTGAGAGTCGGGCTCAGATAAGAGCGATTGACATTATAGTTCATGGCATGCAAAGCGCAGCGGAATCCTCAAAGGAGACGAAAGATGATGACGGAGAGAAGATGACCGCGCCATCCCATTGTGATGATAAATTAAGGCCGATAATAGTATTTCCGCACTGAGAAAGTACGGTACTTGGTACTCTGACCTCCCTCCCCAGAAATATACTTAGAAAGGACTCACCTTGTGATGCTGTGCTTAATCGAGGCATGTCCCCACTGTTTGCGGGACTACCTGGTTTACCAGAAATACTGGTTCCTAGGATTGGGGTAACCGGGATACCGGGAGGAAAGTTGAGGCCGGGTGGTGGCCCATAAGTTAAATGAGAGGGCGAGGATGTATGACTTTCAATGGTGGATGAGGGAATATTGGTAGAACTGGCGTTTGACGGTAGTGCAGAGGATACCACTGGCGATGCTAACCTTGCTGACATGATTGCGGGATCGTGAAACGGCTGGTTGGCAGCGTACTTGTACTCCGTAGCTTGATTGAATACAAGAGAGGGACACAACACAGTATAGGACGATCAACGCATATGCAAGAAAGATACAATAGACGGTTAGCGACATATTACAGACGAAACAACAGAATTCCACCTACCAATGAGACCACTGCGAACGGATGGGGTCCTGTCCCGACTAGACTGAATCAGTTCTCGAAGTTGCGCCTCACTCACACCAGTACCAGTATCAAACTGTTGGAAACGGTGGTGCTGTTGGGGAGAATACGAGATTGGTGCATGTTGTGCAAGGGGAGACCCTACATTTGGGCTTGTTTGAGAATAACTGTGGTATATAGGCAGTTGCCATTGCGGTTGTGACGATGGTGTAGAAGAGTCGGGAAAAAATGAGTGAGGACTATCACTTCTACTGAGCGGCGAAGATGCATTAAGCGATGAGGCAGCGACGGTCGATCCCTGACGTCCCCTGGCAAAGTCGAACCTTGATACTTTTCTTTCTTCGTCAGGAGTTGACTGTGATGATTTCCTCAAATCTGGTGTAGAGTTATAGTTTGTGGTCACGGACGCATTTTCACCTGCATCTGCGAACGGATTAAATGACCCTGTATAATTGGAGTTTCCCGTGGGCTGCTTTTCAATCGGTGTGGAACGCATGGAGAGCGGATCGTAAATAGGACGAGCAGAACTTTGTGAAAATCCCAGTCCTGGCGGGACCATAACTGTACGTGGAGGCTGTTGACCGGGGGTCTTGAGAGCAGGAAAGGCTTCAACAAAATTGCCACTGAATGGGACGTTCGCTTCTGACTCAAAATCAAGCAGCGTTAGATCAACATCGTCTCCAGCAAGCTTCGGGTCTAAATTGAAACTGAAACCGCCAAACTCGCTATCGTCCCCACTCAAAGTCTGCAACGTACGATCGAAATCTGGAAATGGACTTATAACCGTTACAGGAACAACCGATTCACGACGTGCTTTGACGTCGTCAAGAAGGGCTCGGGCGGCGATAGACATCTGATATGATGATTGGGAGGACTGAATGGACTGTGGTGCGACACCATCCGTGTTAACTGCTTTACTAGGTGCTGGGAGACCTGGAGGAACATCCGGGATACTAGGAGGCACAGAAGGTACAGAAGACTGTACCGAGACAGTAGACTGGGGACGAGGTGCAGGTGAAGGTGGTAGATCCTGTGAACCTGACCCAATATCAAACTCGATGGCAACAGAGGAAGTGGGTGACCGCGGAGGTAGTGGGACATGAGACTCCTTCTGGCGTAGAGATTTCACGTCAGGAGGAGTTGCAGGACGTTGAGGTAACAGTGGGGCTGCAGGAGTAGAAGGGCGTGAAGAGGACGCCACCGAAGGAGCTTTTGTGCTTCCAGCCACAGAACCACCTTTCCTATCATGATGCCCTCGGGTAGACGGTCGAGGTTCAGCAGCAATGTGATGTGCACTACTCGTCGCATTACGACCCTGTCGTGGCACACCGGCTCCACGCCGCGATGATCTTGGTATGGCACTTGAATGGTGACCAGAAACGTGAATATTATTATGCAATGCTGGAGAAGTATTCGCAGCTTGTGCTACTTTCTGACCCCAAGCAGCCGTGCGAGGCAAGGCTAGAAGGATTCTTATAAGATATAATCCCATGACTGAAAGACGGTGAGAATTACCATCGGATTCGTCTAATTTTTTCGCCGAGTGCAAGACCCTCGACCTATGTTCGCTGTCCTTCATGGTATGCTTCCTAAATTAAAAAGTCAGAAAAGGTAAACAAAGGTGCTGAAGTAGAAGTAGACATACAGAGTTGTCAAGTCTTCCTTCGTAAAACAGTCCTTCTCGTCCCCCCATTCATGAAGGTTCATGCAACTGTGATCGGAACAAGACACTCCGCGTAGAAAAGCCATACAATACTTTGTAGTACCATAGCTGGTTCGCACAACTTCTCGACCACCACCTGGAGATGGAGTCCCATCCACGGCCGCAATGCATCGGGCAGCATCCTCGCGTCGATGATACGTTATATACAGACCAACGACGGGATTGCCACCTCCAGGAGGTGTGCGCTTCACTAAGAGAATCTTGGATATCTTGCCATACTGGCCAAAGTATTCATTGGAGCGTAAAGTAGGTATGAGCTGTACCAACCACACCGTTAGCGAGCAGCGACGCTCAAAGAAGCATAAGCTTACCTCTTCCTTTGCAAATCTGGGACCTATTCCCACCACATAAACAACGTTGCGCTGAACCACCCGAACATTGGCTAGTTGGCGTCTTCCCAATGCTTCCAGATCTTTTCGTTCACGCTCCCTTTGTTTCTTCTGCTGGGTCAAACGCTTGTGACTAAAAAAGACGAGAAAATCAAAAGGCAAGTTCACGACCCAAATATTGAAGTAAGACGTACTCCTCCTTTGCAATAGCCTTAAATTGAACAGCTTCGTCAGTATACTCTCTACGGCACGCAGGACAACGTCCGTTGAGGTTCTCCTTTATATGATGCCAACAAAACCGGCATATCTATTGAAATATGGATGAGAAACGTCTACCCGCGCATGGTAGTAATAAGCACATACTTGGTATCCGCATACACAGGGTTTGAAATTAAGGTCGGAGATATCCATCTCCTCGAGACACAAAGGACATTCAGCATCTTCCTGCAAATATCAGGGCGATCAGCCAACACAGATCACCAGACACTACAGAAGAACTTGCCACATCGTCGTCGCTCCAATACGCGTCCTGGACCCCAGCCAGTACATGAGACTTGGATTGGGGAGTAGAAAACCCGGCATGAATGACAGGAGCTGGTAAGGATGGATGGCCGTGGGATCTTGTTGTGGACATTGTGATGAACGTTCTGGATGATATGAGATGTAGAATACGGCAAGTTCAAGGGCACAGACAGGCAGCAGGCAAAAGTCGAAACGAAGAGGGAGGTCAACGCGACTTCGAGCACAATGAGGCGACACACATAAAATTCTCACACACCCTTGTTGAGACGTATTTGGCATTAGTGGCTGTAAGAATAATTTGAAGTTTCATAAAATAATTATTTATATAAACAAAAGTATCTTTTCGTTTGGTATCACGCGCGTGCTTGTAGTATCATTTTCACGGTATTCACTGGCAGAGCAGATGCAATCCTGGGCCAGATTCCTTTACCCGCATCTGAAACTCAACGTCGCACGTAACAGCACCAGAACACACATTCGATCCATGCAGGTAGCAGCATCTACGACGGTTGGCAGTAAAGCTAGACGCTCTGCCACCCGGCCCCATCCACCACAAACAGCACCGAACCAGACTAATGGACAAGGCGGACAAGTTGATGCAATGGACACGAGTCGAACACACCTCTCGACTATGAGATTTCGAGATGCCCCTATATCTAACGCGTCCAAGGCAGGTATCAAGCACGAGTGCGTACTTTTACCACCAGTTGCTGGTCATGTTCAGGTCCATGGACTATATTGAAAGCTACGCAGATTTTTAACAGACGTTCAAGGTAAGATGTCAGACGCTGTACGGATTTCCATGCGCCGTTGCTGACTGTTTTACACCTGAAGAGGCCACGCTCAAGGTTAGTCGCCTGTTCAGTTGTAGGTCACTGCAGTTATTGACCTGGCTGGATAGCTTGGTTTGAGTGGCATAGACCTTCTTGTGCAGGCTAAGACGGGAACAGGTAAATCTTGTTATATCCCATAAATCTGTTCCATTCTCATGCGTGCAACCGCGGAATTATAGGAAAAACTGTCGCATTCCTTCTCCCTGCTATAGAGCGACTCGAAAAGCAAAATTTACCACAGGATAAGATATCCATTCTTGTTATTTCTCCTACGCGTGAACTGGCACTACAAGTATATAACCCTTCTCGCTTTACAGAAAGCTGAATAATAATGCGCTCGTGTGTTACTCTAGATCGAGAAGGAAGCCCGAGATTTAATTGCTCATCGCCAACTATGTGTTCAAAATGCCATCGGTGGTACAAAGTTTGTGATTAATTACAATTACCATCTTCTACTATAACTATTCCTTAGTATCAACAAGGAAAAAAGTCGTATATTTTCCCAGCGCTGTGACATTCTTGTTGCTACTCCCGGCCGGCTTATTGATCACCTACAGTCCAACAATCTGAAACCGCGTCTAAGCAACCTCCAGACTCTCATATTGGATGAAGCGGATCGCTTACTCGACCAAGGCTTCAAACGCGATCTTGAAACAATCTTCTCTTTTCTCCCTGATCGAAGACACGTTCCGCGACAATGTATGCTTTATTCCGCCACATTGAGCCAGGAGATCAAACAGGTATAGTACAGTTTATATTAACTTTCATTTAACTCTACTTATCAAAGTATAATTCATCGTTTTACTCAGATTGCCTCATTATATCTCCACTCCAATCATAAGTTTGTATCAACTTTAACGGAAGGCGAAACTAATACCCATAAACACGGTAAGTATATTTCTATATTTATGTCTATTGTTACTGATATACTCTTGATATAAGCTGCTCAATTCTACGCTATCGCACCAATGTCTGATATCCACCCTGCTACAATTTCCATTCTGTTGTCCGACGCTGCGGCTCACCCTGGTTCTTCAAAGACTATTATCTTTTGTACAACCGCTCGCGCCACAGCATTTGCAGCTGAAGTTGCCCGCCAAGCAGGTGGTTCGCAAATGCCCCAAGTGTTCGAAATCCACAGTCGCATGTCGCAAAATGCCCGCATCAAAAGTGCAGACGCGTTCAAGAGTGCTACCAGCGCCGTTTTGTTCAGTTCCGACGTTACCGCGAGAGGAATGGACTTTCCTGGGTAAGTGAACGAGATAGATTGAGTGTTTCTTGACCGATCATCTTTGTAGCGTGACACTCGTCCTTCAAGTTGGTCTGCCAAGTTCTGCCGAACAGTATATTCACCGTCTAGGACGTACAGCCCGTGCTGGTGCGGGTGGCCGAGGTATACTCTTGCTATCTCCTCCAGAAACTTATTTCCTCGCGAAGCGTGAGATGAGCGCTCTGCCAATTACGCCATACACGTCAACCTTGTCTCTCGACGAGTTACGCACTGTAACCAACACTGTAACTACTGGCCTTGACCCGAAGATCAAAGGACAAACCTATGCCGCATGGCTAGGGTTTTACAAGAGCTACTGCAAGCCAATGAAGTGGTCACCCGCGCAGCTCGTTATAGAAGCTAACAAATATGCACGAGAAGTGTTAGGATGGGAAGGGAAGCTCCCACCTCCCCTTGCCAGGAGAACGGTTGGCATGATGGGCCTAAAGGGCGTACCTGGACTCAATATTGTCGCGAAGCTAGAAGATTGACAGATAGGTTCGTAAAATGTGTGCCCACCACAATCAGTCTTGGTACAGTCTCAATGGACTCGACATAGAATGCACTTATTATAGTGTAATAGATTGCTCGTGTTTTCCTTCCCATCAATAAATCACCATTCTTACGCTGGAATTATGTTTGCTACATGGTATGAGCTAAAGCATGATGATTGAGATATTTACACGAGATCTGAGAGAATTACTGCTATGAAACCATTTACTGAAACAAGTTAGAAGTCATCGTCGTCAAAATCCCGTCTGCGTTGGTACTGTCACAAAAATATCAGCACTGCACACGAATTGTTTGCGACACAGTCAATGTATTCTCACCACTATAGTTGTCTTCTTTGTCGTTGTCTTCGACTGCGCTTCCTCCATCTATGGAAAAGATAGCCTCAGCATAGTCCCACCACCATACACTTGGAAACCTACCTGCTCTAATAGATCTATCAACTGTTGCTCACTCACCCGACCACGAAGTTGTCCCGATTGTGCCATTCGGAGAAGAACAGCCTCAATTTGTCGGGATCTTTCTGGACTGACAAGTGCGATGCGAGATACTGCAGAGATCGTGGAAGCGGAACGGGGCAACATCGCATCAAAAGTCAGACATTATCTTACGGTCAGCATGGAACAACATCATGGACAGAACTTCAAGGACGTACACCGCTCCCGTGCAGCAGTGTCCAGTACAGTTGCCATCATGTCTCTCCTCATCTCTTCCTCTGCGACGCGCTTTGCTTCCTCCTCAGCACCATTTTGCGGCGATGATGCACCCTTCGGGATTTGACTGAGACCCTCCATACGATATGATTGACACTAGGTAGATTCCAGCAGTTTATGTGACTTAGCGAGTGGCCACTGGATATCGCAGAGCAATTTGGAAGATTGTTTTACTTCAGCTATCGTGGACTCGGGGCGGCAAAGTCCGACATCTTTCTTAAGACGATAATCAGAGATTCAACAAAAACTATAAGTAAGTACGTATATTTCTAGAGCAGTGCATTGTAAACTAAACGGTATCCATCATGATAGCACCCAACAAGCGTAGATTAGAACAATTTGACACGATGTCAATCAGTACAATATATACCACTAAGCTACAAACATGGAGAGAATACAACAAATGGAACATATCACTACATACTGAAGATAGTCGTAAAAGGGCGATTCAAATTCTTCATGGGACTGTAAAACCTCAAATCATCAACCCAAGAATAACGCTGACCAACATCACCATGGTGCCTGCACCGTGACTAAGTTGGATTGCGCTATTAGTTTGTGTTGGAGCAGCAGCTGAGCTGGATGAGCTTGCAGTGCCAGTGCCATTCAGTTGCTTTGCACGAGCCTGGAAGGCGCCAAAGTTGTTCGCGCCAGACTCCACAGCGTTTACGGAGAATACCATTCCTTGGCCGCAGTGGCCACTTTGCTTGCAATACACCCAGATAGGAGAAGTCTGAGAAATGATGAGATCAAAATGATTTAATAGGTAAATCCAGTATAAACACTTACATCGTTGACTTTAACAGTGTAAGTCGGGAAGGTCGTGGCATTGGCGGAAACTGGCATGCTATATGATATGTTGTTAGATTTATTTATTTTGTAAAACGATTGGTGACTCACAAGCCAGAATCAAATCCGATCTGTCCGTTTGTGGACGTCAGGGTTAAGGCGCGACAAGGATCTGCGAACGTAGATTGTGTAGCGGTATGGTTCTTCTGCATGAACTGGAATGTGACTGTGTCACCTGCTTGGGCAGTGATGTTCGAAGGAGTGTAGGTAAGATTTGGGCCACCGACAATGACTTTGTGGTCGGTACCCGAACCAGAGGTAGGAGAAGCAGATCCAGGGTAAGAACCATAAGTCGTAGTGACAGTCTGACCTCCAGAAACGGTAACAGTCGCAGTGACGGTAACAGCGCCAGAAGGAGAGGTTGCGGTGGCAGCAGATGCGGAAGTGGAGTTGGCCGTTGAGTTGCCCATAGCGGCAGCTTGGAAAGCGGCAAACTTGCTACCGGGATTGATCGCAAAGACCATTCCCTTTTGACAATGACCAGATTGACGACAATAAACCCAGACAGGATCTGTGTTTTGCACTACATATTGAGCCGCGGGGAAAGGACCACCAGTGTTAGTGGCTGCTACGGGCATGCTGAAAGATTTCGATTGTCACCAACTGGCCCATATACAAAAAGAGGGTAGATACTCACAAGCCTGAGTCAAAGCCTCCCGGAGCCATGCTACAAGGACTTGCAAGTGTGGATTGGGTGGCGGTATGGTTTGCTTGCTTGAAAGTAAATAGCACAACATCACCAGGATTGGCATTCTGCACGTAAAACGGTAAGCTTCAGGCGCTGTAAGCGAGGTCAATAAAACACGCGCACCACAGACTGAGGATTGAACGCAAGCGGGCCTCCTCCAACTGTGACATTGAACTGTGCTGCCTTCACCAGGGTTGCAGCCACAGAGACAGCGAAAACCGAGAAAGAAACTAAATTGAACATTACTTCGTTGAACGAGTTTAAGGAAGAAACAAGGCGTCAAGCCGGGATAGTCCAGCTAGGAAATAGAAGAAAAATGTAAGACGCAGGAGAGAAGAAAGGGTGAAAAAAAAGAGTACTCTTTGAGGGTGTCCCTTTTATACGAGCCATTTGCGCCAAGTGTCAGATTTGAATTTCGAACAAAGAAAACTTAACGCGTCGACTGTTTAGAGCAAGCTTAAGAGCCACGTGGCTATCCGATCGCACAATAGCGTTGTCAGGCATTGTTTCCTTTTTGGGAATAAGGTACCCACGGCGAGCTTAAAGGCTGAAGTGACTAGCTCAATCATTCTGCTTTCAAGTTCAAGAACGGAGCTGATTTGTTATGCTAAAGTGCTACAAGAAAATGTACATTGTACATGCCAAGAAAGAAAACATGTTAAATAAATAAATAAGATGTTCTCTGGGTTACATTCCCGCAAACTGTAGTCCCGGCCCTATCAAACACAATCGGCGACGAAGCCACCCCATTTTTCAATCACCGGTTGAACGATGAGTTCCCATTCCCTCCCTTTGTAGCGACCATTCTCTGCTCGGGGGAATGTGAATATTTCCCTATGTACAGTTCCACCTAGAGAGATAATAAATTGTAATGTGGAAGACAGAGCATAATCACGAGCCAGAACTTACAGTCCAAACAAGGTTTCTTTGCGACCTTTTTTGCAGGACTTTTCGATTTTGCCGGAGAAGCGGAAGAGCCGTTAGTTTGTTTAACAGGAGTTTCGCAATTCGGGTACTTGGGGTCCAAATACGGGGCATAGGCCGCAAGATCAGCTAGTTCAAGGTGTACTAAACGCTCCAGTCTATGGCACAATGGTCCTTTCTCGCCTGCTTTGATCCTGCCTTTCATGAGGCTGCCGCTCGAATTATCATCATCATCTTCCACGGTACCAGGCCACCAGCCTCGTAAAACCTGTTCCTTCGATCCACACTGTTTACCCCACTGGTCCAGGCGTTTCACGAGGTTTACCGCTCGTCCGACTTTAAGCTGAATAGATCTAGGATTTTTGGGATCTAGATATTATCACTAACTATGAGCCGACGTGACCATTTTACGTGTTGCGCTTACCTCTGATCTCAAAGGTATATATGTAACCTGCGACGTCCGAAGGCGACTGAGACTTTTCCATTTCAATTCTAAGAGCAATCTGGGTATCCTGTTGTAAATGTGTTGGTATCCAATCTAGATGATAGAGAACGAAATGTCAGAACGAAAGTTGAATAAACGACCGTAAAATCTGCTATGCCTTTGAATTCAATCCATTGTCCTGTCTTTGAAGAATAAAAGCCAGTTGGCTGGAGCAAATCCTGTCTATGATGATGGCAGAACAGTTCTACCTCATCATCGGGGATTAAATCAGATAAAGGGACTGGAACTTTGACCTGTAACAAGCATCGAGGCCCCGCCCTAGTGTAGCCGCTACACTGTACTGTGTTTCTTCCTGGTGAAGACGAAGCTGGAGACACGGGGTTTGATATTGCTCTAAATCTACGTGGTGGAGTATGCAGTGCGGGAGGAGAGCCTGGTACAGATATGGAAGCGGGAGGGGAATAGAAAACTGGGGGACGTAATAGGCTCTCAGAATGTGGACGAGAAGGCGGCTTTGGAGTAGATGGGGGAAGGAGACTTTTATGGGGTCCGGTATCTACTGTAGATAAGGCATGTTGCATAGTAAGAGACTGTAGCCCCTTGTAGGGTGTTGGCATGGTCATGATGGGTGCAGGAGGTCGTGGAAGATGTGCAAGAGTAGGTTGGCCATCTTTAGGCGGTACCTCTTCATCCGATCGAATGGGTGCAGGAGGCTTTACAGTAGGACGAGACGCATAATGTGCAGGTGGCTCACCGCGTCGACCAGCGTTGAGTGCAAAATTGAGGACTGCACGCTCAGGGCTGAATCCCCCTACGAACGGGTCTGACGCGTTATGAGGGCTTCCTTCGTTCTTCTTGGCCACTGGGGAAACAGTGAAATGTCCCGCAGCATCTGCACGATCAGGCAGGGCGCGACTAAGACCTTCGTTCTTCCCTGCTAGCGCGAGAGCATTAAAGCTTTCCACGAGATCATATCGTTTCTCTGGCCTTGGTGGTCGAGGAAGATTCATTCTATGGCTTTGTCGACTGCGAGCTTGGTACTGACAACGGACAGTGCCGTAGCGAGGGGGTCTCCTGAGCAGTAAGATGGACAAAGTGCAGGGTATATAAACGGTCGATTGTCCCCAATCGCCGCATGTAATGAGTAAATAACGTTAACGTTCGTCGAGCCTGGGTATGTATTGCAGTGATGTATTGCCACAGTCATGGAGTGGGAGTCGAAGCTCAATGATTGACAGATCAGAGTACATAAAGGTCAGATGACCACAAAATACCAACAAACACTATATTCTCTTTTTACAACCACCATCTCATACCATTTTTTATCTTTTCCTCAAGGTTGGCTCATTGGAAACAGTAACAACCAAGCTCATATATTCAGGGAACTGTGAGTGTGTTCCGTTTAGACAGCTGCCAGGTCCTTCCATGTCTGGCTTCAACGATGAAACGCACTGGGCTCTGATTTCTTAGATGTCATGCACTACGCTCATATGAGCGGCGGCCTAGAAAACCGTTAACTGATTCATGTTCTCTTCTTGAATGTCTCTTTCTACCCCGCATACTAATCTCGACTTCATTTCAGCGACGTGCTCGGCTGTTTTTTTTTCTTTTTCTTTCTTTTTACCTCGGTTTTCCCAGTTTTCCCAGTTCAACGTCAAGTGACCTTGACCTTGACCTGCTTCACTTTGGGGGTACTGGTTTATATTTTCTATAAGAGCGAAGGGGCTACCAAGATAGCAATTTCTGACACCGATTCCTTGAGTTGCACCCTTTGGTGTGTTTCTAGGGTTCCATTTTTTTCCCGTTCTTTTCAAACATATATGAAGATGTACATTATACAACTCTTGTTGCTACAGTGAAAATAGAATACTTTTGAGGAACATGGACAATACAGTATAGATCAATGTGTCTACAGTGAGTTCAAGCAAGGAGCTAATACTACCTCCAGTGCTTATTTGGACAAGTGGCTGGAGTGTCCTCAGCCACCCGCTTTTTCGAGTCGGGGTCAAGAATTTCTTTTCTGGTAGCCCCTTGATTAGAGCCTTCAGTTTTCAGCAAAAACTGCTCGCGATGAGTAACGACGAGGGAGACAAACAAAATGAATTTTGCGGCTTGATTAACGAGGCAACGTCTAGTATATCTTCTGTACGGCAACTCATCAAGTCCATTCGAGAAAAGTGAGTCGACAATCATCCTTCACTTTTCCTCGATCTCATTACCGCCCACACTCGTATAGGCGAGAGAATTCTGAAGATTTGGACATGAAAGATGGTATATCTTTGCTATCGTTGAAACACCATGCTATGCTGGCCTATCTCCGATCTCTTGTCCTGCTCTCTTCACATCGTCTTCTTGGGCATTCTTTCACCGAACGCTCCTCTCCTGCTCTTCCTTTCAGCTCTACCGAACGTGACGCTCGGGGTTCTGGACCCGGAGACTTGATAGATTCCATGGTAGAAGGGCGAGTCGTCTTAGAAAAGATCAAAGTCCTGGAAAGTAGGATGAGATATCAGATTGACAAACTTGTCAGAGTCGCGGAGGACACTACATCGGGCAAGGATGTCATAGACGGTACAACTCCAATTTTCCGTGCTTATTTACGAGAAATCTGACCCAATTTTGCAGACCCTCTCGCTTTCCGTCCGAACCCCAAGAACCTAGTGAATGACGATGCTGAAGGTGTTGATCATGCAGATGCGAATGACCTTGACGATCACGATGGTGATGGAATTTATCGTCCGCCTAGACTTGCCCCTGTGCCATACGTCGAGTCTACAGGGAGAAAAGAAAAACGACAACCCGTACCTACCGCTCTGTCTTCCCTCCTCCAACAAGATCCACACAAACCTCACATGGAGTCGACTTCTGGATTAGGCTCTATGCCTTCTCTCGCATCGAACAGGGCACGCGAGATCCAGCGCATGACCCAGTTCGAAGAGGAGAACTTCACACGTCTTGTGATGAACAAAAAAGATTCACGACGACGGAAGCGTGACGAGGAAAATCTCGCTTTGGGTGGAGATGGTGTTCGCGGGCGGCGTCGTGGGGCAGGGTTGGAGGATGAATTCAATGACGTTTTGCGCTCAGTGGGTAGACCTAGAGCTGTGGGTGTTGGGGATGGCTACGAGGAGTTGCGCAAAAAGGGAAAGAAACAAGATGCGCTCTCGAGGTCCAAGGCCAGATCAAGGGATGAGTTTGATGGTGATGAAGAAGTTGGACCAAAGACAAAAAAGACCAGGTTCGAGAGGGATAGGACTACGCTTCATCGGAAAACGGCGAAAGCAAAGAGGCGACCTTAATATCCTGATTGCCTTGGATAATGTTTGTATATCGTTGGTAGTTTTAGTGCACTATCATGTACTACCCTGATCTAGAGTTCCTTCGCAAAAAAATCATGACTCGACTTAAATCAATCCACATAGAGTTCGATATTGATCGTCATTCTACAGTGCTAGCAATAAAAAATACAATATGCATTTACTTAAGTCATAAATCATAATACATTTGCCTCTGCTCCATTTTGGTCTGTTCAACAAATGTCGCGAAATCATCGTTGTCCACGTTGATCCCAGTTGTTGCCATAACTATCAGATGTAGGGAAATAGTCAGGTATACCAATAAATTTCAGATTGTTGGAAAGAAAATTTGCTTGGGCAAAATTGCGAGGCGGCATCATCGGATATTGTTGCAGAGCGGGGGATGTTGAGATTGCCGGAAGAGATGGCTGCGGCAATGCAGAGGTGGTAGTAGGGAGTGGAGGTTTCCAGTTCTGGTTCATAAATGTAAGCGGCTGAATATTTCATAATTTGGCCATTAGTACACTCACATATTGACGACCTTCTCGATAAAGCTCTTCCAACTTCATATCAAAGATACCTTGTTCTTCAAACTCATGGTAAGCTTTGTATAGTCTGAGCGCAGAACGCGCATCTTCAATGGAGTCGTGCGTGTCGGTTTGTATATTTTCGTGCAAAACAAACCATGACAGGAACCGTAAGGACAAGCGACGCTGCCGAGCCTTCAGGAAGTATAAGTCAACAGTGTCAATGACTTGATCAGGTGGGACATGTATATCTAACCAGAACGTCAGCTTTTTCGTATTTACACAAAGTGGAATATGACCTACTGATGATACGGAAATCTTTCGACAGTCCGTGACCTATGAAAATGCATCCGCGATCCACTAACAGACGCAGTTTCTTGTACACCAGCTTCAACGGCGTTAGGGTGTGTCGAGAAAGATGAGGATCAAGATCACCAACTAAGAAACAAATGTCAATCACAAAGCAAAAGGAAACACAACTGTGTTCATACATTTGATTCCTGAAAATTCTGTCAAGTAGTCGACGATAACCTCACTGGTATGGATGTGATCGTCAATAAATGGCACGCCTTGCTTGGGTCCATCGCCTCGCAGGACGGAAACACGCGCCAAGCTGAGCCGCGCAGGTCGAAGGACTTTATTAGTTCCATCTGACCGAAACTCAGTCTCTTCCTGTTATGAAAATAAGGTCAGATGTTTGAACTCGTCACAGGATCCCTCTGCTCTACCTGCTGCATGGATACAAATTCTGCATCAATAGCAACCAAGGTGCCGGGCTTGGGCAGTTCCTCAAATCTCAAACATTCATGCTTGACCAGATTTTTATCGCGATTACTAAAGAACCTGTTCAGTGATCATGACGAGATTTTGGGGAAAAATACTAACATTGAGATAGATGTATCACGGCTCAGAATGGATTGATCAATTTCATCAGGTAGTCCGCTCAGGTCAAGGCGTTCCTGGAGGTCAACTCGTTCCAAATACAAGATAGCTGGAACCTGAATAAACGGGGCCGGTCGGTGATTGAGTACAGATATTCGACTTGGGGACTAACCTTCCATGTGCTAGGGAAGCTGAAGGCCTCGTCTTCCGTGATATTCCTAACGACGAAGTCATTGAAGACGAACCAGGGACCTTTCTGTCCCTCTGCACCGGGTACTAGAGCAATTTAATCATCAGTACCCAGCACCCTAGTAGGGATATGCCGATACCTTTCACAATAGAGACAAGGTGCGAATGTTTTGTTTTTGGTACAATCTGTACGACCAAGGCCTATTTTATGAAAGTTAACGTCTGGATCACAAAATAACCCAAACGCGACCATATCCCATGGAGCACGCGACGTACCCTGAGCTCATATATGACGACATCGGGGTCATCTACACCTTCGACCTGGCCTTGCATTTCAATCTGAGGTTTCAAGAACGTCTGGTTACGATTATCAAGCCAAAACTTTAGGTTTTCTTCATTGTATACGGAAGCGTTGACAGCCAGTATTGGAGGTAGGTCGCGAGTAGGGATTGAACGTCGCGAAGAGAACGTTGCAAATTGTTTGCATGTTTGACATGTAGCTTTATGGGACATTTGACGAATCAGCGAACTACGGAGAACACTTGTAAAGTCAGCTGCGTAGGGAGGGTCACTGGAGGTGATCTGTTTCATGAAAGTAAATTTCCATCATGACACCGAAGAGGTGTAGATCCAAACCTTGCGCGGATAAACCATATCGATTATGTGAGTCATATTTTCTTTTCCCCTCACTGCTTTACAGCTCATACAGGTGATGATGTTCTTTGCGTCAATACCGAGTAACTGAGTTACAGGTGCAGCAGCAGGAGAATACACATCCGGTTGGAAGGAAGGATGTTTAACGATAACAGGATTGTGTGGAAATACATTCCCTTCCAAGCTCAGGTGATCAATGAGGAACCGGTGGAACGCCTGGATTGTGTGGGTGTAATCAACCTCCGTGTGTTCGCGCCCGTAGTCAATGAGTTCTAGTTGGTTTTGTGCTGAAAAGTTTGGAGTGAGGGGAGAAACAAAATGGTCTCGACTGTAAGTGACATACCTTGCGCAAGGACTCCGACAGTTTTACAGAAGTTACTTGACTGGCAGTTTGTGCCACCAGCGTCTTCCAACATCCGTACCACAAAACCCAGTTCACAAAGGAGGCAGTGTTCTCTTGGGCAATTTGTTGTTATATGAGACTTGGCTAGTTGTCGTATAGCATGACTGTAACTCATCACTTGCACCAATGCATTTGTATATGAGTTCAGAATATGGGTCTCCAATCCACTATACGCTGTATGATTATAGAACCTGATAGAGAAAATTATTTAGTCCACATCTGACTCAACTGTACATCACAAGCTACTTACCCAAAATCAAAATCTTCTACACCAAACTTGGAATACTCGATCTCTACCTTGCGGTATATTCGAGGGACTTCTTCGACGCTATCATCTAAGGTAGTTGCCTCTAGCTCCGGCTGCAGAATGTCAGTATAGTTGTCGACGCCCAAGTATCCATGCTTACCCCGTTTCTGCCTTTGTTGCCACTTCTGAAACGCCCCTGATCTCTTGCTGGAGTGACAACGGCTCGATTTCGGCGGCCCTTCAGTTCCTTTGGTAGAGCTGCATATGCCACATTGTCATTTGTCTTCATGGTGTTGAGAATTTGCTGAGGGATCTTGGCAGGAGGAGGATAATTAGGGGACGATGATACAAACTGTGGAGTCCAAGAAGACAACAATTGGGAGTTGTAATGTGGAAGACCGATAGTATTGAGAGGACTAGCAAAAACGTTAGCCATTGAATTTTAACGTAGACAGCTACTTACGTTGAAACTGTCCACTCAATTTGAGGTATCTCCTCAGCCGGATCTGCCCATTCGATCTCTTGTCCCTCAAACCCATTGAATAACAAGGAATCCGAATCGCCCTCTGTGGCAGTCATGAGATGAACAGTACCGCCGGAATCTCCAAATGCAATAAACGACCCGTTTGATGAAACAGCAGTTGAAGTGATATAGGATACAGTGTCAAGCTGAATGAAGTACTCTACAACAGCACCTTTATACGATAGGTTGGATTTGCATACCTGGTAGAACCCACTGACATTGTTAGGGTTGGAAACATCCACGACATTGACCAAACCTTGACCGGATGTGACCACTAAAGTTGAAGAATGCTTCGGAAGGATGTCGATAAAAGCAGGTCCGTCGGAAAAGGGTACAGGCGGAAGGGGTCTCATAGTACGTTGATCATAAATCTTGACTAAGGGATCTGGAAGCGCATGTGAACGCCTGTTGTTGATTGTTATATTCGGGTTGAAGAGAATATATAAAAGCCAACCTGCTACTCCATCCAATTGTGTAGAAGAAATTTCCGCTAACTTGAAAATCTTGAATGCCACTTGTATGAGCTTGAACTGAGTTCTCGCCTTCTTCGCGCCTGAGGCCTGTGCGTGCGTCATAGGCACGCACGAAGCCATCGGATGATGCGGAGAGTAGTGATGAGTGTGAAAACTGCAGGTGAGTAATGACAGACGGTGTTGATGTCTGTCGTGCTGCTTTTCCTGTCATTGAATTCAACAAGAGTAATTCAGGGGCAGCAGAAGCGACTGCCATGATATTAGAAGAATATGCGGCATCAGAAAAAGCTGTTATTGTCGTCAAATCCCTAGCACATAAGTCAAATATCATAATTAAAATACATATATGCTCAGAAACATACCGAAAGAACCACTTATTCATCCCACCCTTGGCCCAGGAGCCAACACCCTCACCAGCGATGCTCAACGCTCTGACGTAGTTATCACCGACGGATATCTTCTTCACGGCGAGACCTCCACCGACTGGGAACGACACTCCACGCGCTCCCTGTACGGTATGTAGTGCTACAACATGCCCTGTATTAGAGCCTGTCCAGAGAGTATCAGACACGGGATCAAAACATAGGGCAGTCAACGGTTGGCCATGGGTGTCCTGCAACGTGGTGATCAACGATGCAGGATGATACGACGTTGACATTCAGCAAAATGAAAGGACAGAAAGTTTGGAGCGAGGTAATGGTTAAGCAGCAAGAGTTCAGGGAATTTCAATTGATCCAACTTGAAGTGGAAGGATGATCTTACAATCTATTATTTGCTTCCAAGTATCTACCGTTACGTAAGAGTGTGCTGAAACTAGGAAATCTATTATTTTCTACAGTAACTACATTACGGGGATGTATGCAATACAACAGACTATATGACTATATGCAAATATATATGCATCGTAATAAAGTGAAGGAAACCAACTAGAAAGCGCGTACAAAATTTATAGGCCGTGTCATCTTCCCAGCGAACCCATAAAACTAGATAGATCAAGTCCTTCGTACTCTTCTTCTTCAGGTAGCTCGTCAAGACCTTGAAGAACATTTTTCTGGCTGAGAGGCCCATGCGCCTCTTTGGCCTTTTTTCTTGCTGCAGCATCCTCCTCCTCATTTGTTCGCTTGAACAGGTCTAGTACGAGGTCGGTGTCCATAGAGGACAGACCCGCATTCTGCTGCGTGACCACGGAATTGGCTATATTCAGTTTAAAGCGTTGTAGACTTCCCACAAAATGAATTAATCAGCTTTCAAAAGATATCCAAATAGTAGAAGAATGCATACCCCATGATCTTCTCTTCCAGCGTGCCTTTGGTGATAAGACGATAGACATTCACAACTTTCTTCTGCCCTATGCGATGCGCTCTGTCCATAGCTTGCAGATCTTTCATAGGATTCCAGTCGTGTTCGACGAAGATGACGGTATCAGCTCCTGTCAATGTGAGACCTAGGCCACCAACATGAGTAGTCAGTAACAAACAGTCGATGCTAGGGTCCGAGTTAAAAGTCTGTACTACAGCGTGACGTTTCGTAGCATCGGTCCCACCATCGAGTCGCATGTACGTCACAGAAGGCATGTGTGGCTTGAAAAGGTCCGTCTCGATGATATCTAGCATCTGTTTCATTTGACAGAAGATGAGAACACGATGCTGGGAAAAGGCGCCAGTTGAATCAGATACACCATCTGCGGCATCGCTTTTCCCACCCTCTCCACCCGAATTACAGCCAATGCCGCAATCAGTCAGTAATTGCCTGAAATCAAATCAGTAAAGGGTGATCCAACATTTAAATACTATCGTACCGAAGAGCAAGCAACTTCGGGGCGTGCTGAATGTCGTTGAGACCCTCGTGTTTGGAGCCTACTTTGGCAAATGCTGCATTGATAGCTTCCGTATCGTTTTTAAGGACGAGTGCTGGATGATTGCAGAGTTTCCGCAGATACTGCAGTGACTGGAATACATGCTGCTGTCCTCCTTCCTTGGTTTGAGCGGCCCCCTTCTGAATGACATCCTCCGCGTTGACTCTCGCCTGGGATTTGGCGAAATCATCATAGAGAGTTTTCTGAATTTCGGAAAGCTCGCAGTAGTAATCCTGAATGATTTTGGGGGGTAGATCGTGTAAGACGTCCTCCTTCAACCGGCGTAATAAAAATGGTAAGACTTGTTTGTGTAGAGCTTCCAGCGCAAGAGCAGCTATGAAGTACTGCGTTTAGAGAATGCACTTGGATCTAAGAGTGAGCAACTTACCCGCCTCCCCACTCTTCGCTTTACCGTCGCGATTAGATAATATGGGTTTACCGAAGCGCTCATTAAATGATGACTCGGTTCCAAGGAAGCCAGGCATAAGGAAATCAAATAAACTCCACAGTTCCAGCACGTTGTTCTGGATTGGTGTTCCCGACAGGATTAATCGGTGCTGAGCTCGAATACATTTGACCGCTTTTGTCAATTTCGTTTTGGCATTCTTGATGACATGACCTTCATCTAGGATACAGTAAAGCCAGTTGAGACCCTCTAAGCTTGCGATATCATTGCGCACGACTTCGTAGGAGGTGATGACAACATCGTGTTTCGCTAATTTCGAAAGGATTCGTGACCGCTCGCGAGAATTGCCCGTGTAGAGAATTGGCCGCAGATTGTCTGCATACTTTAGAATTTCGTAATACCAGTGACCCGTCAGCGTGGGTGGACAGACGATTAACGATGGAAGATGAACAGCATCAGGCGACTTAGTCTCCTTATGCTTTTCACTTCTTTCAAAATGTTTGCTAGCCAAAATGCATATCGATTGCAAGGTTTTACCGAGACCCATGTCTAGAAGAGATCTGAGGAAAAGTATAATGAAATAACGTAAAAAAAACCAACCGTCGCAGAGAATACCATGTAGCTGGTATTTGCCCAGAAATGCCAACCAATTGACACCATCTTGTTGATATTTGCGAAGTTCTGCGTTGATAGTCACCGGAATGCTGTATAGCTCGACCTTCGTCCCGTCAAGTAGCTGAGTCAAGAACTGCCGCTCCGTCTCGCGTCTTTTAAGAAGATCCTCGGTAAAGCCAGGTGGATCAGGAAGACCTGCCTGCCAACGCGAGCGAATGCTATCAGCAGCGTCTCACAAAGCACAGTACGTATATACATACCTCCAAAGGCACCATCTTCACCAGCGAAGCAAACGTGTTCGTCGCGGTTGATCGAATATCATCGTCAGAGTCACTCATTCTCCCCAAGACCGGGACTACTAGAAAAATTACGTATGGTAGCGCCTTAATGTCCAGCTTTTGGACGACATCTATAGGAGGTGTTAGGTATAATGGAGACCCACAGGATTATAAGTTACTGACGATATATCACCTCTGCCGCACCTTGCCTGTTGGACAAGACCACAGGGTCACCAAGTACTGGAATTATATTTTCGATCACAAAACGCATGGCCTCGGACGTCATTACATCGCAGACAGCAGCAAAGCATCGAGCAGCAGATTGACGAATAATGGCATAACGACTTTGTAGAGCTGAGGCCATTACCGGGAAAAGTTCTGAGAGCTTTGGCCAAAGATCAGGGTGGAGGGTGGGTACAACAGCTTCAAGAACACTTAAAGAATCGATTACGTCTTGACCAAACTGTTTTTCCATCAGGTTATCCGCTTCTTGGGGCGAGCCTGTAAAAGACATTGGTCAGCCTCCGCATTGCGCACGTAACAGGTTAGGCAACGTACCACTCCCACAAGCGCTAAGCAATCCACCTGCCATGGATTGCCACATCTTCGGAAGAACCTGGAAGAGTCGAGAACCAAATCTAGTAGATAGTTGATTAAAAGCCAACCCAGCTCCCCTTCTTGACAGGCGAGCACTGGAAGCTTCGTCCGCCTTTGGAGTATCACTTCGGTCATGACCGTCCCTACCATTTCTAGAACCTGCAGGTTTGTATGATGTCTGAAAGGAAAGAATGCCATCAAGTACGCTTCGAGTATATGCGAACGTCGGGGTTTGATCTACATCCTGGCACAGGAATGTACAAAGATTCTTCACTATCTTATCAGGAGGTTGCGCTATGTTATGTTGCACACAAAAATCGATAAATAATGCAACAGCGACGGCAGAGCGAGTTTGCAAGTCGAGATTTTCTTCATTCTGATGTTAGATCATCGAGTCTATTAGACGATGAATCTACCCAGAGTGAGAAAAGCACTTTACCTTTATGCCATTCATGATTCCTTTTACAACTGGGCTAACTTTGTCTGGGGTGCTCTTGAAAGCCACAAAGGCAGCAGCAAATGCTGCTGACACTCGAATATCATGTTGAGCCTTCACCTCGACATATCGATCGATACTCATGACGACCTTTTGTCTCTTCTCGTTTATGATCACTAACTCGCGCTTCTTTGTCCGCCCTAGGTTTTCCTTGAGCTTAGTATACATAGAACCAACGGCCGCATGAGCCGTATCGATTGTGAAACAGTCTGCCTTCGTCCCCGTAATATCAATTTCGGCGCCCAGATATGGAATAGTAGAAATAGGTAGCTTGCAATCGCTGGCAAAACAGTGTAGAAGAGCATAACACTCGGCATGAATGCGATGAAGTGCGAAGGCCATTTCGTGATAAGCGGCTGGCGGGGGAGCTTGTAACCAGAATAATGTCCTTTTACTAAGCTCTTGAGCTAGGGGGAACTTCTCTATTAGGGAAGAGGATGGTGACTTTGCCTCACATGCATGGGCCCATTCTTCCGAAACAATAGCCGCTAGGAATTTCTGAAGCATGCTAGTGGACTCGAGATAGTGAACTAAAATTGGTTGGAACAGCTCTTCCACCGCCTGGTTAATCAACATATGTCAGTACACTGGCCCGGTCCATGATACAATGGACATGAGACAGGACACTCACCCCAATCGACCAGGAGGCAATCAGATACGACAGTGCCGTAGCAGCCGCAATTCTAGCCTGCAAAATGACCTCCACAGCAACAAGGGCCAAATCTTGGCTTAGCATGTTCTTGTCAACATTGTGCCGTTCGGGAACCAGACCGTGACCATCAGCCGTAACAGATGGAGAGTAGAACGTTGAACTGTCCATTGTCACACCTAAAGGTGTCATCATAATCGCATACCATTCAAGAATAACCTGCTGAGTGATCACGTTTTCAGTCCACCCAGGAACCGATGATAGGACGTCTAATGCGGTTCGCCAAGCAGATAATGTCGCCTGGCGTATATCCGAGCGTTCTTCCACGATGAGGTTCTGGAAGAGCAGACGAAGAAAAGGGCTAACAATCCAGTCTCTTGGTAAAGAAGAAACCATCATAAAGGAATGAAGAGTATTGACAACGGCAAGGCGAACATTGGGAATCGTATGTCGAAAGAAGGGAAACAGTGTAGGTGCTAATGTTGAAAGAGGAAGCCTGTTCAAATCATTAGTTCAGCCCATAGACTAACTTTAAGATACGCACGATACTGATGTTTGTGCCAGGATGTCAATAACTTTGTCGTATGCCACAAGCTTGCCTAGGAATAGTTAGTTAGGTCCGATAACAATATGCATGGGACTGTGAGACTAACCAAGAAGGTCCATGACGGCACCAACACTAGAGCTAAGATCATCCTTCATATCACGTAAACAGCTCCATAAGACCGTCAAAACGCGATCTAAAGATTCTGGCAGTTCATTGACGAGATGTCCGGCAACAGGTAGTAGACAAGATGCAGCCACTGCACGAACGTCGTCGTCGTGGTCTCCTAGGCTATGCTTTAAATCAGTTACCAATTTAGGCGTGGTCGTGCATAACCCACATACCCAAGGACAGCAGCATCCACAACTCCTTGCAGTACTTCTTTGCCAGTATAATCACATCCTTCATCCTTTTTCATCGCCTCGAATAAATCAGTCCTGACGGCAACTTCATACTTAATACCTAGAAGGCCCGCATGTCGTACCTCCCATACGTGAGCATGACTCGAGGTTAGGAGGAAATCCTGCCGAATCATCTGGATAAGGATTGAATGCACATGAATTACGGATCTCCTGGGCATATGCAGAAGTAGTGAAGCCAGTGTCTGCGACACCGTTTCACGGACAGGAGCTATAACCTGATTTCCAGTTAGTTATTGATTCACTAAAATATGATAATGTACACACCTGGTCCGAAACAAAGTCACCAAAACGATCTAGAACAAAAACACAAAGAAGCTTGGCCGCGAGATCGTTACACCATCGTTCATGGTCAGACGCGTTGTCTTCCCAAGAAATGCAATCTAAACCAAGTTAAGACTGGTGGACATGCAGCACTGCATATGCCATACCTTTCATTCCACCATTTTTACCTTGCACTTTAAGCAATTCTCGCAAGGCCATGGCAGCTCCATGTCTAACTTCCCAAGTTTCTGAGAAAAGATCAACCTCCAATAATCTAACAATTCCATCCCAGATCCAGGCGCCTGGGATTACTTCCAGCGCTTTCGATTGTTGTGCTGCTTTGGGAGAGACTGCACCACCTTTCGAAGGATCAACTACTACTTTTTCAACAGAAACACCATTTGTTGCAGGATGTGGACTGTCTACTCGCGACATATGCTGGTCTCCGTCTTCTGAAGATACAAGTCGGGCTCTAGACAATACCTCAGTGACCATACAACAGCTCGACAAAGCTAACATACTTATTCGAAGGACCAGCTGGAGTAGGATTGTACTTTGAGCCTGCACTAGGCGGGGGAGGGGGAGGGGCAGCAACAAAAGCTGAATTTCCTGGCTTTCTCTTTCTCTTGAGTCGGTTGCGTTCACGGGCAGACAACCCACTTGCATCTTCTCCAGCCGATGCACCCGATGTTGTTGGGAGAGAAGGACCAGTAGGAGTGGTTGAATCTGGACGAGCTGGTGAAGAGCGTTCTTGTTTGGGCTTGAAGTCAACGTCCATAGGTGAAGATGACACCGGGGTTTCCTCCACTTTCATTGCATTTTCAGGATCGTCTTCTGCATCGAGTTCGGTTTCCACGGCTAGCTCCTTGTCGAGATCCATGTCATCTGCCCCGCCAACGCTATCCAAAAAATCCAAGCCTAAGCGACCCATGGCTTCTTTACGAGCTCTTTTGACCTCCGAAGAACTAGATAGAATACCAGCTGGTTTCGAAAACTCCTTACCGGAGGATGCGAGGAGGAGGCTACCTTTCTGCATGAGCTCCTGCACCGAAAAGGATGGAAATTCAGGGGCATGCGGATTAGGCTCAACGGAAGGCTTGACGTCAGTGTCCTGTGGCTGCCATACGGGCACAAGAGAGAAAATCTGTGAGAGGGCATTAGATGCGGCCGATCTAGTCTCATAGCTCTTTGAATGTAAATAAGGTAAAATCTGAAGATGGATAGGTGTGTTATTGATAAAGGGCGAAGCTAAAATGGACGAGATATACCCGTGCTACAACGGCCATTAATTCAGACCACGCTGAGGAGTCGCCAAGAGAAACATGTTGGCGGTTAGTCTTGATATCATCCCCGACTGCAACATCACTGATTACGCTTTTCGCGGCTAACTGGGCCAGCTGTTTGGCAGCTGTGTTCCTCACTGAGGATGAAGAACCTGTATCAAGTAGAAGGAGGAGCCGGTCCAACCTACACAAAGCAAGTTTATTGTCCCAGATCTCAGAACTAAGTACACGGACATTAACCGCAACAGGCGCGTACCTAGAAGTCATGTCCAAAAAAAGAAAGAGGTCTACGCCGGTCGGCACGAGCCGCGAAAAGGTTTACTTTGGGAGGAAATGATCGTCTGGGGAATTTTCTCACGGTGGTTCCTCTCGGGTTGTCCTTTTTATCTTCTGCCTCGCGTGAGGGAGCATCACGCCGTGACATGCTTCGATTGGCCTATTTTGGAAATTGCTTACTTTCTCACGTGGAGGCGCAGTAAAGTCCCTTTTTTTTTCGTCTAAAACCATCTCCGCTCTATCTTTTCGTCATGAAAGCTGTAAACCATCACTTCTGTTGATCTTTTGACTGACACCCGTCATGCCAGAGCCTATGTCTTGGCCTGCAGATATCATCAGGCATCTATTAGAACCTTTAGACAGCGACCAGACTGTTGTAGGTAAGTTGCAGCTTGTATTTTCACCCCCGACGATCGAAAAAGAAAATAACACATGGAAGATTTGCCGCCCTGTGACCCAACAACTCTACACAGTTTTTACAAGCTTGGGCAGTCTTTTTGCGATGGTTTCAGCACTTGTTCAGCAAATGACGTGGATACATTTCTTGATCTGGCATATACGAAAATGTCGTCCATGTCGCAAGCTGATTCCTACTGTTGGAGAAGACTTTATACCGATGCTTGCATCCTTCGGTCTTTGGCCAACCTCTTGGACACGACTTCAGTAAACGAATCCGTCGCATCCGAAAGTATTGCGAAACTGGACCGTGCTATCATTATCGCCGGGGCACCGGGTATAGGCAGACTGGAGCTTATTCACAATATCATCCAGCAGATCCAATCGCAGTATCTGGCATCACACAACCCTTTCCAACTAAACCCCTCCAATAAGCGTTTTTCCTCTATCTCGTCTATCGACAAGTTTATCTCTGGCACCTTCAAAGGGAATGTTCCTTATATCAACCCTCCTTCCCTTACACTCTTCCAGCGCTTGTGGTGTAACAGACCTTTCATCTTACGAGGTCACATTCTCCACTGGCCTGCTCTGAGCGAACACCCCTGGTCGTCTATAGATTATTTGCGTACTATCGCAGGCCCAGGGCGTGTTGTACCTGTGGAAATAGGCCAAGACTATAGACTCGATGACTGGAAGCCAGATATAATCAGCTGGGATTCATTCCTTTCGTCGTTATATTCATCTAGTCGCCCTGGTTGTCAAGAAAGTCACGATGTCCTTTATCTCGCACAGCACAATCTCATGATGCAATTTCCAGCACTCCGTGATGATATTGTTCTTCCAGATTACATATTTGCATCTCTTCCTCCACCATCCACGTACCTGGAATACCAACCCCCGAAAAACGATGACCAACTTGTGCTCAATGCCTGGTTAGGTCCACAAGACACCGTCTCACCAGCACACACGGTATGTGTCACGCATTATTCCGTGGGATGACATCTGAAATAGTTGCCCCCAGGACCCGTACTTCAATTGCTATGGTAATGTCAGCATTTGCGCATCTGATTCGTACTTGACTGTTCTCTCTAGCCCAAGTTGTAGGTCGTAAGACTGTATGGTTGGCCCCTCCTGACATGACACCGTTCATGTATCCTTTCACTGTAACGTCGTCGGACATCGCCGATAGGTCTCATAATCCTGCTGCTAACATTGTGAATCCGTCTCTGAGTAACACTTCCCGAGTCGATGTTTTTCCTTGCTCGGCGGAGGCAGAAAGCGCATCGCGTGGCGAATTTCCAGCATTCTGGGAAACTACACCCAAGTATGCCCTTTGTGCCACTTTAGAGCCTGGTGACATGTTGTTCTTTCCTCCTGGTTGGTGGCATGCGATGCGCAGTGAAGATGTCAGCTTTTCTGTCTCAATGTGGTTCTGAGGACTAATTTCCTGCATGTTGTGTCACTGTAAAGATACGGATCTATACTTGCGCTACTGGTACTAATACTATCTCACTCTTGTGCCATTGGTAATCATTTGTATGTGACAGAAATGATTAGTGTATCAGACTTGCTGTCACCAGCCGGCCGTATCGGGTATAACCGAATTGAGATCAACTGTATTGTTGGACACCAAATTCAGTTGAAGAACCAGGTGCTGATACCTGCTGGGAAACGTATACCTGGTGCTCGTGACAGCCAGCGTTCAAACATTCCATCTTGTTGGCTTCCCGTTGGCATACATGATTTCACCAGATACAGAACGTGTAGTCGGGCGACAGCTCAGTAAGAATGGCCTCTTGTCACCATTGCCTTCTGCTTCTCTGAACGAAGGCCACATTGCGGAAGCTCTTTTACAATCTCCGGACGATGGCGCTACTTTGGATTTTACGCATAAAAACCTTACAGATGTTGGAGAGGATAGTGTCGAAGAGATTGCCACTATTGGAACAAACGGCTCTCTCCAAGATGATAGCTCAGTTCTCCGGTACGTCTGACTACCTTGTATTTCATATCTCAAACTTACGGAACCATGCAATGGGGTGGACGTACAACCTTATCAGCATTTCTCTAGGTTTTAATCGCTTAACGACTTTGACTACTGCCTTTGCACTCCTTTCTCGCCTGAGATACTTGAATCTGACAAGCAATAGCTTTTCGGTTTTTCCTGATGTAGTACGTGACGGAGTCAAACTATTATCTGACGTACACTCAAGTACGCGACATTTTAAAAGCTAACTGTGATGCCTTCTTTGGAAATTCTGGACATGAGCCGCAATAAGATCAAGAGACTGCCTGCTCAGCCTGGTTCTTTGGCGAACCTTCGGGTAAGTCGCAAAGACAGTAGACATAATCGCTAGTCGATAATTGACGCTATCTCGTATCGCAGGTTTTTTCCATTTCGAGAAACAAAATCACGAGGCTTCCTCCCTACCTGGCCGACTTTCGCAATCTGAACATCCTAAAAGTTGAACGTAATCCTATAGAATGGCCTCCAAGACATGTCGTGGAGCTCACGGAAAACATGGACGACCCTCAGATTAGGTCAACTTGGATAGCTGAACTGCAGACATGGCTACGTGAAAACAGCAACAGCAAGTCGGAAGCAAGGAGAGCTTTGGACGACCTCATAACAAACGAGCAGGCCCCGTTAGATACCTCCATGTAAGTTTTAGCCTTAACTTTAGGACTTGTGTTCATTTCTGCTCAAACTTAGGTGTGAAGATATCTCCCCATGGCCGCACTCGCGTAAAAAACATTCAGACGCAGATGCCACACCCCATGCACGAACTTTTTCCGTTGACTCGGAACTTTCTTTCCCTTCTTGGACCGAGTCCGATGATCTTCCTCTTCACAGTTCGACTTTTTCGCCACGGTCGGAAAGACCACCACCACTGCAACTATCTAAACTTCCCGTATACAGTGACTCATCGCCTACCCGCTCTCCTGATAGTTATCTGCCAACACCTGACGAATCTGTCTATTCTACTGATGAAGACAGCACTACTGTACCTGATACTCAACCGCATACAAGGAACGCCTCCTATGCTGGAGACAGCGTAAATCGCCTACTTGTCATGAACAAGAAAAGTCTGCCTGATCTCAGGAAGGCTAACTTCGAGATTGATCCTGAAGGCAGGCCGTTGGAATCACCCATGCCTGGAACTACGAATTACTTCGAGAATCGTCCTACTGTACAGCCAGAGTCATTTGCTGCCTCCCCACTCCCACATCGGCAAGATAGCTTATCTGATGCCCAGCCATTCATTTATGGAGCTAAACCGCTCACACCATCTCCCCCTTCTGCATATTCTGACTCGATTGATAGAACGATTCCCCCTGTACCTCCTATGGAGCTCGAGCGGAACTCATATTTCCGGCGACTCTCTGCATTGCCTGCTGCCACGATTTCTAGTAATCTACCTCCCTCTCTGCTCAGTCTTGTGGAAGCGGCTCGTTCCATTCTTTTCTCTACTTCGCAAGTTTACCAGTGTCTCTCCCATTACACTGTTTATACTCTGGATAACCAGCTTTCATCCGTCATCAAGAAGGTGATAGACCCTGCAAACGCATACATGACGCAGCTAGTCGATGCACTCGACCGCTTCGATACTATGAGCAAGAAGACAACACCAGGGCCCGGGTTATGCCGAGCAGTAATCGAATGTAGTAGAGACACAGCAGCTGTCTTTGGAAAAGCAATAGGTATAGTTGCTTTACAGCTGAAGGTCCTTGCTGCTAAGAACGACGTCCGGTTCATGCGGCAACTGCACTTGATTTTTTATGGTGCCATCGCCGAGATTTCATTCGCCTGGCAAGCTATGGCTCCCCATATCGAGTCTATCAAACCTCTTCTTTCCGATCACCGCAGACCTCCCCCCGTCAAAACTCACACAACGCCTTCAAATTCTAGTCTCGGTAGCCCTGAGCTACCGCCTGCCTCAGGTTCTCCATCATTTTCCTCTTTCAATGTGCATATACCCAACATGCCTCTTCCGCGTTCGCGCCCAACACAACCCATAGGACGGGCACGTACAACGCGGAGGCATGCCGGATCCTTCAGTTCAAAGGATGTCGAAATTGGGAAGACTCTTCCTTCATATGAGGATGTCCCAGGTACCCCTTCAGGCTTGCGTGCTGGTATACGACAACCAGTGTTGTCTGGTGGTGGTACTCCTGGGGCATCCTCTGGGGCTCCCTCTGAGTTTATAATCTTGACTCCAGGGGGTGGTGATCACTCCCGACAGGGGTCCTTAACATCAATAGCTACAACTTTAGCTTCTTCTTCTCCTCCGCCGCCTTTTAAATCATTGAATGTAGAAATACCTCCATCAAGGACCCTGGTTGACAAGGAGGCATTGTCTGCAATGGAGGTTGCAGTGGAGGCGGCGCCTGCTGTCTGGGAGATGATCTCAGGGATCCTGGATAACGACCTCGATATCCAGGAGGCAAACCAGGACGTGCGAGAAACGTTGCTTCTTGCTCGAGGTACAACAGAGCGGCTGAAGACTAATATACGTGCCATACACAAAGGCAGCTTATCGGCCAACAGAAAGGCGCTTCGTGAGGATGCGCATGTGTTTGTCAAGGTGACGATACTTTCTATGAGTATATTTGTCTCGCTCACTTAACTCTCTTTGTCAGACCGTTGTCAAGCTGTCGAGCGTGATAAAGTCGTATGGGAGCACCCATGCACTATATTCAGATTTGCGGACCAAGATGGTTGAACTAACAAATGCCACGGAAGAATTTGTCATTCTGCTGCACGTTTCGTCTTTTTCGCCTTCATCCACTCCCAGGCCTTATTCACCGATGTGGGGTGGCACAAATTACCCCACATCGCTTGAGGATAATCGGTTAGGTGCAAATTTGTCGCGTAGTCGAAGTACTCAACCGCCCAAGAGCTCGAAGCTGGCTTCTCCTTTGGTAAGAGAACTGCCTCGCAGCGCGTTGCCCAACCAGTCCTTCAATATTCCAACCCCTCCACGATACGGAGAAGATCGCGTTCGAGAACCTAATGACCAATAATGCCTCAATGGAATCATACCTATTTTCTCATAGAATCTTCGCACTTGCTTTTTAATTGCATTGTATGCATCCCTACATACCGTAACGTTAAGTCGCTTCCCATGATGTGCTTGCCCATTTAAATACAATAATTTTTTCTTGCACGACAAAATGGTGTATTCATAACCGACGGGAAGGATATGTTTCTAGGAATAGCCAAAGTACTGGCAATGTCCTACGCGGGTACCTGGCAAGTATTTTGTTCTACGCGAAGGATATGAAAGAGAGAGGGATGTCTTCCTCAACCAGCTTTGCTTCTATCAGCAATGGTCAGCATCTTATCGATTTCAGTCCTGATCTCCTTCAGATTCGCCTTCAGAGTCTTCGCGTCCTCGAACTTCCTGTGAGCCACGGCCTCTTCCACAAAAGATTCTAGTAAAGCCTCCTGTTCGAGCAAAGGCTGAAGAGAATGTGCCATCTCAGAATCGGGATCAATCGTGGGTCCATCACCTGGAGTCTGGGATTTCGATGAATTTTGCTTTTTCGGTTTAGGTATAGACTGCGACATATGGTCAATCAAGCATTAAAGCAGATAAACTCAAACACAAACCTGTAAAGGAAACATATTTTTCTGCAAAAACAAATTGGCTCGCGTGAGAATAGCCATCTGTACTCGATCCTGCGAACTATTGGGAGGGCATGGTATCTTTCGAATACGCTTGGAGAGTGCATCGTATTGCGAAAAGGCTTCCAAAAGGCGCTTCCTGGTTGCAGTGGCTTCCTTAGTAGGTTGGTCGTCTGTGCTAAAATTGTATAACCGTGATAAGTCGAAGATAACGAAGACAAAATGATTGGAACATACTTTAGGCTTAGGATGAGTTCCCGGAATTGTGGCAGGGAGTCTTCTATCTCTGTTTCCAAGCTGATGAATGCCTATACAGCGGATCAGACGACAAATCCTTCTCAATATATATATCGAAGGTACCAACATCGTAAAGCCTATGAAACACGGGGACTTGCGAAGCTTCTTGGAAATGTTGCTGTCGCCTACAGGAGTATATCAGTTGGTGCAGATAAAACTTTGGAATGGTAACGAACGAGAGAATGGGCCGACATTCTCTACAAATCCTGACGCCCTTCAGGAATTTCTCTTCTTCTGCCAAGACATCCGCTGCCTTTTCCTTCGCACTACTTCGGGTATCAACACTTCTTCGTCTCCTCACACCATAATCAACGCCTTCTTCCACTTGCTCTATTCGCCTCGACTTGGGATCAACGACGAAGAGGATAGAACACGGTTCCAGCCTTTGTGGCCGTTTAATGGGCAAAGAGCATATTATATTGCCACAGAGGCGACAGTGATGTTTTCTGTTAGTCAGAGGATGAAATGATGCACTGAAAAACAGCTTAGTTCTATGAAGCGTGGCCGCCGTAAAAGTAGTAGACTCACGTGCATAATGGGCACTTCGATACGTCCGAATCTTCTTGCCATGGTGTAATCCTTTGCTCGGCAGCTATGAAAAGGAATTCGTCGGGTGCACAAGAATTAATCAGGACCACACATACCTCTTATCTCTCCCTTGGTTCCTTGTAACGCTTGCGACTGAAGAACACCTTTCCATAGATCCCCCGCATCCAGATTTTTGATGTCTGACAGGTCTAAATTGAATAAGGATGACGACCTCCGATTTTCTGTAGGCCGCTTGTGAGATGCTGAATCCACTCCATCTAGTGGAAAGTGTAAATGGATCAACTTCTCCATCCGGCGTTCGAGTTTCGTTCGTTCAACCCTTCCTACGTCCATATTCGCCTTTCTAGCTTCTGTAAACTCGCCAGTACGAGGCCTGTATACGCCCTTGGGCTGAAATCCAGGCCGATACGGTGCTGGTGAACGAGAGGGGGCCTGGGATGGTGAAGGAGGGATGGACGGAGCTGGCGAACTGGAAGTGGTAGTGGTCTCGGAAGCAGAAACGGTGACCTTGGGAAGTGGTTTCTCTGGAGGGACGGGAGGCCTCTGGAATGGTGTACCAGGCTGGTTGCGGGGGGTGTACGATAACGAGGGAGGGTGTGGTATATTGATCGGCTGAGGCTGCTCGGGAATGGGTAACGACAATGTCGAGTGAGGTCTCTCCTCAGCCAGTGTTGTGACTACCGAACCAAGGGATGTGACACGGTGATGCATCGCCGGCGAGTAAGGCGGTTCAGATTGAAGAGAAGTTGTGGAAGAGGATGCAGCGTGAGTATTGGAACCTAGAGGGCGTAGAGGTGATGGTGATGAAGGGAGAGATGACCTTGCAGTGAGACTTGCACGGGGTACACGACGGAATGTTGACTGTTTCTTTGGGGCATTATTTGGTTTCGTCATGGTAATCGATGACGGAGCAGATGGTTCGACGGTTGGCTCAACTTCTCTACTTTTCCCATTCACTTTCGGCAAAGGGAGAGAGCGCGTGCTGATATCTGGCGACAAAGTGGGTGCTGGAACAGGTGCATCGAGTGTTGTTTGAGAAATTGTCGGAGAGATCGACTCTGGAGAAGATGAACTACTAGCAGTAAGTGGTGTGCGAGTGCCTTTCGTAGGCACCGGGTCTGACGAAGCGGTCTTGTCTGCTAGAGGTATGATTGACATGACCTGTGCGAAATCAGCTGCAAATTTCTCGATTTCCTGAGACTCGTGTCGTCGGGCGTAAGCTGGGGTTGGCGAATAAGCGATAGAGGCGTTGCTGGCCACACTGGATGGGCGTGACAATGGTGGAGGCGAAACATTAGGAATGAGATGCACATTGGAGATATTGCGCGAGTGTCTCTTTGACTGTATAAACAATATTCAGAACCAGGACACTCTGAAAAACAATATCTTACCCTGTACGCTTGATACGGTACAAATGGCGGGGAATCCATCGCCAGCGGTATGACTCTAAACTGAGTTGAGACTGATTTGAGAACTGAAACTCGGACGATTCAGCAAAAGTTCAGACAACAAGTTGAACGTCGAGAAAAACGTGGGTGATGAAAGGGCTAATGCACCTTAAGAATGCCCCCTGCGATGTGTCTGGCCAATGTGCTGTGCGTGTGTGTTGTTTTTCGCAATCCCGCAAGCTACCAACAAGATGCAAATTGTTCTGTTGCCAGTGATATATGAGTTCAACACAGGTTCGTGATTTACGGAATTGGCGCTTGACGAGGAAAGCAGAGAGTACAACTAGCACTGCTACTAGTGCCGGTACTGTGACGATTACGCCTGGCTTAAGAGTGAGCGCTGCGCCACGGTCTCTCGGTCCGCCGTTTTACTTCAAGTTGCATACCCGGCATAGTCACTTAGCACAATACTACCAGGTTATATACAGTCAACACAGAAAGCTATAAGAAATTGCTTTGTTACACCATCCAGTCCGCGCAACATGTCTGCTACATCAGGTATCCAAGTATCACCTGAACTCGTCGAATCGTTCTCTGCAGCCGTAGAGTCAAAACAAGTCCGTTTCATCAAAGTTGCTATCCGCATGCACGACGGTTTGCATTCCTCCACATGCCTCATCATCTTTGTCCTCACTATTCATGTAGAATCGCTCGCGCCTGTCGCCGTGATAGACGTTTCAGGATCGCTCGAAGAAGACTTGCTTCAGTTGCAGGATCTCTTGGATGACAAGGAGCCAGCGTATGTCTTGACCCGTCTTGATGATCCGCCCTCAGAATGGCTCGCGATAAACTACGTGCCCGACTCTGCTACAGTCAGAGACAAGGCAGGTGCACCTGTGTCCGCCTCAGCTCTCTAGCTCATACCATCAAGAGTAGATGCTCTATGCCTCGACTCGCAACTCTCTAACAAAGTCACTTGGGTCCGCTGTCTTTACAGACTCTTTATTCGCCACTGATAAGACCGACGTCTTGCCTGAAGCCTACGCTGCTCATAAGAGACATCTTGCTGCCCCAAAGCCTCTCAGCGCTAGAGAACAAGAGTTAGCTGACGTCAAAGCCGCCGAACGGGAGGGAAGCTCCAGTGCCTACAATGGCAGCAGGAGTAGGGTGACTCATATCCCCACTGGCCCTGGCTGGGATTGGCCAGAAGATGTTCGAGGTGCTGTTGAAGAACTAGCTACTCACCCTGGCAATCGACTTGTTGTCCTTGTAAGAAATACACTTTCCCCAGCATCGATTGACAATACTGAACCTACGAGCAGCACATCGATCCATCGTCAGGATCTCTTGTCCTTGGGTCAGCTGTAGATGTTACCATCGACGCGTTGGGCTCATCTCTTCCTAAATCCGAGCCTGGTAAGATTCTTTTGATCCACATCATTGCGAGTGTCGGTGCTGACTGAAATGTTGGCGGTATAGCATATGCATTCTTTGCATGGCCGAATACCTATTCAACGAGTGGTCGAGACATCAGTAAGCGTTTTACACTTGGGTGCATGGGCATCATCTAATCAAGGTCAATAGTCTACATATACTCGTGCCCATCATCCTCCCCCGTCAAATATCGAATGACTTACGCATCGGGTGCCTTGTCTGTGTTCCAGTCCACTAACAACATACTTGCGACGGCAGAATCAACATGCGCTCTGGCTTCGCGGAAGATACAGACGTCAGACCCAGCAGAGCTCGGCGAAGCTTTTATCATGGCTGAACTGGGATACATTTCTCGTGAGGATGAAGATACCAACACGCAACCGCAGCCGGAGGTGGTAAAGTCATTCGCTAAACCCAAAGGACCTGGCAGAAGGCGATAAGAATGTTGAAAATACAATCGCAGGGTTGCTGTAATTTTACGTGATACCAAAAGGACATTGGGCTTGTTGGATACTATTCGCACAGAATCAGAATGAACAATATTCTCAGCTGAATCGTGAGTTGTACAATAAATATGTACTTACGGATGCCCGACGGATGAGATCCGCCTATATGCCTGTTCTCAACCACCTTGACCAAGCGAACGTGTAAATGTTATGCCCGACTGGGTTACACGGTTTACTTACAGTACCGTGGCCCGTATCTCGTGATCACTTGTCTTATACGCATACATAAACGAAGGTAGGCCCGTACTGTCTTTCCTCCTCTCCTTGGGCTGTCAATTATATCATGTGGGCGGCGCGTATCTCTAGGACGGCCAGGGCGGCCTCACCGACTATAGTACTTGGAAATTACAGTCGACTACTCTCCCCTGGCATACGGTGGTATAGTACACCAGTAGATCTCCCGGTCCCAAAGAAGAGAAAAGTCTGGGACTCTGTTGATGAAGTCGTCAAGGACGTAAAGTCAGGGGATGTGCTCTTATGTGGTGGTTAGTGTGTTGATGTTCCACCCCCATGATAAACATTCTAAAGGATCGTATGTATAGGCTTTGGATTGGCAGGAGTTCCAGGTGTGTATGATACTGTCGTCGCGAAGAAACACCACCGAATGGCTTTCAGATACGCTTCTCGGGGCCCTGGTTAAGAGGAAAGAGGTTCAACAGCTAACTGCTGTCTCAAACAATGCAGGAGCAGGAGATTCTGGCCTGGGTGCATTTCCTAATTGCTCGGTGGTTCATTGCGATTTACTTATACACGGTCTCTCCAGGGAAACTGCTGAACAGCAAGCAAGTGGACAAAATCATCGCATCTTACCCTGGCGGGTACGTACCTGCGCTCTTCCGTCGTTTATAACGTTGACCTATCTCACTTTAGCAACAAAGCATTCGAAGCTCTATACCTGAAGGGTGAAATATCACTAGAACTCGTTCCACAGGGTACGCTCGTCGAGCGTTTGCGTGCTCATGCAGCAGGTATCCCTGCATTTTTTACCCCCACCGGAGCATCGACTGCCGTGGAGGAAGGATTGATTCCCGTGCGCTATAATGAAGGTGGCTTCGCAAATGGGGTCAAGTATCCCGGTATAAAGAAGGAGTCGCGTGAGTTTGGCGGTCGTCGATATGTTATGGAGCCAGCTATTGCTGGAGATGTTGCATTCATTCGGGCATGGAGAGTGGACGAAGTGGGAAACTGTGTATTCCGGTAATTGCATCAACTCCTTTGACAGAAATCTGTTAACATTGTCCAGCTATGCACAGAACAACTACAATACGGTCATGGGAAAGAATGCGAAGCTCACTATTGTGGAGGTACGTCAAAAATTCTACTATTATTATTCACTGTGAACCTTCAACTTATGTCCACCCCCGGCAGGCTGATAACATTGTACCAGTAGGATCAATCTCACCCAACGCTGTACATCTCCCGGGTATCTACGTTGATCGCATCGTGAAAGCGACAGCTCCAAAAAACATCGAATTCGTCACTCTGGCCAAATCATCCTCAGATACTAGTTCTGCATCTTTAACACCCGAACAAAGCCGAGCAAAGGAGCAGAGACATCGGATTGCAAAGCGCGCTGCCAAGGAAATCAAAGACGGCTTCTATGTGAATCTGGGGATTGGGATGCCCACTCTTGTGACAGAGTATTTGGAACCTGGTGTGAGTGTCTGGCTGCAAAGTGAAAATGGAATATTGGGCATGGGACCATACCCAACTGAGGTGCAACTTGATCCGTTAGTGTTCACCCCCTTGAGTTTTACTTTGTGCCCATATGACTGCATACAGGGATATCATCAACGCCGGAAAGGAGACCGTAACTTTACTGCCTGGCGCTTCCATCTTCGGTAAGTGGATGTCCTGCAAGAGTAAAAGGTCAAGACCAAACATATGATGTATCACAGATTCTAGTGAATCGTTTGCCATGATTCGTGGTGGCCATATGGACATCTCTATTTTGGGGGTATGATAGGTCAGGCTTTGATGACTGAAGTGACATCTAATGCCTTTTTCTCGTTCAGGCTATGGAAGTATCCCAGGCCGGTGATATCGCAAACTTTATGATCCCAGGGAAACTTGTGAAAGGTTCGATAGGGTAGTATCACTGACATTCTTTGGTGCTTACGATGTTTGTGCAGGTATCGGTGGCGCCATGGACCTCGTGTCCAACCCAGACAAGACCAAAGTTATCGTGGTGATGGAGCATTGTGCCAAGGATGGAAGCCCAAAGATTCTCAAGCAATGCAGTTTGCCACTCACCGGAGCACGCACCGTCAGCCTTATTGTGACTGAACTTGCGGTGTTCAAAGTTGATCGCACCGCTGGAGAGCTTGAGCTCGTTGAACTAATGGGAGGCGCAACACTTGAGGAGGTGAAGGCCAAGACGGGGTGTGAGTTTAACGTCCGTAGGGACTTGAGTAAGTTGTAATCTTACGGTGGATGATTGGTTACGGTTCAACTTTCGAGCCCGGCCAATGTCCGGCATAATATTTTTCAAAATCCGATGTACCTTCAGCTATTATATTTGTATTTAGCAAAATTCGAGCAAGGCCTTTGATGGGCGATCAACGAAGATACATTTTAATTAATTTCTTTGATCCAGCGAGTGTGATTTGGGCAAAAGCCAGTGTGATGAGAGATCGAGCGAGCGTGCAATTCAATATGTCAACATAGGATTTCAAGCGTCCAAATACATCAAGAAATTACAAGTATTACACATATACTGACAACCCCTCTCCTCAAGGTAAGATCTCCACCTCACCCGCTTCGATTGTGTTCTGCATGGCTGTGATACCGGCGGAAATAGAAGGACAGCGAGTAAAAACGGCGCGGCTGACAGCGATAACGAGAGGAGAGGTAGACTGCCTGAGAAAATAGAGATGAGACAGTTTCGAAGTCGACGAGTCAAAGGTCACTTACCACGCAGCAAAGATACCAATTCTACGTCCTCTGGTGACCAAATAGAAGGGACCAGCTGTCCCAGCATCAGGAACCTCATAAACCTGGCCGAGGTATGTGCGAGTGATAGCCTGTGAGGCATTTGGCACATTACCTCCAGGTGGAGCGGCAGGGGTAGCGAGCGAGCCAAGTGCTGTGGTGAAAAGAGGAGAGCTGGTGGTGATCGGAGAAACTGTCGCATAAGCACTGGCACCCAAAGCAGGAGTAAGCGGAGAAGAGGCGGCACCCAAAGCAGGAGTGCGTGAAGAAGCAGCAGCTGAAGGACCAGATACCACAGTAGAGCTGGCGGCAAGCGACCCTTGAACTATTGAGGAAGATGGGGAAGAGCTGGTGTATATGGGACTTGATGGAGTTGAAGGGCGGGCACTGCCAAGAACAGCGGACATCATGAGCATAGCGTTGCTCCTACTCAAGGTTACGGATGAGAGGAGAGAAAGGAGGATGTCTGGAGGTACACGTAAGTTAGTGCAATAATCAGAAACATGAGAAGGCCTTACTCATAGTTTCTTCCTCGTCGCTGAGGCAATCTTCACTCACGGAGCGTTCAGGCTGCTTGGAAGAGTTTGAACGACCAGGGGGAGGAGATTGAGTCATTGCAATTTGGAAGGAGGAGGTAAGTATGTCTGGATGATAATTGTGAACTCACCCGTACCTTTTATAGCTGTTTGCTTGAGGCAGCATAGACTTACAGCCCATAGTTGACAATTATTGAGATCTACAAACACGGCAGTCTGACAGAGTTGCAGAATTTTCATGCGTGAGAACAATAGCTAAGGTCCAACAAATCAACATCACGTGTGTACTTCACGATCTCGGAATAATCAGCTGTTCAGACAGCACTGTAAATCTTTTCATGCAATTCTGGCGACACATTCTTGAAGAGCTTCGCGTCAACCACATGCTCACGCCAATACAGTAATGCACAGTCAGTTCCAGCTCTTTCTTGTGGTCATATGTCTCATATTAGCCCGCACTAACCAAATGATTCAACGCAAAGCCAAAACAATGGTCTCCGCCGACGCACAATGGAATCCCATTGTACTCACATGCTTGGAGGATCAAGGAGATCTCAAAGAGACTGGAAGGTACAATTCCCATATTAAATTACAAATAAACTCGGTGTGAGTTGCTCCTTACAGCATCTGCACAGTTGTGCATTCCAGAACTCAAGTTCTCGGGCCCAAAGCATGATTCCATAGAAACATTCATTGTTGTATTTAGCTATTCTATGTACAATACAATGATTTGATATCCAAAGTGCATTTCAAGAAAACAAGAAAGACCAGAACACATACTAAAAGGCCTAAGCTAATCCGAGTCGTCTGTCCACTCATACTCAAAATCTGTATCAGCTTCGTCAGATGAGTAGCCCCCGGTGTTCTGTGGTGCATCTCCTACAACGCGCCTCCGTTGCCGGTGGGGTGGAAGCTCCATGACTGGCATGAATTCGGACTCATCCTCCTCATTAGAGTTCACTGAAAGGGCCATCACAGTACGCAACTCCATGTTGTTTGGCTGATCTCGGAACTGCTGGAGTAAGTGTAAATAGATGTCCCATATGTTTTCTCGGCCAACTTGAGGGTAGTTGGCAGCATCCCAGAATGTGCGTGCCTGTAACGAAAAGGCCGGCGGGACCAGATGAAAAACAGGGTGATCGGGTGGTGCATACTTGTCTCGCACTTCTGTTAGATACGGCGGATGCACCTTAACCTGTAGATGTATGTATTATAAGTATATGACAAAGTGGAAATGATACTATGAACTTACAGCAAAATTGCGTGACTCAAAAAGCTCCGGGTTCTTGAAGATATCTACAGGGCGTCCATGAGGTAGTAACTTGTGTGAGTTTCGTCGGGGCTTTGAACCGTTGAACCTCTCAATGAAGCAGTTGAGTTCTTGCTGTATCCAGGGGATAAATACATAGTGGAAGACTAGTCTACAGGTTTGTGTCAGTTGTGGCCGCTTTGCTTAGGTAAATGGATATACGCAACCGTTGAAGAGCATCGTCAGCATCATAAAGGCCCTCGTTGACCCCCCAGTCAAGGAGAGCCTCAAATCCCGGCGCCCAACGTCTTCGAAATTGGCCCCAAAAGATCTCAGGCTTAATGTTCCGGTGAGATCCTTTGAACGTATGTTGCAGGGTCTTGTCTAAAGCCGGGTCTTGCATATGACGAAGTAATGTATGGCCGTTTGCGATACCATTGTTTTCAGTGCCGGGGTCACTTTGTGTGATTAGAGGCATCCCTAGTATAAGTCAGCAATTGGCAGCCAAGCAGTTGAAACACCGGAGAAAGAGACTCACCACCCAATCTCTCCACGACATCACAATACCATCCACATATCAGACGCGGATTATGGTTAGTCCACCAGACTTTGAGCCAGAGTACATAGCCGGAGAAGGGCTCGAGTCCAACGTGAAAAAAAAGCTGAAAGCGTCTCCACTTATCATGCTGGTCAAAACACCACAGTTCATTGACACCTGCTGTCCAGAAATAACTACGCTTCAGCCGGCGTTTTCGACGTCCTTTTACTTCGTCTGGATGGTGTAGATTCATGTAGTCTAGTATTACCTGCCTAGTATACTAACGTCCTTGTGACTGCCACTGTGTGAAAAGTGAAACAACTTACCGAGGCACCATCACCCTTTCCTCTTGTCGCAAAGTCACTCTCATATCGTGTGACCCCTGGTGAGGGAACCGCTCACGAACACGTTCAATGGTAGGCCCCACACTATCAACTGAGTGTGCCTGGCCCCGAGCACTCTTCAAGCCCCAAACCATCCGTTTTTTCTTCAGTAAAGCGAGACTATAGTTAATCAAATGTGTCAGTGTATTGTAGTATTACAGCTAGAAGGCTTACGAAAATGAGTAGCGGTCCGTGTCATAGTAGTCCTTGAGTTTAGTGACAATTTCTGGATTTGTGTATCCATCTGCGACGAATTGTTCCACCAATGGTCGGATTAAAATGTCTGGAGCTGTGAGAAAAGGACAGAAAGTGAGCATTACACCCTTGGAGTGTCGTTTATGCAAGCCTACCAGGGGATACCTTATACCCATTGGTACCTTGAGGGTTAGGCATGGCCTGCAGGGCGTTGACAGTCCTGGATAGCGTTAGCACTTGGCTGATGCACGTGGGGCACTGCAATTTGAACACTCACCTATAGGATGCACAGTCCAATAGTACACTTCCTATTTGATCCACAGCCTGTTCAGTGTAAGCAGTGGAGTCAGTTCTTCAAGTGATCCTATGGGCAGAAAGGATATGGAAGATCCGCTCAATAGACACTTGGATACGCACTTCAGACAAAACCGTAAGGCTAATCAGATCGTGTTTGCACGCAATTCATTTAACCGGTGCCTGCCTCTTCCTCATTTGTTTTCACTGACATTATCTCCGCAAAGATCTCCCATCTCCTCATGTCAATTTGCAATCACCAGCTTTGACATATCCATATTGATCCTTGTCCGCGTGTTGTTCGAGGATGGCCCATTGGTGAGTCGCCAGCCACTCAGATTGGCAAAGTCCTCATTGTTATCTTTGTGCCGAGGAGTTCTCAAATTTGACTCGACTCGACCCAAATCCATTCGGACTACAACTCATCTTCAAGGATCCATATAAACTACACCAGGAATGGGGGGAGAACAGTAAGTAAATTAGCCGCCATGGACTTCACACCCACTATCGAAGGCCCACCAACTAAAAGTTGTCATCGTTGTCGTACAGAATTTGATAAGTCTGTCCGGTTCTTGTATATCAAGGGTAGGGATGGGACCGGTCGCCACTGCTGTTCAGATTGCGTCGAGCATTATCAGCGCAAGCGTGCGGAAACTGGAGAACGTCATGGTCATAGTACCAGTGCAATATCTGGTGAAATTGTCGGTATGTCTGATTGTCTTCTGTAATTCAATGTATATGTTAAGGATCAAATCTAGATTTCACGAAAGTGGCTTCCCGGGCACATGGTGTTGATGCCGACTCGCGCCAGGCTCTTGTCAAGGCTTCTTCGGCCGCACAACGTGGCGGTGAGTAAAATTTCCAGCTCACCTGTGCGTGTTCAAGTTACTTACCAAACACACATTATGAAATCCCAGAACAGTCATTCCCTAGGCAGCATATTGGGGTGGGACATGCTACATCTAGCGTTATGCCTCCCCCTCTTATCCCCTCGTCTGCTAGTGTCAGTGCTGATAGCGTCTCCCAAGCCATAGGATATACTCAGAACCATGCATTCCACGCCCACCACCGCACGAAAATGCTAGCATCAACAGTAGCTCCTCAACGTCAAGTCACAATCCGGATAGCTCTCCATCATGTGAAGGACGAAGGAAAATCTGGAACAGAGCTGGTTGGGGTGAGTCTTTGGGTACTTCAATATTTCAAGGATACTCACATGTACTATTATTTGAGAATATTGAACGAGACATTACAGTACCGCTCTCTATTAAATGTGGCCAACTACGCAACATAGTGATTGAACACCTGAAGCGTTTGTGGGTGGTCTGGTCTTGTGACCATCAGCTGGCACTCGAGTCTTTACAGATGCTGAAGGCTCCATTACTCCTCATTTACGACCCCGAAGAGCCTCATCAATACTCTGAGCGGCTGGTCCTTCACGATTTTTTCTTCCGCACATCAGCAAAGGACAACATGCCCAAGTTTTCACCAAACGTGAAAGTTCCCATCATTCTCTTGATGTCAAAGGAGGAATTTGAAGATGTCTTGCTATGGAAGGAAGAAGATAGGCATGCCAAAGCACGCTCACGCAATGAAGAGGTTCAGAGCCCCGGAATATCGTCAGACGATGATGATATTGGTGGTCCGATGGACAAGGTTATACATTTTACTTACTTTTACTGCGCTATACTTACAGCAACTGGCCTTACTAGATATTCCTTGCAGCAACACGTGGTGGGAAACGAGCTAGAAAGACTCGTGTGCGAAAGGCGCCAGGCCAATCTTCCATCCCCGCACGTGAGTCGGTATCTGTGCGTTCAAAAGCACCAGTGTCAGAGGAGGTATGCCAATGGCCCTCACATTATTGGAGACGATACTTACCACATGTAGGGTGAATATGACAGTCGTAGTAACAATACACGCAGCACAGCATCAATGTCAAGCCTATTCCACAGCAAACACTCCATCAAGACGTCTGAACTACGCCCCCTCACTCCCTCAAGCTCTAGCAGCCAATCACTGCCCTCAAGACTTTTCTCCAAGGCTGCTACTAATCCCAATATCCCGCCATTCAGCATGCCTGACAAGGCAGTTCTTGAGCGTGTCATGAAGGCACAAGGAGATGTTCGACGCCTAGCAAAGCCGATATGTAAGTCAACCTATATTTCTATCTAAAACATCTATTAACGTGCTAGTGAAGTAAATACGGACATAGGAATCTATGTCCTGTTCCTCGTCCCTTCGATCCCATTCACTGAGCTTCTAAAGAAGCGGGTCCCTTTCGATGTCATGAGCAAGGTCAATCGCCCTCTAGTCACTTTAACAGTTGACTGCAGCTCAAAAGCAATGCTGGGGCCAGCCGGTAGCTTCAAGACATGCCACCCAGCGTCATATGATCTAACTGAAGCTCTGCCAGCAGAGGAAAATATTCTACAGGTAGAGGCTATAGTAGCAAAACGTTGCTTTTACAGAGAAACAGTACAGGGAGCCGAAAAGAGTGGTACACCATCAAGTCCTTCAGGCGGGCGCAAACGACTGGCCATCAAGGATGAGCTAATGAAGATGCTCGACGAGGCTAACTGCCTTTACTGGGCAACAAGCCTGTTGGCTTTAGTTTATAACTTCGTCGACGACAAGCTTATTCGAAGGCCCCTTGACTGTCCTCCCCCGGCAATCCCCCGACTTCGAGTCGTCCACGCCGCTTTGGCCATCCCCCAAGACAGCAGAGAGTTGCGTAATGCCGTTTATCTTCTCGAGGAGAAGATAAACGGTAACTTCGTGAAGTATATCAATAACAATAGTGCAGCTCCTCGGCACAAACTTGCTCCGCCTGAACTGGAGATTGCAACCTTCCTATGCTTCGCACAACACACTCAATATCATTTCTCGCAAGGCCTTGTGTTCATCTCAGATTTTCAAGGTAAGTTAATATAAGCTAGTCTCTTTTGCTTTCCTTTTCGTACTTACATTTGACTTGTCAGGGTCCGGTGGAATATTGACTGACTGCCAGGTTATCACTACCAAGTAAGGCTCTATTACCTCCATGTGGTTGGTTCTCATCCTTTCCCAGAGACTTTGCCGATAATTTTGGCGAAGGAAACTGGACGGCGACGTTAGACAACTTCCCCTTGTTGCACAAATGCAACCAGTATTGTGTATATTTCGGACTCCCTTCCTTGCAGACAGCAGTATGTTTTCTTTTTCTGATGGATCCTTTCTACTACATCTCATGTCACCTCTTTTTTCACAGAGTTCGGCTACAAAGATGAGAACATCACAAGAGATTGACATCATGTCCAGTCGTGTTCGTGGCTGAGAGGGATTTTTTTTTACATGACATGTACTTACTGTATCGCTTGAAATCCTATGTTGACATGTTGAATTGCACGCTCGCTCGATCTCTCATCACACTGGCTTTTGCCCAAATCACACTCGCTGGATCAAAGAAATTAATTAAAATGTATTTTCGTTGATCGCCCATCAAAGGCCTTGCTCGAATTTTGCTAAATACAAATATAATAGCTGAAGGTACATCGGATTTTGAAAAATATTATGCCGGACATTGGCCGGGCTCGAAAGTTGAGCCGTAACCAATCATCCACCGTATAATCTTGACAATATTTGATATGTAACATTTGTACAACACCACAGCATATCATGCTCAGTTGCAATGATTCTGGCAATGCACTTACTTTGTACATACATAATTTTGGTCACCCATGCGGATGCAGCGACGAGTGAATGTATCTCCGAGGTAAACAAGGTCGTCAGAACTATGATGGGATTACGATTTTTGCAACCCTCGGATTTCTCCATGTACCGGGACGTGCCGCATGGCCCGGCCCTGCTAAAGCGACGCCGATATCGGTACTATTGTCCCGCGCCTTCATCTTTACACTCCGCTGTCACTTCCCCCGCATCGCTGAGATCGCTTTGTCAAAATTTAAAATGTCCGCTACTTGATCTCGGCAAGGCTCTATCAGTCCTAAAGCCGCACGATTCCCCGAAGCTGTTGCCGCTGTCGTTGCCGTTTCCCGTACCTTCTGCGGGCAGCGCCTGAAGAAAGATATAACTGACTGGCATGTCCTCCCGCTCTCGGGTTACTTTTCAACCTATCATGGCATATGGATACACAGTGATCTCATAACTTCTACACCACTCTGCACATCAATATCCAGCTCGGAACGGCATCGTCCTGGGTCGTCAGCCAATCAACCTGCTTCTACCTCGTAGTATGTATATCCGGGACGGCCTGGATAGGTCTTGGAGGGAGGAATGACATGGAGTATTGCTCATGCGTAGGGAGGTATATAAGCACTCCCGAGTGGAGGTGGAGGTGAGCATCATCGAGCCTCATCTGTATTGTAAACCCCTCATCGTCCAGTTCTTCCTCTATCGTTCGCTATGTCAATATTTAGGGCGACACGCTCTCAAATCTGGGCTCGACCCTCTGCATTTACGCGTGTCTGCATACGGCATTATAGTATTGCTGGGCATGCCCCGCTGAAACGGAAAGTGTGGGACTCTGTGGATGAAGCTGTCAAAGACGTGAAGTCTGGAGATACTCTGTTGAGTGGAGGTGCGATCGCTTATAGATTCAGGTTGGTGTCATGAATTTTTACTGACGTCTTCCTTTTGGTACAGGATTTGGAGTATGTGGAACTCCAGGTATGGTCATGATAAGTTTCGAGATGGAGCTATACTAACCATTTGTGCTGCAGAGACCTTAATATCGGCTCTCGCAAGGCGATCAGGAGTCAACAACCTTATTGCAGTCTCAAATAATGCGGGAGCAGGGGAGGGTGGTTTGGGTACGTTAAGACTATGGTATTGACTTTCTACTGTCTGCTCACGTGTTGCACAGTGAAGTTACTTCGAACGAAGCAACTGAACAAGCTAGTCATATCGTATCTTGGTGGGTAAGTCATGTCATTGTTTTTTGCTTTTTTTTACATCCAAGCTCAAGACATCTTTCAGCAATAAATACTTGGAGAAAATGTACCTGGGTGGAACGATGTCACTCGAGCTAGTCCCTCAAGGCACTCTTGTAGAACGGATACGAGCTCATGCTGCTGGCATACCAGCTTTTTTCACTCCGACTGGTGCCTCTACAGTTGTCGAGACCGGTGGCATACCTATTCGGTTCAAAGACGGAGGATTCAAAAGTGGTGTCGCTATAACCGGGAATAAAAAAGAATATCGAGAGTTTGGTGGAAAGCGTTATGTTATGGAACCAGCTATTGCTGGGGATGTCGCTTTCATCCATGCATGGAAAGTGGACGAGGTCGGCAATTGTGTGTTCAGGTGATTATCATCACGTCCGGCTTATACGAAACACAGCTCAGCTGATCGCTGTTTTCATCCCATTTAGGTATACGGCGAATAATTATAATGCTTCTATGGCTAAAAATGCGAAGCTTACCATCGTGGAGGTTTGTCTTGAAATTTTCTTGGATTTGGTCGTAGGTCTCAAATCACTTTGATGTTTAGGCAGAGCAGATAGTTCCAGTTGGCTCGATCTCCCCTAATGCTATCCATGTGCCGGGAATCTACGTGGATCGTATTGTTCGTGCGACTGAACCGCGATTAATAGAAGCCCGAACTACTGTTCCCAGCCCAGAAGCTCAGGTGAACCCTGTCTCACAATCTAAAACCAACAACAATCGTCGTCTCCAGATCGCGAGACGGGCAGCACAGGAAATTCAAGACGGCTTCCACGTCAACCTAGGTGTCGGTATACCAACCTTGGTTACTGAGTGCTTAGAACCGGGAGTAAAAATCTGGCTGCAAAGCGAAAATGGCATACTTGGGATGGGTCCATTCCCTACAGAGTCTCAGGTTGATGGGTGAGCAGCGATTCTTTTGTCTTACATGTATGGAAATTCATTGTTCTGCGTAGTGATATCATCAATGCTGGAAAGGAGACTGTCACGCTTTTGCCAGGCGCGTCTGTCTTTGGTGAGTTTCACTACTTCATACGACTCTAGCTGCATATTTTCTGACTCGTGGACTTCAGACTCAAGTGATTCCTTCGGCATGATTCGCGGCGGTCACATTGATGTAGCTATACTTGGGGTATGTTCCACCAAATCACATCTTTTGGAGCCTTTTCTGATGATATGTAATAGGCTATGCAAGTATCGCAGGCTGGTGATATCGCAAACTTCATGATACCGGGCAAACTTGTTAAAGGTGAATTCCAAAAATGCTTATATGGAGTTATCTTTGTACAGTCTGATCTAATCATGAAAAAAGGTATTGGCGGCGCTATGGATCTTGTTTCAAACCCTGAGAAGACAAAAGTAATCGTTGCGATGGAACACTGTGCCAAGGATGGAAGTTCGAAAATACGCAGGGAGTGTTCGTTGCCATTGACTGGTGCGCGAGCGGTCAGCCAGATAATAACGGACCTAGCTGTCTTCAATGTCGACAGACATGGTGGGATACTGGAGCTCATTGAGTTGGCGGAAGGAGTAAGTTTGGAGGAAGTCCAAGCGAAAACCGATTGCGACTTCCGGATAGCGGGCGATGTTAAGACGATGCAGATCTGAATAGACTACGTAGAGATTGAGTAAATGCGGTACAGCGCAGCGGACGAGACTGTGCAGTTGTACTAGATGGAGATAAGAACATATTTTTTGATGTTTATCTAGGCTACTTACAGGATGCCGAGAAGGGTGGGGCCTCACGGGTATTCATGAATTTTTCGGCCAATCGTGATGACTGGTGAGCTGCGGATAGACCAAAAAAAGGCGAATGCATGGGTGTTCTGATAAGCGCTGGGATTGGACTGAGTGGACGGCACGGCGCGAAAAGGCAGAGTGGCGCAAGTACCTTAACGGGTAATGAAAATCAGCCTGTTGTCTCTGTCCTCACGTTCTGCCACCGACACTACTGCAACAAGCTGGCAGGGTTAGCTATAGCGTCTGCTGCCTCCCAATATGAACTGGCTGGCCTCTCTTTTCTCCACTGGAAACAACGTCTCGTCGAGGAGAGGTCAGGCAATGTCCACCACACACGAAGCCTTCTCTCTCCCCACTTCGTCACCAGGCTTCGCGACACACCCAGACGCCTTCAACCCAGATTCTCTCCAGACACCAGATACTGAGTCTGCTATGAGTCCCTCTTACACATACCCCCCTCAGTCCCCCATCAGTGCCTATGGTTATGTTCCTGCATCGTAAGTGTTTCACTTCCATGTTTGTTCTCTTCCCTCACCTCCTCTAATCCTAGCTCCGGGTCACGTTCCCGACCAACATCATTGCTTCCTCTCCACAATACACCTTATGCAAACTCACTCACTCCACACACTTCTTATCCTCCTTTGTCTCTCACCTGGAATCGTCTCAAAATTTGGCTCGCTCGCGAATATCCGGAGCTGGGAGATACCTTCAACTATGGTATCCTCCCCCAGGACCTCGCTCAAATCGAAATGCAGTTTGGTTTTCCACTTCCCAGCGCTATTCGCGACTCTTATCTCTGCGTTGACGGCCAGGAAGCAGAATCCTCTGCTGGCTGTTCAGAAGGTCTCTTTTTTGGTTTGAATTTATTACCTCTCGAAGATGTTCTCGAGGAATGGCGCTTTTGGCGAGAGGTTGACGACGACCCTGCCACGGGCGGCAACCAGCGCCTACGTGAGCAAATGCGCTCAATACCAGATGGGTGGATCCGAAAGGAATATTCTCAACGAGGATGGATACCTCTCGTCGTAGATAAGGCTGGTAATTATATCGGTGTGGACCTCAATCCCGGAGAAGGCGGCTCTGTCGGTCAAGTCATTGTTTTCGGTCGTGATTTTGATACCAAAGTAGTGCTCTGGAGAGGAGACGGACAGGATGGTTGGGCAACGTGGTTGGCCAGTTTTGCAGACGAACTCGAGAGCGGAGAAGGCTTCGAGCTTGGTATAGGTAGTGAAACCGAGGGAAGCGAGGATGATCTTGGATACGAAGCCTACTTCTATGATGGCAGCGGAAGGGGCCAAGGAGATGGTGGGGGAGAAGCTGGTGCTGGTGGTTTGCGGCTAACAGGCGAATACCGAGGGTGGAATGTTTTGGAGGCTTGGGCAGATCGCAGCGTAAAGAAGTGGTATGAATCGGGTATTATTCAGGATATCTCTTCGCTTTCACAAGAGAAAGGCAAGGTAAACACTACGTCTTTCTCGTTCTTGTCCATTCAAGCTCACTGTTGATAGGGTCCCGAGAATCACGGGCTTGGCGTGCTGAACGTTGCAGGCCAATCTCAAGAGTCTTCTGCAGAAGTTCATATTCCAGTGTTCTCTGATGCGGCTCGAGACTCTTCTTGTGAGGATACTGCGGGTACTGTGACTTTAAATGCCGTACCTGCAATTTCCGTGACGAAACCTCCTGCACCTCTCCCCGTGGGTCTTCCCACTGTAAATGACGTGGTCCCTTTGCCCTCTCCTCCAGACTCGACCCATTCATCTATTGATGTTGACTTGGAAGCAGGCCGCAGTATGCGTGAAGTTCCCCGTCAAACCCTCGTTGCAGCAGCATCACGTAAAAGAAATCCAAATCCTGATGCAAAGGTTGAGAATAATGCACCTACTCTGATATCACTTCCAACGTCTCCCGATACACTACCATCGGATGCGTCTGGCCTCTCATCGCCACCTGTTGCACCATTGGCAGACATTACTGATTTGCTCGTTGACCCTGTGCCATCTTCGAGTACTCCGCTTGTTGGAACGCCATCCCCAATCTTGCAGAGCGAAAGCAAACTGATTACCCCGACTTCCACAGGGGAAGTGATTCCATCCGAGTCTGTCGATCCCCCACAACATTTTATTCTCGAATCTCAGTCAGACATGTTGGCCCATGAAACTGATGCGACTATCCGTTTGGTCGGAGGCGGAGGCTCTTCGGGGTTGGTGGATGAAGAAGTCCTCGCAGAGGACGCAACGCCACCTCCGCAGGCAGAAGTGACGTCCACCACACCACCTGCCGTTGAAGAGTCACCCTCTAAGAAAGACAAAAAGCACGATAAGAACAAGTCCAGCCTTTCCTCTGGACTGAAGAAGATTGGCCAGCTTGGAGGAGGCGGAAAACGGAAAAAGAGTTCTGGCGGTAGCATTAAAGAAGTTGTATAGTGGCGGACATAGACCACCTCTCATTTCATGGACATAGTCTTTTTCTACCCAGCATGCTAGCATCATTGCTGGTTTATTACTCATTTTTTCCCTATTATCTTCTCTACCGACTCACTGCTGAACTATATGTAGTAGCGTTGCATTACATGTTTTCTTTCTTTCGTATACCCGTAAACACAGACCCAATATTTCAGTGCTTTGCGATCTCATTTAATGTACATGTTTCGGGAGCCTGGATACTATGCATACGCATCTTGGCTAACCCACCATTCTAATGCAAACAATTTGAAGAATATTTCCTTGTCTGATAGCAGTTCTTATCAGATTCGCTGTGTATCAAGCTTCCAGTATTCTCTTCGCCTTGGGATTCACGGAATGTTTAAAGGCGTTGTCACGTGCTGTGTAAGGTAGAAGAAACCTTTTGCCAACCAACCGCGACTTGCGACGCGTTTCTTACCTTCGCCCTCGACGTGGGTATACAGCCATGTATCCTTCGTTTTCCGCTATCTTTCACCCACTTAGAACACTGAATCTATGGCTCGAAAATGACCCAAACGCCAGTGTATTGGACGTTATGTATCTACTCACCGTCTTCTCTGCCTTTGGTATATGGCTGGTTTTCGACCGATATCAGAAAACGCACAATAATGCGATTCCCTTCAAGTTCGATGGTCCACAAGTGAGTAACCAAAATCTTAGGCCTTTTTTCATCTATGAACGCCGTTTTATCTTTAGGCTGCAGCCCCCGAATGGGAGTCGATCGTCATTCGGGAAGCAAACCTCAGGTCACACTTAACAAATCCGGACCTTCGAATGCACGATATATCCAGAGATTATATCACAAGTTTTGATCCAGCCAACTCACTACACCTTGGAACTTTTCTCGCGGACAACAAAAGGGAGATTGAAGCAAAAATCAATCTAGCTGCCCAGGCGCAAGTTGAGTGGCGCGACACTACGTTCTCGCGGCGGCGTAGGGTGATGAGAAGCTTGCTGAAATGGTTGGTGGACAACCAAGATGTCTGTGCTAGAGTTGCTTGTCGTGATACGGGCAAGACGAGTGAGTTTATGCCCATTCGCATAAGCAAACTTTGATTAATTGAATTTCCATTCGAAACACAACTCAGTGATTGACGCTGCACTCGGAGAAATCTTGACAACGTGTTCTAAATTGGAATGGCTGATTAACCACGGAGAGAAAGCTTTACGAACGGAGACAAGATCTTCAAACATGATACTCAGTTATAAGAAATCCCAACTAGTCTACGAACCGAAGGGTGTTGTAGCAGCTATTGTTTCGTGGAATTACCGTGTGTATTCGCCAATTCGCTCTGTCCTACTCACCTGATACCTTGCCCAGCGCTTCACAATGCTTGGTCACCCATCATTGCCTCGATTTTCGCTGGAAATGCCGTTGTGCTCAAATGTTCTGAGCATGTAATTTGGTCAACGACATGGTTTGTTGGAGCCATCCAGGAATGTCTTCGTGCATGTGGATATAAACACGCAGTGCTTGAGCTAGTCCAGGTTCGTTTATGCCACCTTCGAGTACATGACGTTCACAACTGAGTAAGTGTTATAGGTGGTCTGCTGTTGGCCCGACCAAGCTGAAACACTGACGAAGTCGCCCATGATCAAACATATCACGTTTATTGGCTCTGAGGAAGTTGGTCGTAAGGTAAGTATAGACATAATATATTCTTTATAATATGCCGACATTTTTTTCCAGGTAGCTATTGCTGCGACTGAACATCTCACACCCGTAACGCTTGAGTTGGGTGGCAAAGATCCTGCTATTATCCTTCCTGACACCGATCTCAAGAAATGGGCAAGTATCTGGTTACGTGGAGTTTTGTGAGTATCCCGTTGGTCTTCCGCTTCTGCTTTAAATCTGATTGGGGCCTTTCATCCAGCCAAAACGCTGGTCAAAATTGTATAGGCATTGAGCGGCTCATTGTACACTCGTCGCAGTACGATGACCTATATGCCATGCTTGAGGACCGGGTCTCCAAGTTACGCCTCGGGTCCGTGTTAGCACCCTCAAGGGAGGGTTTTATAGGCACTGTTGATTGCGGTTCTATGATCTCTAATGACCGCTTTGATGAGTTGGAAGAACTACTTTTCAAGGCACAGAATGAGGGAGCGCAGATGTCAGTCGGAGGAAAACGCTACCTGCATTCTCACCATCGTGGTGATACCTACTTCTCTGCCACGGTGATAGGAGATGTAACCCCTGAGATGGAAATTGCCCAAAGAGAATGTGAGTGAGGCCATGTCATCGGCCATATTTTCTGATGATAATGCGATGCATTAGTGTTTGCACCTATTGCGGTGTTGATGCGATACGAAACGATCGACGAGGCTATAGACATCGCTAATGGGACTAGGTATGGCCTAGGTGCAAGCGTGTTCGGTCCTCATCAAGATCAATGCCTGGAAGTTGCAAGAGAACTGGAGTGTGGCATGGTATCGATCAACGATTTTGGAGTTTTCTACGTGAGTAATGATTGCTATCCTGCTTCCTTATCAGCACTAATTAACTGGCATCTTTCCGTAGCTGAAGTAAGTCACCGTTTTGCATCGCTGTTGCAATCTAGTGAATTGTGTTCCCTGCAGCCAAGATCTGCCTTTTGGTGGAACAAAGGCCAGTGGCTATGGACGATTCGGTAAGTAAACATAGCTATCTCCATAATCTTCCAGTGACATAAGACTTGCATTAGGTGGACCTGAGGGTCTCCGTGCACTAACAAATCCCAAGGCAATTATGACTGATCGGTGGCCTACATTCGTCCAGACGGGCATACCAAAAGTTCTCGATTACCCTGTTCGATCGCTGGTACGAAGCTGGTGCGTAATAGATTTTTATTTTTATCAGTTCGTAAGCTTACGCTGGACGACTTGTACCACAGGGACTTTGTCAGTGGTCTCGTCATCCTCTTGTATGCCGACACCTGGCGCGCACGTTTCGACGGCTTGGTTCAGCTCTTTAAAGCTTCTCGATGATATGTGACACATCGGAGGAAACTGCTATTCTGCTTCTATAAACAACTAAGGAACTCACTGATCAGTGGAACTTGACATAGGAGATCCGTCATAATATACCATACACATTTAGTCACGTCACTACTGTTCTCCAATAGACATCGTAGGCTTAGGCCTGTGCATGGCTAACTACATACAGATACCCTGAATAAAAATTCTGGCAAGCTCGGCGGGGAGTATACTATAGATGGTAACTTTCGGCCGAGCTTTCGGCCCGTAAGATGTTGCACGGTGTGAGGAGGGGGTTCAGGTGAAAGATCGATTTGAACACTTAACCTCGACTGTTATCGTTACGCTTTTCTGCTTGTTCGAAGTATAGTCTGCATATATCGAAGGAACGTTAGCGAAACGAAAGTCAGACAGAACCCAAGACCCGAGTTACGTGGCTCAGAAACGACGGCGGCTACAAGAGTGACCCTTTTCTCGGGGCATGCCACTCCAGTCACCCGAGTCTTTGGTTGAAGAACGTGTTGCCCAGCTCGAGTGAGTGGTAGTTCTATGCATTTTATCGAGTTGGTCACTCATTTTCTTATTAACTTTTCCTTTATTCCATAGAGCAATCTCACAACGCAGAAATGAGTTACTTCGGGAGATGTATCATCTGATGCAAAGGCGACAAACATTTGGTGGACTTTGCACTTCGGACGATAGCGAGCTCCTCTTTAGATTTTATAGCAGGGCTCTAGAGAGATGGTACGTTGTTATACATGAACAATAATCGCTACGACTAAGCCTCCTCTTTGCTTTCCCAGCATGATTTCCACCAACTCCATGTCAAAAGAAGGTTCTGTCTACACTGACCCTTTCGACATTCCTGAACCGCCGCAACCCAAAACCTCTGGAAAGCGGAAACTTTCCAGAAGTGGAAGGGTCATCGCAGAATCCACCTCTCCCTTCAAGTTTGATACAGCGGCCTCTCCAGACGCGGAGGGGTCTCACAATATCACTCTATCTAGGATCGAAGAAGTAGGAGACACAGAAGAATTGGCCTCCAGCTCGAAGGTTCCCATCATTCATGACAAAGAGGAGTTAGACTCCATTTCAATAAATATGAATGAAGAATTACTGCCTCCTTCTCAGCTGCCATCCGCACACATTGTACAGCAACAGAACATAGAAAATAACGTAATGCAACCCAATTCGGCTGAGGCGCCCTCCTCAGCACCGCCCTCACACATGCCTTGGAACCCTAAAGCCCGTAACGTAGAACGAGGACGTCAACGCTCCACGTCGCATATGGTACATTCTGCATTCAGTTATTCTGATCAAGGCGCATATACCGGAGATGATGATATCATGGAAGACCAAACGGGTGTGTCTCAAGACACACGTAATGGGAATTTTGCTCCGAACGCAGACCACCTGATGCATGTAGAGCCATCGGCCTCTCCTGTTCCACAGGGGCCACTTGTTCACAGCATAGCGGTTGAAGTACAGCAGCTGCAGACCTCTTTCCTGATACCGAAACCCTCCTCTCCGATACTAGATCTACCTGCCTTTCATTTCGAAGACTCGCCTGTCACCGATGACACATCGCAGCAACCTCTTTTACCAGAACGGCACCATCGTGTTTATACTTTACCCCCGCTCAAGTCATTACCTGCGGAATTTACACGGAAGGGTAAATCTGCCAAACAGCGTAAGCGAGACAGGGATCGGGAACGAAATGACAAAGATAAGGTCGACGTGAAAAAAGATGGCAAGGATGAGTGGGCGCCGATGGGTCCCAATAGATGGGGAGCCGTGGTCCGTGCCAATCCAATATGGAAGAAAGTTGCACGCGCCACCAAATGCCTAAGTACTCGTGAATGGAGTGTATGCAATGATTTCTCGGTTTCTATCGCATGGGTCACTGACTGATTCATAGGTGGCCATGACTGAACTGAGATTAATACGCACATTGGAACGAGTAGAGGCCTTGAAAGGCGAGGGAAAATGGAGCTTTAGACAGCCCAAGAAACAGAGAGGTGTTGGTGGACTGACCAAGACTCATTGGGACTATCTTATGGACGAGATGGTAAATCTGTCAAAACGTTAACGTGTACTTTTTACTAAATGTCTTTCGGGTGCAGAAATGGATGCGCATCGACTTCCGCGAAGAGCGTCGGTGGAAATTTGTTCTAGCATTCAACCTGTCGACTGCTGTGCTCGAATGGCATGCGGTTGGTAGTCGCGAAGAGAGGTTGAAGTTGGGGATTTGCGTTCTCTGGAAGCGTTCTCGAGTTCGGGAAGCCAGTACAGGAGACACTCTTAATGGATCCTCACAGTACACGGACGCCGATTCTCGGCCGGTGGAGCAGGAGGAAATCGATTATACTCCCATGGCAGATGACTCTGATAACGAGGATGATGAACCCGACCACGTGCGGCAGAACATAGTCGATCCTCTGGAGACAACAACAACTATTGACGATGCCTTAGTTGGCGCGACTGAAACTGCGCATACCGACAATGATCACGACCAGGACCCTATCGAATATGTCCAGCCGAAAGTTGAAGACGTTGACGATTCCTATACACTGCGGGAAAGCAATGACAATGAGGCTGACGATGCGATGGATGTCGATGGTCAACAGGATGATGGAAACGATGCTTCGAACGCGAAGAACGAGGATACGTCTAGCGCGGCGGTCTCGCTCGGTTTAAAGTCAGGTTCTGTGAATCCTGTCCTTGGTTATCAGTCACTACCTGACAGCGAAAGCTCAACTTCTGTTGCGAAGTCAAGTTCTCGGTCACTTCTTTACGCCCCATTACGGGAACGTATTGCTTACTCTGATCCACGTAAATTGTTCCTCGACGTCGATGATTTCGATATTGTCAAAGGTTTCTCTAGTCTTTCCACCGCCGATCAGGCTGCTGAGCCCTCTCTGCCCCCACCCGATCTTTCTGATATTTTCCCCGATCTCCAGCCATTAGGAATGTTGAATGTAGCTCCTGTCCTGCCCACCACGTCTTCAGAGAACAAGAAAAAGATGGATAAGAAATCCGACCGGGATGACCCCAATAAACGGTCAGAGGATACGACCTATACCAAGTTGGCTCCCATCGGTCGGTTTATGCATTGTAAACCAACGCTTTTGGGACCACTACAGCCCGCCAAACACTGGAAAAACGGAAAGTGGATCAACATGGAAGAACCGACGATTCTTGTGGAATACGAGGGTCCAATGAATAAAAGCATAGATGAGATTTCATGTGGTAGTCAAACTATCTCATTAGCAAACTTTCCATTTCTGATGACTGTCTTTTAGCATTATTCGATGGCAATAAACCTTTAAATCCCGCAACGGTAAACCCAGTAGCGCCTCCCGTCCCTCCGAAAGAATCCAAGAAGCGGGCTGGTGATCATGCATGGGGCGCCAATGAGGATGTTCTTCTCAAATCATTGGTCGACAAATATCCAAATAATTGGGGACTTATTGCCGATTCGTTTAATTCCTGTCGCGTTGCTATTTCAACGGATAAGAGAACGCCCTGGGACTGCCTTGAACGTTGGACGGTCCGTTATGCGGCGAACCGGATGGGCCAATCGGCTATACCTCCGGACCTCGGCTCTCCCGCTGCTTTGGATGGTACGCCGCCCCCAACAGGTCCACCAGCCCAGGTCCAAATGACTACGAGGGGCGTTAAACGGCTAGCCAGCGCCAGCGTTGCCGCCGGCTCGGGTCCTGGTAATGCAGATTCAAAGAAACGTCGAAGGCACACTCTCATGTATGAGACTATGCGGAAGGCTGCGAAGAAACGAGAGACAGCCCAGAAAGCAGCGTGTAAATATATCTATTTCTGTTTGAAATATATACTAAATAGTATATATTTGCTAGTGAATCAGAAGAAGCCGTCAGCGATTCACGATACACATGGTCAATATACTAAGATGCCAAAGTACACGCCTGCTGAACTGAGTCGAATGAAAGCGGAAAAGGAAGCAAGAGAACAGCAGGAAATCCTACTTGCCAGGCGGCGGCACGAAGAGCACACTCGCCAGCAACAGCAGCTAATGCGTGACCCTCGCATGCAAGGTGTACAAGTGGTAATATAGAAGCTCTTCATTGTGGTCATAAAGCTTATGTGTCACCCTCCCTAGAACCAGCAGACTGCAATGCAGCAGCAGCAGCAGCAACAGCAACAACAAACGCCGAATGGGGTTGCTAGGCCTACTGGTGCAGTTCCACAGGGAGTGCCGCAAATTCGCAGCCAACCAGTACCACAAGTGAACATTTCACAACAGCAGCGGATACCTACACCTATGGCCGCTGCAGCCGCTCGCTTGTCTCCTCAGCAGATGATACAAGCTCAAGCTCAAGCTGCACAAGCCCGTGCTATTGCTGCCGCACAAGCCCAGGCCCAGGCTCAAGTGCAGGCGCAAGCACAAGGATCAAATATTGCTACCAATGTCAATGGGGTGGCACCAGGGACGCACCTGTCTCCCCCATACAGTGCTCGTGCCAGTACATCTTCGCCTGCTATCCCTCAGCAAGCGTCTCCTCCTCGCACTGCTCCAACTCCCACAAATTCCACAAACTCACCACGTCCATCTTCTGCTCAACCACAAATTGGAGTAGTTCAAGTATCCCAAGTTCCAGGGAATGTTGCTCCTCGGCCGGCCAGCAGTATCCCAGCTCATTATTTTCCTGCTGTAGGGGGCGCTCAGTTTACGCATGAGCAGATGGAGCAGGCTGTCCGCTTACAGAATCTTATTCAGGTGAATTATGTTTTTCTTTTCTATTTCCGCCTATGCTTATTCTCCTGTACAAGGCTCAACATGGCCGCTCGACTATGTCTCAGGCGACTCAGAATAACCAATATCACTCCCAGACTTGATTCATAGATCGCTTTGGCGCGGTATTCTTTCGTGTATTTACAAAAATATTGTACACTGGTTCTATTAAATTTGTTGATTCCATCCCAACATCACTCTGAAACTGCAATGCACAGCTTCCGGCCAACGCCGAGGACGCCTTGTACACACGTTCCTCTGACATCCACTTATCTCCGCCCTACTTCAGAAACATCGTCATTCCATATCATTTCATTCTTTGATTATGCCTTTTGCTTAAAGCGCAGAACATGCTGAAGCTCACATTGCCAACTATCAAGACATTGCAGGAGATCAACACAACACACAAAATACTACAAACCTTTACCAACATCGAGTCTGGCGCCTCGGACAAGGCATCCTAGCGAAGTTGGATCCAGTAGAGCACAATCGCCACTTCGTACAATCATGTATGGGTGGCACTCGACAGGATATCTTTGAATTGACGACTGGTTTGCCGATCCGAGCGCAAAGAACATCCTCTGGTTCCAAACGTTCAAGAGCAGTCCTGGAGCGGGCAATTCCGCCATCTCTTCCAGCTTACATCCCACTTGATGAAAAGGGTGGATTTTTCTCTTTTCGCCGAGGTCATGAAGCTTCAAACAAGCCCGCTGCTCTGTGGCGTACCATTGTACACCCGGTTGATTTGATCCCAAGCTTGCGTCTACTATCAGCAAAACTCTGAAGGATAATCTTGTCGATCCACAAAGGCCAAGCATTCAAGATCACTTTGGTTCTCTTATTGTATGACCGTGAGAAGCCTATCCTGACGATAAAGTACATGATCAGAGGTATAACCTCAGAAAGACACTGATCTCGAAGACTGATGCGTATACTTTCTCCTTTTAATTTGTCTTAGGTATCCGGTCATTGTAGTGAATGCACTCGACGAGTGTGGTGAATCTGGTGATCCGTTTCAGGAGTCTCAACGAAGGGCTTTATCGGAACCCTTCACGCAATGGTCCATGCTGTCCCAAGCATTCAAACTAATCATCGCTAGTCGAGATGATCGCATCCCCCCGGATTTTTGTGAAGCCTGCCAAGATGTCGTTTTACCAACCGGCGACCATGTGACACCTACAGCCACCGCTGATATTAACACGTCTAATATGAAACGTTTTAGTGAAGTAAAGAAGAAGTTCCGCTCACTGCGAACCACAAGTAGGCCTGGACCTCAGGTTATTCAGCAACTCACCACTCGTGCAGCGGGTCTCTTTATATGGGCAGAGACCGTAATGCGGTTCATTGGTCGAGGTGACCCGCAACATCAGTTGTCATTGATCATTTCTGGGGAGTCTTTAGATGACCAGCATAACGTCAATCATCTTTACAGGCAAATAGCCACAAATGCGCTGGCGAACATCAGAGGTGGTGACGTGGTGCAACCTTTACTAGGAGTATAGTATTTGCGAAGGTTCCACTGCCACGCCAATACCTTAAAGATTTCATTGTCACTAGCGGCCTAGTTGCAGAAACGGCAATCGATCTTGTACTAGATGAGCTGTCGTCAGTGATCTCATTGGGCAAGGACGAAGTGGTTCGCATCTAGCACCTATCATTTGTGGAGTTTCTTTTGGATTCGGACTGGTGTCCTGATGCATTTCGTATGACCAGTTAATAGCTGGCCCGTTTCATTGCCACGCTGACTCAGATGAAGACATATCTGTTGCATTTTCTCCTGATGGTAAAGTGGTTGCAAGCTCTGGTAAGCTAATGGCTGGCCCATGTTGAGGCCACAATGGGAATAAATCTGTTGGGCTTTCTCCTGATGGTACTACATCAATGTGGTTTTAGGCTCTCATGATAAGACAGTCAAGATCTGGAATGCCACCTCTGGTCACCTAGTGGCTGGACCATTTTGTGGCCACAATGGTTGGGTTGGATCTGTTGTATATTCTCCTGAAGCTATTGTATGTCTGATGAATCTGATTATAAGAGCCTGAAACCACTTTGGTGCACCACCAAAGTGGTTTCAGGCTCTTATGATCAGACATAGAAATGGTAAAGTTTGCTTTGGCTCTGTTTTTGGACACCTTTGTCCAAACCCAGAACTGAACCTGCATTTAGAGTGGTTAAACTGGACTGAACCAGAAAAGTCCAATGGCTAGGGGAGTGACTGGAAGCAAATGAGAGAACCAAGACATAGTGGGAATGCAATTAGAAAAATTAATTCCTCACAGGTACAATGTAAGGGGTTGGAGGTTTAAGTCTTTTGGCTGGGAGTTTTTGAGATTCTTTTTTTACTGCAACCTGAGTACTTGTGTCTCCTGTTGTGATTGTTTGTATAACAGACAACTGGGCACTGCCACTTAATGCAAAGTGCAACTTTGGTGGGGCTGTAGATTTAACTGATGTTGTCTCTGGTATATTGTGCTTTGGATCCATTTCAAAGGATTGAGGAACAAAATTTTCCAACATTGTGCTAGTGGCAACCCAAGCAGATGGCGCAAGCAGTTAATGCACCATTGCTGAGGCAAGAGTGTGTGTGGCTGGGTGAATTCCGCCAAAGGTGCAAGGTGGAGGAATATGATTGTTCAGGGGAGCAAGAGTAAGAGGTGTGAGTTGTGCAAAGGGAATGGCATCACAGGGATCTGGTGCAGGCAAATTGGTTGGATGACTGCCTAGGGAGGTATCCCATATGGAACTAATATGATGCTTCTGGCTTAGTGTTGGTTAAAGTAGGAATAGTGGAGCAGTGGCATGAATAAATAAATGGAGTATGTTGCTATTGGATTGGTAAATTCATTGTGGTACCAGATGATAGAGATAGATGCGGACAGATGGTTTGATTGGACAAAAGTTTGATGAGGTGTTATTAAAGGGATGTATGTGAGGAAGGGGATATGTGACAACATCAACAAGATACAATCTTGGGGCACTGGAGCACAACCACAGAGACTACAACTCAAGGAATAATGGTACAACTCATCAAGAAAGTGTAAGGAATCAAATTTTCTATTGAATTCCTACCATGTCATGGTTATCCCATCAGGAAAAACCCTTTTGCTATATAGTGCTATATAGCCACCACCTATATATATAAACATATTCATAGAAACTATAGTACTATCAGTGCAATCATAGCTCTTATAGCTCTTATAGCACAGTAGTAGGCAAAAATTTAACCAAGGGGAGAAGTATTTATAATTCCCTCAAACTCTGGATTAATCTAATAAACTTGTTTAATAATAGAAAGAGGCCAGAAGTGTTTGGAGTCAAGTATATTATTGTAGGCAAGGTACTATAAGTGCTTTTATTTAACAACCAAGAGTTAGTTACTCTGGCGCACACTGGCGCACACTATAAAAAGAATGAAGAGGGAGTGGTTACCCCTTAGGATGCAGAGAGTTAGTTGGTATACAACAGGAGGACTCACTGAGGAGTCTCCTGGATTTATTGGGGTATATATACTACTACAGGGTTATTTGTACATGTGTACTATACAGTTGATGAAGACAGTGGCTGATGATGTCATGGGGCCTAGCCCACATGGCCAGCTCCACTGTGTGAGAGAGTTGTGTCTATAATAAGAAGAAAGGCAACGCGGTGCGAGAAAGAGGAGTTCAGACAAAAGGGGAAGTGCCGCGTGGCACATGTGTGAAAGCTAAAGTACAAGGTACAGCGGAGGATAAAAATAATGGAAAGGTCCAAAAATTGTGTTATCGTAACATCTTATAGCCTATAGCAGCCTACATAGCTCCTATAGCTGTAAAGGTCATAGTTATAATATAGTTCAAGGTGCTTAAAAGGGCTAATAAATCATCCAGTATTAATTAATTATGTAGCCTGTATTAGTTAAATAGTAGTTTGTATCCCTGATGTTCACAAAATAAGAATAATGATTTATCCAAATATAAGTAGTGACAATGAGTAAAAAAATAATCTAAGTCCATGAAAGGTCAATATATAACACGTGTATAATATATTTTATAAGCTCTCATGGTGTAGTGGATAAATGTGATGTGTGGCTATAGGTTACTTAGTCACCCAATGTAACAACCAAGAGTTAGTTACTCTGGCGCACACAGAACCACACTATAAAGAAAATGAAGAGGGAGTGGTTACCCCTTGAGCTGCAGAGAGTTTGTTGGTTAACAACAGGAGGACTCGCTGAGGAGTCTCCTGGATCTATTGGGGTATATATACTACTACAGGTTGTTTGTACATGTGTACTATACAGTTGATGAAGGCAGTGGCTGATGATGTCATAGGGCCTAGCCCGTATGGCCAGCTCCACTGCGTGAGAGAGTTAAGTCTAAAAGTAAAAGAAAGGCAACGCGGCGCGAGAAAGGGAAATGCCGCGTGGCACTTAAAGTATAAAGTTAAAGCGGAGAATAAAAAGGAAAGGAGATGTCCGGAAATTGTGTTATCGTAACACCCAAGAGCTGACTAGCAGATTGAGAGTTCAAATCCTATTTGTGTTAATTTTTTTTTATCAGCCACACAACAATTTCCAACATCTATAAAAGCATTTATAGAGCTATATGAGGCTCTATAGATGGCAGAGGTTCTATAACAGGTTTGACCACTATAATAGCTTTATGAGTACTTATAGTGTAATAGAGCTTTATATAGCTACCCCCATTTTTCCTGATGGCCCAACCCATTCCCCGTCACTCCTCTCGCCATTGGATTAGAAGTTACGGCCAGTACTCTTTTGCTTTTATCTTTTTTTTTCTTATTTTCCTTTCACACTCATATTCTATCATACTTATGATGTAGGAAATCCCTCTCTGACCCCTGAGAAGATATCCCAATGACATAGCGCTGATCATGTAAGGACCATTTACTTTTTCTTACTTCTTAACTTTGATGTCTTGGTTTTCTAATGCTTTCCCCATTACACCTCTGGCCTTAGGGCTGGAGGTATCATTTGCTATTCTCCTCTTTATTGCTCTAACGGGTTTTCTTAACCATTGATACCACTTTATATTGCAGATCAGAGAATGGATAGTACTCCCAGCCAGCCAGCACAATGGGTAAGGACTGGTAGCTGAGACCTCACTAATCAGCTCCAAGTCCCATCAGTGCCTGGATATATCAATAGATGCTTTAGTCAGGATTGTGCCTCATTATGAGGATACGGTTCTTGGACATGCATGACAAAACCTATTATTAGCACACTCTCTCACCTGCTTATTAATCTTTGAAGTCGTACAATAGTAATTCTTTTTCTTATTGGTCAGTTCAATCCTCAGACCACTTTTCTATTATTACTCTTTTGGTCTGAGGAGGTAGACAATTAGTTATAAAAGCCCTACATACCCATGTATAATTCCTTAGGTTTTTATTACTCGAATTACCCATTCAAACTCCACATCAGAAACCTCTGAAGTCTTACCCTTGTCCTTGACTTGTGATAATCTCTCACATCTATCAACATCCAGACTCATTGACCTGCAAGTGCTGAGAGATAGGTTTTGTTTTAGTTTTAGTTTAGTGTTGCCTCACAGATCAAGGACTATGCACAGGAATGCTTCAGCGAGAGATTAATCAGCAATACAGACTGTGACTCTGCACCTTCCCATGAGCTTGCTGATCCAGCCAATTGTACATCCCTTACTAAGGACTTCTCCCACATGATTAGTAATTATGATAGATCTATCGCCTTCTGCAAGGACTTGGCCAGGCATTTGTTATTATTATATAGCTTTGTAATTGTTGCCTAACAGAGAGGGAGGTTGTCATACTAATGTTAGTATACACTAGAAGAGGACTCGCTGAGTCCTTCCCCATGTATTGCTCCAGTATATATACTACAATACATGAGGTACTATACAGTTGATAAATAAAATCTGATGTCCAGCATGTGACTAGTCACATATTGAGTCTAGACACTGGTCAGGTGATATGACATACAATTGGTCATGTGGCTATGAAAAGTCCAAAAAGTAAAGTAAAGTAAATGGTCACATAATTAGTCACATGACTTGGAAAATGAAAAGTCAAAGTACGGTAAAAGTAAAGTGTAAAGTAGGTGCTGGTGTGTCAATTGTAACAGGATGAGTGCAAGGTCAAGAAAGGAAAATAAAGGGTAGGCACACACCTTAGTGATACTGTGGTATTGGAGCTTGGTGATATACTCCTGGTGTTACAATTGACATACATTTTTCGACTTTTCATAGTCACATGACCAAGTCATGTGACACAACACCTGACCAATGTCTAGACTCATCATGTGACCGGTCACATGCTAGACACCGGACTTTAAACTTATATTTACAACTGTACAGTACCTCATGTATTTTAGTATATATACAGGACCAATACATGGGGATGGACTCAGTGAGTCCTCCTGTTGTCTACCAACAACTAACTTGTTCCTGCCAAATGGGTAACCACTCCCACCTCTTCCTCTACTTCTGAGTGTTGTTTTCATTGTGCTCCAGTGCCCCAAGACTGTGTCTTGTTGGTGTTGTCACACCTGGGTAATGTCAGCCAAGAGGGTGTTGTTGAAGTTTCCAATGTTGAGAAAATGGCCAAATCTCATTTGGTCGTACCACTTATGACAGACTTTTGTTTGATAAATAGTGAGGACTTTGTTGCCATACAGGAGGTGATGTGAGTTATGAGAGTTGAGCTGTAGGAACATCATAGCAAGAGATTCAATGTGGTGAGTGGAAGCATTGTATTGTTGCATATGATGGAACATTGCTGTTTTTGCTATAGAGATCTGGGTCATGGCGAGGTCCCCATTGCAAAGGACATTTTGAGAGGCACAGAAAAAGACTGCAGGAGGGATCAATTGTGAGGATATCATCAACATTAAAGAGGCTAAGGTTGTCATTGGACAAATTGATAGAGTTGTTAGCATCAGAGCAGCCCTCTTGTGTGAAATACCATAGTTTGATGTATTGAGAAGACTCAATATTTTGAAGTGTGTAGGAAGATAGGCAGTCCAGTATGTGGTTGAGGACAGATGAGCCATTGGTGAAGGCAGTTGTTATGCACAAAGTGCTTAACAAAGTCTGAGGTTTCGTCGAAGGTTTAAAGAGACTTATCCGAAGACAAGTTTGAGGACATAGTTCTGAGTAGAGTTCTTCCAACGAGAGTTGGTCTTCTTCTGAGTAAAAGTCTGATCTTATGAGTCTAGCTTTGTAAGCGTAAACTGCGTAGAGTTGTATTGAGGAAATACTACAGGTAGAGGAATTGGTGATAGGAGTTAGGTCCTATCTAGGGCTGGTCCGTCTGTTGAGGACTAAGTACTATACTAGGTAATACAGCTGCAAGGAGAACAGACATATACATGAAGGAAATGAGTCATCGGTCCGATGGTATAACCAATGAGTAAAGGAAAATGAGTAGTCCGTAACAGGGAAGGAAATCGTAACATTACCCCCTTACTTGCTCCGAATTTCACTGAAATTCGGTACCTTCGCCATCAATGTTGTCACTATCGTTGTAACTGACGTCTCCATGTAATCCCTCCATCAGAATCCGATCTTTGTCTTGTCTTCCCTACAAATGGGACACCAGTTGAAACTATGTCCCGGTGCCCGTCAGTTGCAGTCGGGGCAATAGTAAGCTTCGCAGTAATATGTGCGATAGTCACTCCAACCGCAAATTTGGCAGTAAGGAGCATTGTTGCGAACACCTTGGTGGTATTTTCGTTGGGTGTTGGATGAGGTGTTGAATTGGGGAGTAGGGGGATTGTCATCTCCCAGGTCATATGTTCCCGTGTACAACTGGTCGATCATTTTGGCATCATCTACATTGATTGGGTTAGAAGGAGAGCCAGCCTCAGGACTGCGCATTGCGCCAGGCAGACTGCCTTTCTGTTTCTTCAACGTATGAGACTGACACTTTGATGGAGTTCTGGCGGCGGGGATCTGGAGTATCAACTCTTGCCGGCTGCATTGGGCTCCTCGTCGGTTCATCAGACAACAGGTTTGGGCGTTTGGCACTGGTTGAGGCGGAGGCGACTGGGATGGTCGAGGTTTTGGGTTCGATCCATTGGAATGGGGACTGAAGTGGTTTGACTCTTGCAAGATTGGGCTGGTTGGGACGGTGGGAGCATATTCTCCCGCTAACTGGGTGGGTGGAGGTTGTTGGGTGACGAGGAGTACTCGTACAGCCGTCTCGCTCTATCCGTGTGCGCGCTTCTGTTAGCAAGGTCCTCCCACCTAATTCCAAATATGCCCTTGCCACGTCTGTCTGCCCACTCGAGGAGCTCATCCTCAAGCGTCATTCCAAAGATTCCAAAACTAATTTTTCCATCTGGAGTGCCCGACAGATACTCGAGTCCTGATTGTTGAGCCGCAAATGCTCGCTTTCCAACGAATGTAGTGAGTCTATGGCTTTTAATAGTTCATCAGCTACGAGGTCAATGGCAAGGAAGGTATGCATGGAAGAAAGAGTGTGGTACACATGGGGGTAGCATTTTTCTGTTTCGTAGAATAAATAAATGTAGGCATCTTTGGCTGACATTAGCTCTATGGCGTCAGAGACATCGGCTTGGTTGTGTTGTTGCCCACGGGTGAAGGACACTTGGTCGTTGGCTAGCATGTTGGCCTCGCCGGGTACGGAATAGGTGGTGACAGGGAAGCCAGTAGAGTGGGATGTAGACATGTTTTGTGTTGAGAGACAGGGGATTGGTGGTGGTGGGGTCAATGTCTCTTCAACGTAGTCTGTGGTCCTTTTTATATGCTTCCAGTATCTCCGCAGCATTGGTTAAATGTTCTTCCGGTTCCCATGAGTTTTTGGAATAAGGGTAATGGCGCCATTTGATCAGGTAACGGCGTCCGCGTTTCCAGGTTTTGTGTCTAAGGATACTCTCTACTCCGTATTCTTCCTCTTCGTTGACAAGGTCAGGTGGTGGTCGGGTAAAGTTTGGTCCATGGGTGTCAGTCTTGGTGTATGGGGATAGAAGGGATGCGTGGAAAACATTGTGTATCTTCCAATGAGGAGGCAGGGATAATCGGTAGTTTACTGGGGAAATCTTTTCTTGGACGCGGAAGGGTCCGATGCGTTTCATGTTAAACTTTTTGTATTCAGTAGCTCTTTCCCGTAGGTTGGTGTTTCCTAGCCACACCCTTTGTCCTTCAGAGAATCTGGTGAATTTTCTGTTTGTTCGTTTCATCATCTTGCTTCTCGTTAGTTCATGTGCTTTTAGGGCATTCTCTCTTGCCTTAAGTAGTTCGGATAATCATCTTTCTATTGATGGGATATTTGTGGATTGGTATTTAGTCGGGATTCCTTGGGGTTCATATCCCATGAGGAGGTAGAACAGTGATTGGTTATTTGTGGAGTGTGGTCGCTGGTTGTGGCAGAATTCAGCGGTAGTAAGGTATTTTGCCCAGCTGTGTGGTTGGTTCTGGCAGAAGATGCGGAGGTAGATCTCTAGTTCTTGGTTTGATCGTTCTGTCTGTCCATCTGTTTGTGGATGATATGCTGTGGAGAGTGCAGTTTCAATGTTCAGGAGTTTGTGGAGTTTCCTGGATACTTCGGAGGCAAACTGTGGTCCTCTGTCAGATATGAGTTTATCGTGTAGTCCAAATCGTTTGAAGACGGAATCATAGAAGATCCATGCGGTTTCGAGTGCATCAATGGTTTTATGGCAGGGTGAGAGGATTACCCCCTTACTAAGTCCTTGGTCTACCATGACCATTATACTGTTGTATCCAGATGATTCTGGTAAGTCTGTTATGAAATCCACAGAGAGATACTTCATTGGTTCTGTGGTTTTTGGGGTTTGATTCGGGATTAATGGTACTGTAGTTGGATGTGTGTTTACTTTTGCTTGTTGGCATGTTGCGCATCCTTTCACATATTCTTCCACTTGTTTTATCATTCCTGGCCACCAGTGGGCCTTTTTAATTGATTGGTAGGTTTTCAGCCTTCCTGGGTGTCCCGCCGTTAGGGAGTCGTGGTGATCTTTAATGATCTTTTTTTGTTCCTCTGCTTTGTCGATTAGTAGTTTGTTCTGATAGAAGAACTGTCCTTCTTCTTTGCTCCAATCTTCCTTCTTTGTTTGTCCTGGATAGTTGTCGTTTGTGAGCATGGCTTGTTCAATGGTGTCTGTTATTGTTTGTGTGTGATACAAGAATGCTGACGCTGGTATCATTGGTGTGTTGTTGTTGTCCTCTTTGTTGTCAATGTACAAGTCAGGTCTTCGTGAGAGTGCGTCAGGTACCACCATGTGGGCTCCTGGTATGTGTTCTAGGGTGTAATTGTATTGTGACAGGTCTAGCTGCCACCGTCTCTGTCGTGGAGTGAGTTTTCTGGCTTCTTGCCAGTACATCAGATTTTTGTGATCTGTTAGGATTTGGATCATGTGGGGGCTTCCTAGAAGCAGGTGTTTCCACTCCTTCAGAGCTCTCATCACTGCCAATAGTTTTTTGTTGTAGATCTGGTAGTTCTTTTCCACGGGGGACAGAGTTTTTGAAAAAAATGTGCACAGGTGCCATTGTCCTTGGTCGTCTGGTTGCATTAATACAGCTCCGGTGGCATGTTTGCTAGCGTCTGCAGCTATTTTTGATGGTTTCAAAGAGTTGGGGATATGTGTCACAGGGGATTCGAGGAATTTTTGTTTCATTAAGCTGAAGGCATCATCTTCAACTTGCATCCAGTTCCACTTTTTGTCTTTTTCTAGTAAGGCATTTAGGGGTCTGGCTAGGTCAGAGTAATGACCAATGAACTTCCTGTAGAAGTTTTCGTAACCTAAAAACTTTTGTACACCCTTGGTGTCCTTTGGGGTTGGCCAATCACGTATTCCTGCAAGTTTAGCTGGGTCCATAGATACCTGGTTGTGGGAAACGATCATTCCCAAGTATTCAATGGTTTCTGCCTCGAAGGTGCATTTTTATAGTTTGAGAAATAGGTTGTTATCACGCAACCTTTGTAGAACCTGTTTTGTTCGGATTCGGAGTCTTTTAATGTTGGTGTCAAAGGCGATGTCATGCACCAAAGTTGATTGGTAGCATGGACAGGTGTCAATAATGAAGCGAATATTCAAAAGACTCGCCTTTGCGCCACACAGGCACAGTGCCACGTGGAATAGTAATTAATATTGCCCTTTTCGAACTTGTGGCTGATCAGCACCACCTCTATTAGGCAATCCAGTCACGCTCACCTTTGCTTTTCCATCCGGTACTTTCCGTGTTTCGGCATTTCGGCAAATTTTCGCGTCGCCACTGGCTACACATTGCATTGCGCCCTCGTTTTTGTTGTTTCCCTTACTCCCCTTCCTTTGCCTAGCCCCACCATGGGCCCCTTCCTCTCCTTTTTATTCTCACCTGACGGTCGTTTCTGGATCCCCATTCTAATCCACTTTTCCGTCACCTCCACCCTCCTCCTCCTCATTTTATTTGCACCCCCACCATTTCTGATGTCACCACTTCCTATCCGCTTCCGTCGCCGATCCGTTGACTACCACGTGCCACTGCTGATATCAGCAAAGCCCCGGCGGCCGGTTCAAATAGGGCAACAGGTCCATCTTTATGACGTCGATCTACCATCATATACTATCAAAACATCGGTCGCTCGTCTTGCCTGGTTGGAGCGTGGGTGGGTAATTTTTGAGCTGGAGAAGGTTCATCCCCTTGCGTCGCCCATGTTCATCGCTGTCCCATTCACTTGGGTACACTTATCTTTTGTCCATCGTCTTCGCTACAGCTACACCTACCACACGCTGCCTGGGACTCACTTGTTCCAAATTGGAACTACTCCTCTCCCTCCCTCGTTTGATCAGGTGGTCCAACACAACCAGTCCATTGGTAAGGCCATGGAACTGTCGGATTTGGACTAGGTGGTGGACCGGTGGCTCCAGTTTCTTTTTCTTCAGCAGAACATTCATTTACAGTGCGATTATTTTTGATTTTTGAATCATTTTTATGGACACATATTTTTTTAGAATGCCTGACTGACAATAAAGGAACTGTGTTGATACTGATAGTGTTTTGCCTTGCCCTTTTTTTACTGCATCTTCCCATGACATCATGATTTTCCTGCTCTCTTTTTGCTATTGGACTTTACTTTATGGCTGTACAAACCTGTGACATTACTCACAGCATTCATTGTTCTATCTCTTTCTTTTCCTTTTTTTGACAATCTTATCCTGTACTACCTACGCAGGATTCGTCAGCATACATTCCTTCCTTCATGTTCTTTCTCATTCTTTTTGCACAGCTATACTGTGCATAGCCTACTTTTCTTTTACTATATAAACCCCTGTATTTTACCTTGTAAAAAAAAAAAAGAACAAGAACTCCAATCCAGACTTCTTCTCTACTCTCAAGTTCACTACTCTGCTACTTGTGATCCAGTGTGGTCACAACACTTACCACTTCTACCACTGTTAACTGTTGTCATTGTCACTCGTCACTTTTGAAAGTGATTGTCATCCCCTTCGATTAGAGTCCTTCTGAGCACTACAGTTTGTGCGTCAGGAGCCTGCTATCACTGGTAACCTCGTCACCTCGTCATCCTCGTTGTTCTCAAACCTACCTTGTGCTACAATTAGCAAGGTAGTGCTCGTCTATACTCGCCACAAAGCCCCTATCTTTCTATAAATTCAACTATCCCTCCTCCTCAAAACCCACACTCATACACCTCTGGGTTTTACTTTGAAGGATCTTTATACGTACCACCCCACGAACAACCAGACCACTCCACTGTTCTAGGAAGCAAAGCCCATAAACAAGTTCCGTGGAATCTGGAAGGATTGTGTGTTAGTTTGTTTTGTGTGTGGTTTTCTAACAACAGTTCTCATCATCGACACCGGCTGGCTTTGTCCAGACCGGCTCAGATGCGGTTGCCGCTGGTGTCTTCAACGATGTCGGCAGTGACCAATACAACATCAACATCAGCAATTATTGCTGTTGCAGATCTCAAGACTTGCACTGCTGTTGGGTTCGGGGGGATCAATGTTCGCTGACAGCTTTTCATCGGTAAACTCATTATTTCCAAGCATGCAATAATCAACTAACTATATTTCTTCTTACAGGACTAATGTTTTTGGTTGCTACTGGCTCTAAACAGTCGTGTGTCTTACTACTTTACTGGAAATAAACATCTGCAGTCATTTCTATAACTGTAAGTATATAAAAAATATATACAAAATTTCCAAGTACTGCACATAGGTTTTCTAATATATAGCAACCCGTTACGCAGGTCTCTTTCAGGCCGCTGCCCCCGGTACTTCCTGTACTGGGTTAATCTCAAGGATGTGGAGAAGGCATTAGGTATAAGCATTCACACAGCCACACATTTAGCCCTAGGTTCTTAATACTAATTGCATGGCCCAGAGGTATTGATGACAAGTGGACTCTGAAACTAACTGGTGGGTCACACTTTTTTCTTTCATTTGTTATATTGATATTTCAGCCTGTGGTGACATTGTACTCTTGTCTTTCATCTGTACCTCCCACTGTCATGGCTGTTGATGGTTAGTAGTTATCATTACTGTAGATCTCTGTAGTTTAACTTTAGTATCATCATCATATCGAGCTTGATTGAATCTGGTGCGGCTTGATCTCAGGATGTTGGAGCAGTATTTGAAACTCCAACAGATTCTTACCTGATGACCTACGGTCTTACTATGTTCAAGTGTGCACACTGCAAAAGTTGAAAATATGCCAGGCTCAATCAGTCCTTCAAGCTCTGCAGAGAATACTACGGTATGTTTTCTTTTTCTTTTTTTAAACCCTTTTCTCAACTATTTTAGCTCACCCAAGAGCCAGGCTGCTGCCATCGCCATCCAGTATATTATTTTGATGAAGGCTTGTTCATATTTCAGGTTCTTAAATTTCTGATACTACGTTGGTTACAGTTTTATTATACTTCATTTTGCTTCTTAGGTCAAAAATACGCTGTACAAGCTTCATCGCATTATTCTATCAACAGCTTCAAAAAGACTCAAAGAAATGTTTGCAGCCTCTGCAGATGCCCACCTGGTTGCTACAGACGGGTCAAGTGATGACCACCCGATTGTTCTCCCTAATGTCACCACATTGGCATTCGAAGCACTTCTTACATTGTGCTATGGCAGGTGAGCCCCATTATTCCTTCATCTGAGCCTATTTCTCTAGCACAGTACCCGTTTTCTCGTAGATGGTCAAGCCCCGGCAGTATATTGGATGTGGAAGCAATTGCATTGCTTTGTTTGAGTTCTATGTACATGTGTCTACACACACATATGTATTCCATCCACAAAATCCTTGACCAGCATTGGTATTTTGACCCACTCGATCTCATCAAACTTTCGCTCAAATGCAACACGAAGAAACTATTTTTTCCCATCAATGACTTATATTTCAAACCTGGCTCAATGATCTTGATCCTGCTGATGTTTACACGCATATTCCTCCAATGGTCTACGTTGCACTGGCAACGATGAAGGAAGTTCTTGACGAACACCGTAGGACGGTCGCATGTGAACCACCAGAAATTGGTCATGTACCCAGCTGTTTAGACCATCGGGGCTGTGATCGCAACTGGAGACAGGTTTGGGGGAATGGGATGGGTCAATTTCTCCTCAATGCACGTAATCAGCAGCCCTACTATGATGCATTGTAATATTTCAAAACTCTTTCTTTCGGCAGGGTTACTTGAGGATGTAGGGAAAAAATGCTGGCAATCATTAAACAAAAATCAGCTTTCAGACAGGTCAAGGAAACAGTTCGTAATGTATGTAGTAACTTAGTAGATAAGTTGATTACCAAGCCTTCGTATGATGACTGAGTGATGGGTTCACAATCCCTTCAAATTTACCTCAACAGCTTGTTTTTTGTTTTGTTTTGTCTCTGAATGTGGGGCTAGTCTGTCTGTATTGCGCTATTGTGACACCATACTGCGCGCGGGTATCAAATTCAGTGATGCAATTTTGAGTGTTTGCCCCTGTAGCATTTCATAAGCCCCATTGAGGACACTGTGTCACGTGACCGGCCACGTGCTTGAAATTTAAGTGTGCGTCTAAATAAGGATAAGTGTGCGCTAATTAGCTAAGCAATCATGTGATCACATCACATGATAAAAACCTATTATTGACCGTTACCGTGATCGTGGGAATGAAGCCCCATCTGGGACACTCATCACATGATCATTTAGAAATTTCTAAAACAATGACATCATCAGCTGAGTAATATTCAAACTCAGCTTATCTATGATGCAACTTCTGCTGCGGAGCACGCAATTTCTTATCAACCAATCACTAATCGTGTGAATTATCGGAGATAGGACTTTAGAATACTATAGTGAGTGACCCTCATCTAACACAAGCAAAACTGGAGAACCTTTGCTGATGAATAATGATGTTACCTTTTGCATCTTGTGCTTACTCAAATCAAAAAAAATCAAAAACAATCCTAATTAAATCATTGTTTAATGGCCTGAAGAGACTAACGTCGAAATGGAAGAGTTTAACATCTGCTTGGACCCCCATCGCCATTCAACATAGTCTCCCACCAACATCGCTCGCCCCCGCCTGCCCCCTTGGCTCAAGTGACGCTGTAACAATATGTATTGGGACTAAGGCACCTTCAGTTCATGAGATCGAGTCATAACAGAGATTTTGAAGTGTAACACACATTATCACATTTGAACCATTGGCATGTCCAGAACATAAGATATATATTCTGTTGCACTACCGGTGATCAAACAGATCCATTTGCACTGCCAACCTAAGAATAGCTGAAACAGAAGAGCGAGCAATCAAGGCACAAGACATCATTATCATCAAACGAGGTCAAGAGACTGCCACACACCAAGCATAACTGACTTTTGTTACACCCAAAATCAATGAAAAGATCTGAAAGTAGTTAAAATATTTGATTGTATTTTTGGATCTACAAGATTTTGTCAGAATAATATAATTTTGTTGACATATTCCCATTGATACTATGTTTTGTGGAAATATAAAAATATGTTAACAAAAATACATTATTCTGACAAAATCCTGACAAAATCTTATAGGTCCAAAAATACAATCAAATAATCTAACTACTTTCCAGGCTCCTCCCCATCCACTGTTTCGAGGTTCAGAATGTATCCTAGAGAATAGAGACAATTGATCATCCATACATTGCAAGAAAGCATGTGATGAGGAGATTTTGAAAGTCAGCTGAACTTTGATTCTGAACCTCTCCACAGCGGCTGGACTTTAACATTTGTAAAGCAAGTCAGCCACAGTAACTAGTGACTGTCAAGTGATGGCTGACTTTGAAAAAGTAATAAAAATAAAAATGATCCAAATTGGAAATTTGATCAAAGTTGCCCAATCCAGCAGTATCCGCCTGCATACTGTCCACTGGGGCTTCTCCATCAAGACATTGCATCATTCCAACACTGCCAGAAATTTGTGATCTAACAAAGGAGTGTCGAGCCATTGCTGTTAATGCTGAAACAGCAACAGTAAATAATTTCAAGGTAAAACTGGATATTATGACACACTAGGTATTCCGGCTTCTAAAATCTTCAACAGGCCATAGAAAAAATCTCACTTACCGAGCAATCACAATCAGTCCAGAGCTCACTATGAAGCCAGGTGGACTTTTTGAGACAATACTCAAGAATCCAGTATTTGTTGACCAAATAATTTCTGTGGTACTGGATGACATGAATTAATACTGATCTTGAAGATTACCTTATTGCCTAAAACGGATAATTCGAGACAGTCGACAGGATTTATTTTGGAGTGGGTTATTTTCAAAGTCAGCCGTCACTTGGCGGTCACTAGTCACTGTGGCTGACTTGCTTTACAAATGTTAAAGTCCAGCCGCTGTGGGGAGGTTCAGAATCAAAGTTCAGCTGACTTTCAAAATGTTATCTTATCGTTTATCTAATTTAATCTACATGTCCCTAGGATAAATTCTGAACCTCGAAACAGTGGATGGGGAGGAGTCTGACTACTTTCAGGCTTTTTCATCAATTTTGAGTGTGACAAAGGTTGGTTATGCTTGGTGAGGCCGGAAGTACCGCAAGAGTGCGTCGTTAAACTCAGACTCGGCATGAGTTTCGGCACTTGTGAGACCGTTCCTCTCACTCACTCCCACTCCCAGAGCCCTCAATCTAATGAAATCGACAAATCTCATCAACGATACAGCTGAAAACCTACAGCCGAAAGAAGGGTCTGATGAACACAACAGTACGAAAGATCAAGTAAAGGTATATTCATGAGATCAAATACCCTAGATAATCGTCCGATAACTGGTTCTCAGGAGTCAGCGTCATCCAAACCGGAGCACGAGACAGTGTCTGATAGCACTTGCAAACCAGACCACGACTTTGAGGGTGGTTTTGGTGGGCAAGAAGACCTAGAAGATCGTTATGCTACTACTAGTGGGGAACATTGATTCGCTATGAAACTCAGAAGTAAACACATACTAATTCTAATTATTGTCCGTTGTTACCTTCTCATCTGCGTGAAGAGTGTAGGTTGTAGGTTAAGCCCGTAGTGGGTGGACCCTGGTACTGAAGTGCAATTATAAACTGTACGAACGAATGGAGTTCAATTTAGAATTGAATAAGTGCACAAACAAAGATGAGTCCCATCAACAGTCCGAGTACAAACGCCGATAATATGACCAATACGATAGAAAAGAAAAGTGAAACGTTACGATAGATGGTGATAGAGATGGATGTAACCAGATAAACGGAAGGTTGCAAAAAGAAAACAAATTAATACGAAGCCTAAATATTGCAGAAAAGTAACCAAAATGTCCAAGCAAAGGCCCCAGAGTCCGTCTAATTTACAAGAAATGAACTGCGTCATGCGAAATAGGGCACTGTTTCAGCGGCTAGGCCTTGGGAGGAGTTGTGATTTGAGCCCTTGGGACATCGTTGGCGATTGCACGTGCAGATGCTGCACCACCTGCGCTACATAGAGGTGAAGGGGGAGCGGCGCTCGGTCCAATCCAAGGATCAAGGTAACTGCAGGTAGCGATACCAACCATGCCTTTTGCAGTATCCGAAGGATTCTCCCATCCGTCACCAGCACTTGCAGTTTTTGTTTGCGAACCGGAGGTCAGGGTGAACGTCGGTCCCGGCAGTGTCGCAACAGTGCCCGTCGGGGTGTAAGTTGGAAGGAGGCTAGCTGCACCAGCATTGCTGATGGTTGCGGGAGGCCAGGGATATGAGGCAGAGAGACCAGAAGCAAGATCTCCAGCACCCGCTCCACCAGTCTGCCATGCTTGCAACGGGGGACTCCATATATTTTGGTTTCCGCAAGCCCCAACCGCCACACGGGGGTCCTTAGGCATCCAACCGTTTTCCAAGCCAAGTGAGTACGACCACTGAGGAGACTCGACAACTCCTGTGGTGGAGGAATTTCCGATCTTCCAGGTCCAGAAAAACCAGTTCTATTTCATTGACAGTCAATCACGAATGTGAACCACCAGTAGGCGGACTAGACTCACCTGCAAAGCATCCATGCTAGCCAAAGCGAACTGCATGATATCTTCCTTCATCGTACTGTTCCAAGCTTGCCAGTCAGTCCACGGGTCACAGCTACCGACGGCAGGCCAGTTCCCAGGAGTGTAAGTCCCTTCGTATCTCGTGCCCAATCCTATGCCATTCACATAAAGCCCACAATCCGTTACTGCATTACTAAATTCACCCGCAGTGCTCAGGCCAAAAGCACCCATAGACGTGTTCATCATCGAGCCCCAGGCGTTACACGGCGTTTGCGCATACGACGACATTGGTGCAGCCGACTGTCCGCCGAAACATATGTAAGGGTGAGTGTCTATAGCGGAACGATCTGAATTGGGAAGGAAGCCGGCCCATTGTGCTGTGCCCAAAAAGCCATCGTGGAATGATACATAAGGGCCTTTGCCCTCACCAATCCCACTCGCTTCACGAACGTTGTTGTAAGCTTGTACATAACTGATAACATGGTGAACATCAATCACGCTGAATCACAAGTTGCGGCAAAGAGGCACGTACTAGCTTGACAACTGCGACTGCCCTACCATAGTTCCTTGAGGCTCATTGGTGATCCCAAAAATCGTAACAACGTCACTATACTCTGGCTGAGAGATGAATTCGGCAAAGATCCTGACATAGTCAAGAGAACGCTGGGCATTCGCCAGACCCATAGGCCCGTTTAACACGTTTACCGAACCAAGTTTACCTGAATGATTCCACCCGTTTTGACTGCCTGGGAGAGCATGAAAATCGAGATTGATGCGAAGGCCATATTTGCGCGCCCATTTGATGGCTTTCAAAAAGTACCTGGTGACCACGTCAGAACATCGCAGCTCCAAATTGACAAGAAGGTACATACGTCCAGGAGACTTTGGGAAGGAAAGGCTCATTACCTCGGGTCTCGATTGCCCACCAGGGAACAGGAATCCGCACAAAATTCAATCCGGCACCAGCTATAGCAGCGAAATCTCGCTCCGTCTAGCACAATTTACATCAGAGTCAGATCCGTGACATGATGATACAACCTACGATGAAAGTGCTGTAGTGGGTCTCCAGTTGTTGAAGACCTCCACCAGGTGAAGTGTCAGCGGCCATTGCTTCGCTAAGTGTCCATTCATCTACTGGTGTAGGGGTACTGTTTAGATATTTCTGGTATAGAGCGGGGGCACTAAGGGTTGTTCGGATCAGTTACATTAGGCCTTGTAACTAAAAATTACTTGCATGAACTATTCATAGATTGCAATCAGTGATAAAGATAGAATAAAAATTTCCGAAGATACCCACCGGCTCCGTGGTCAGCCAACCACCCAGGTTCACTCTACATTGGCGATGAGCATAAATTCAAATTATTTAGGGGAAAAAATGTACCCCCATATCCTGTTGGTACCGTACTGAAAAGTCTCATTCAAAGCAGGGGTCCATGATTGAGCCTTAGCACCGTTGTTGAACGGATCTTCCGGATCCCAATACCAGTAGCCACCAAATGAATTCGAGTATGTGAACGTCGTACCGTCATCCATAGTCACGACACTTCCATCACCACCAGTAACGGCTGCAGCCACTGCTGGCTTACCACCACCACTGCTAGTGGTTGGGCTAGCAGGGTTAGTAGTGGCATCGTTTTGTTGGTTTTTGGGTTTGATCACAGTGAAATAGACGGGCACCACGACAGCTACAATAATAAGTGCCAGCGCACCAAGAGAGGATAAGATGATAACAGTGCGCTTAGATTTGCTTGGTCCCTGCGCATATGCTGATCGTTTCTCGCTCATATATGGGGGAGAATCGGCAACCCCAGCGAGGTATTCGCTATCCTGGGGGTCGTCATGGTAGGATCCAGCATAATCGCCCTGGCTTATGGGTTGACCCTGTGTTGCGTTGAGAGCATATACGGAAGACGCGACCATAGATGGAGAGCTACGACTGGTTCCCTGAGAAGCATAGGACTCGCGTGGATTGATACCACCTTCGTCGTAAAGAGCAGCACCCAAAAAGCGGGGCTGCGCAGCCCCTGAAGGAAGATGCGAGTCTGCAAAGTCTGACATTTCGACAGGGGGCGTACTGAACGCCGAGTCACGAGGAGAGGGTGCATCGTGATAGATAGTTTCTCTAAGTCCATCGGTCACATCTTGACCTAAGGGCAGAGGGTCATAAGGGATGTTGGGCAAAGGCCCATTTCGCGACATGGCTTCAGGAGGGGTAACTGTGACCTTGAATGCGTTCTGGTCCGACATGGTCAGTGAAGAGAACGAGTAGAAGGGGGACAGAGAGGGAGACGAAACGAGGAAAGGGGGTACGATCAAGAAAGCGAAAAGTAAGGGTTTTAGTTCATGGCAGCCTCAAGGCGTCCCTCACTAGTCCGGTTCCGCAAATAGTATTTACACCATAAGGTAAAATAAGCGTCTAGAGACTCACAGATAATGCGTAGCGAGGCTAACACGCAGAATGATAACGCAGGAAAACCAGTGCAAGAGATGGCAGGAACACAGATATCGATAGATAAAGGAATGGACGACTTCAGTTGCGATGCGGAACTGGCGTATGTCAAGGAGAAAAGGAGGAAGAACGGAATGTTGGACTGTTTCGATTTCGGACGCGGGGTACATCCCCGTGATGTGACGTTTTGTGACCGGATGGCCGAGGGCTGCCGAACCGAAGCCTAATGAAGACTGCTGCCGGCAGTGCCGTGCTATATTTCCCACAGCGGAGTCGGACGGCCTTACAGCCAGTGATCAGACGACTGGTCTGCCAGCTGTCCAGGGCAGTCAGGGCAAATTGTCGAAGAGACCATCACAGCATTGAAAATCTGCCACTATTTTCGTAGAATATCGTCGCCACCAACGAGCGGATAAAGCATTGTCAGCGCAAGGCGTCCACGAAGTCACATCTGTTAAAAATAATTGAGATCACTTGCAGTCATCGCGAGCCGTCTCCACCTACATGTATATAGTCACCACACTCTTGAGTCATTGTCCACCCGGCATCCGATGTCATCGAATATGGACTAGTGAGATGGGGGTATTTTTGTGCAAAAAGATAAGGTTGATGGCGCTCATGGCTTGTGATGGATGGTTGCCAGCAAGAAACGTAGGAGAACGTCGTTATCGTCGAGGCAAGTCGTGAGTGAGTTTATAACCAGAATATGTGGCGACGCATGTGTCAGTACTGCTGCGCATTGGTACTTATTAATATATATACCTCGCATTTTTGGTCGTCTTTGTGCGAATTCGAAGTTCGTCTCACTGGCCGTACTCTCTTCATTGAACGCGTTTCCCCTTTTAGCACCCACGTGTACACAAGTCTCAAAAGTTCAACGTTCAATGTTTACCTTCAGGTTTCCTGATCATACATGAGCATTGTGGCGTAAATGAATCACTGTGCAAAGGTCTGCTAGTAATGGGTCTCCAACTTGTGCCCGAGGACATAAACGTCACCTCGCAATCATTGGAATAGAACGAGGGACAGTGCCACTACCACGTAAACGTCGGGCATGCAGGGGTAGACGGCGTCAATGAGGAACGCGCTCTAAAGGCCGAGCTAAAGGCGGATCCCATGTCATGCATGTCATGTCAATGCAGTGGAACACGGCAACAACTGACCATGGTGAGTTCGTGTTCCAACAATCCGAATGCTGATATTGTTGTTCTCTTTATTGTTTCGTTTACTTGCAGATAAGCCACATACTACTTCGAAAACTAGCGTCTCTATCCTCTGTTGCAGATGTAGTGACCGACATTGGCATAAAGCAAATATCCAGAAGAGCTCTATCCGTGTCGATTCATCAGAGCATTTGAAACGCCATATTCGTTGAGCGGTTGACTTGCAATCCCACCTATTGTTTCTTCACTAATGCGGCCATTTTCAGCGCTTTGTTCGTACACCCAAAAAAGTAAACAGGCGAATCTCGTGCTTCTCTGATGGACTGACTTTCCTTACCCATGTGAGGAATAGACATATCTTGCTGTGATGCGCGCGGAGCAGAGACTTGTAAAAGCTCAACAATCTGAACACATCCACCTACCAGATTACAATCTCATCATCTTTGAGCTCGTGAATTCTAACAGCGCCGATTTTTCTTTCGGATCAGGTCAAATACGGCACGAACAAGAATAATCCAAGGTTTGTGAATGTGAATAATGTACTCGTTGCTGTTAGATCTCACGATTTAGCCTTTCCGTTCGGTGCAGCGAGGTGAGAAAGTCAATTATTGGCGTCATTACAATGCAAGGCACGGCGTACATGCGATACATGTGTTCTTTGCTCACAACTCTCCTTCTCAAGTTGTTGTCGTACATGGTCAGTCTTCTACTCGCTGTTTCGGGCCGTAGTCCCTCAATTCTCGCAATATGATCAAACTTACCACTTACAAATCGCCCACCTCTAAGGCGCTGTGTCTATTTGTCTTGAAATAATGCCGAGAATGGATGGGGATATTGGGATGAAATGAACGCTATTATGCCTCGTAAGGGCAAAGGAACGGTAAGCAGTTTGCTGATGATCGCATGGTGCTGGCTACGCTTATGATTTCTTTCTTACCATAGAGTATGGGATACGAGGCACAAAGCGCATGTGTTACCCATTTCCATACTCACATTAGTTTCTTCGACATGATCTAGTCATTCTAACAATAATCGCATTTCTCTTCTACACTTGTCTTCTCTAACCGGCTCCCTTGTATTCCGATGACTGCATTGTAAGTCAGGCTTCACGGATCGACTCATGGCTCATCTCTGGGAGATAGGAGACGCCCCGATCCTACGTCCTAATAATGCAAATGTCTATTCGTCTGTTCTGTCATGACGTCTGTAACAGCTTCATATCCCAGGTCTCCACGAGGGTTGTTTCATCGTGATCGCTGTCGGGGAGAATCCCTCGGACTGCGATGTTATCTTGCATATACTGGGTCATCATTGACCCCGACTCATCTCACGAGCGGGGTATAAATTCACAGATTATAGGAACGAAAGGCCCGTATGGCAATGATAAGTTCGTCCTATTTCCCAACTACTTTCTTTTTGGGCATATACGCTGTATAACGCAATATATTTCATGACCAAGCTTTGGACTAGGGAGTTGTGTCATTCCTACAAACACGATAGACTCACGAGAGGAGAATCTGCGTGAAAGCTCTCTGTCTCTTTGATTGGGTGTTATTATAATAACACTACTTACCCGGTGAGTACTTCTTGTGCAACAGGGATTTCTATTATGTTTTCCAGCATCCATTTCACGCTGTCATTGCACGGTTCTTCGTCACGAGATGTCGCGCCAGGTCACTGACATCGGAAGCAAATACAGGAGCAACTTTCTCCGTATTATCCTGAGAGTGAGAAATATAACAGGTACCACTGTAGCAGAGAGGGTTATTTGATGGTTTTTCTGACTTGAAGGCTCAGTAGATTTGGGCCTGTACACCCAGCAATCCCATTAGTAGTAATTGGTGTTACTATGCAAAGCGTATGTCGCACAGTTCTAGGGTGCAGGCGCTTAAATAGCTGAGGACAACATAAGTGTGATGTTTGGTGTCGATCGGCGCGCGGATATGTGAGCACGTGGCTAATATTGGCCAACGTTCAGCCAACGCTTTTTTGGACCTTGAATGGTTCTTATTCTGTTCATCACGAACAATTTATCATCACTGGCCTACTAGTACCAGAATTTTACTGTCCTTCTAGCACCATGTCGTACAACTTTCCACGCTAGAGCCCCTCAATGTATGCTTCAGTTCTCCTACTATGGTTCAACATAGCGGGAATGAACCTGTTATAAACGCCTGTTCTATTCACGTCCAGTCCCCTGTACGGGGATTCCAGTCATTGAGCCATTCCCAGCTTGTCTTGCTCTTAGGATCCGTCGTTTCTCTCTTATTTGGGCTACCATTTGGAAGATCTTATTCTCAGGCCGCACAATTGGTACCATCACACGATTTTGAATACCTACCCCCCGCAGCACACGGTCGTCCCGTGTGTAATCTCTACCATTCCACTCTATATGCAGTCTTGGCCATGGAGCGTCACTCAGGCGACTATATATTCAGCCTGCCTTTTGCCCAGGTCTTGCACTCAGCCGCCCTTCGTCTCATTCCTTGCGATTGTTACACGCTGACTCGGCACAAATGGCGCTGGCAAACTTCATCATCCTAGCCCTCGCTATGCTCACGGGCTCGTCCACCATGGTGTCGGCCTTGGGAACTGCTTGTACGGCTCCTTTGGGCGCTGGGACAGCTGCTCCGGGTGATCCCTTTTGGCTCCAGAGTATCAATTCATCGGGAACGGCGCCGTACTCTTCAGACCCAAGTACATATCAGGTTTATCGCAATGTGAAAGATTATGGTGCTACTGGTGATGGTACCACTGATGATACGGCGGCAATCAAGTCTGTCATTAAACTCGTTCATATATGCGCCGTCGCTGATGCCTTGGATACCGCAGTATGGCTCCGGGTATACGCGGACCTCGCGGACCATCTAT